CCTGGCGGTGGAGCTGGGGCATGTCCAGGCCCACCACTTCCGCTCCCACCTTGACCAGGTGGTCCGCCTTGCCCACCACCTCCCCCGGGAGGAGGAGGAGGGGGCGGTCCAGCTTGAGCGCGTTCATGCCGAATATTGCAGCGTGCACATCGCTCAAGGCCGTCATTTCCGAAGTAACTGTGATTCTCACAGACGTGAGTCCCACAATCCGTACAGAGATACATGGAGACCTCCTGAGCATTCTTGCGGCATGCCCAGCATTTCATCTTCAGGAACTGACAATTGCAACAGTCCCCGTCGTCACCACGACAAAGCCCGCAGAATTCACGACTGCATGTCACACACGAGAATTCAGCATTCGGGTGCCTACGGTCGTTGGGATCATCGAGGGCACAAATCTTTGGCGCTTCTGGGCCATCACCGCCGGGAGCCCCTCTTGCAGCCGGCGCTGAGGCCTGTCCACGATCCGACGGAGCTCCGGTCCCTCGCCTATCGCCGAGACTCTGGGTGTCGGCGCTGGCTCTACTCCCAGGAGTCCTCCACTCATCACCAGGACTCTGGATGTCGGCATGAACCCTATTACCCCCACCACCTCCTGAATGACGACCTGGGTTCGGAGAGACGTTCCCGCTATCGCGGATTGGCCTATCAAAACTCGGAGAGACGCTCCCGCTATCGCGGATTGGCCTCTCCCCCCTCGGTTGTCGACTCCGGACCTCAGATCCCCTATCGGGGACGGCAGCAGGCCTCGGGCTCCTATTCCTACCCGCATCCCTATTGGGGGAAATAGAAACGTCCCCCCTTGCGCGCGCGCGGGGACCACCCCTTGCACGCTCCGGTGGCGAATGCGACCTGTCAGGCAACCCCCGAACCCTCCTGCTCCTGCTGTCGGACCTCTCCCTAACGGGATAGATGGGATGCCTGTCTGCGCGAGAAGGATCGACCCTATCGGGCACATTCGGCAAAACATGATCAGGCAAAACAACGCCTCCGCCTGGTCTCACCGGCAGGCCAGTACCCCGGCCGTCACCTTCCCCTGGTGTAGGCGTCGGTGACCTGATCCTATGTCCTTGCCCCGCAAATGCATGGTAACCAACATTCCGTCTTTCTCTGGGTTGTGGAGGAGCTTCATTAATCTGCTGGACACCCTGAATAATGCCAGCAGCCTCGTCAAATTGACCCTCCATCTCAAAGAGCTGGGACATGATTCTGTTGTTCGCGGCGCTAAGGTTACGTACGTTACCATCGATAGCGCTGACTCTCCGCATAACACCTTCAAGTGTACTCCGGAATGTGCCGAGCTCTCGCCTAACGGCAGGCTGCACTTGGTCACTGCTGGCAGGAAGATTACGGATCTGTCCTTGGATGCCATCAACGACCCGATTCACAACTGCCGATCTCGCTTCATACTGTTCAACATGTGATTTCACGGTTTCAAACCTAGAAATGATGTCGTCATGATCCCGACGTTGACGTTGAATTCCTCGAGCCAGATCCTGCATCTTCCGATTGATCTCGTCAACAGCCTCATGCCAGTCCTGCGGGGAATCATGCCCTGATGGTCTATCGACCTCCTGAGAACCCCTTCCACTCTGCAGTCTAGACACTCGATTAACAAGACGAGTGTGCTCCTCTTTGACCCCCTCAATAGATTCAGAGGCCCACTTGGCAAATGTCTCGTGATCAAGGAGAGCTTTCTCGATCTTCAGGTTTAACTCCCTGAAATTTGCATCGACTACACTGCCGCTGGCCCTATCGGACGGATGCGCGACAGGGTTCGGGTTCCATACACCTGCCGGGGTCCGCATCCCAACGGCTTTCTCTACCGAGAACATCCGTTTCTCAAGCTTGTCCAAATCCTTAAGGGTCTCGTCCTCAGAAGCAGCATGGCTTCTGCGGGCAGCCTCACTATTCTCCTGAATCATCAGGCGAAGCCGATCAGTCGATGCCTCATTGTCCCTGACAGATTCATGGACCTCGTGGGACAGTAGGTTAATCCTCTGCTCCACGACCTCGGCTTGCTCATCGATGGCTTGCCTCACAATGGCCTTGCTATCGGGAATAACTTCCCTTGCGAACCGTTGAACTATCATTCGCATCCTCCCGGCATCAGATTGAGTCGCAACCTCAGCTGCCATCCTTCGTCCGTTGACTCTCGTCGCTCCATTCCCTTCGCATGGAACTCACCTGACCGTTCAGTACCCTGATTTGGTCAGCAAAGATGTGGAACGCCTTCGCGACTGAGCCAGAAACCTCACCTCTCTCGAGCATCTCCTGGATGTGCAAATCGAACACCTCCTTCGCCCTAGCGTCACCTGATTCGCCGGAAGACTGGGATCTGAGGGCGGGAGGAGTCGATATCTCGATCCTCTCAGGAGCCCCACTAGCCCCGGCATGTCTTCTGGGGTCATCCACGGGACAATCATCAATCCTGGATGGTCTACTCGGGGTAGATCCCCTTCTCCGGCTATCGCCAGATCGAGGATCAATGTTGGATGCACGCGACTCGGGGGTGGAGTGGATGTGAACATCAGCGGGATCGGGCATCTCCTCATCCTGCGGAGTTGAATCCATTGGTGAGGGGCTAGCCCTCCTCGCCTTTGACCTATCGGTCTCAGCGGCGAGAGGTGACGGTCTCTTCGCAGAAACACTACGTTCCCTGGCAGTCGAACCCCATTGAGGTGTGAACTCGTTGCTAGACCTCAGAGTTTCAAGATCACTGGTATCTCGCCCTAACGGGCTAGCGATCGACGGACGATCTTCGATCCCGAGTGCATCGGCAAGCCGACCATCTCTGGCACCTGTCCTAACAACATCGGCAGCCCGCTCAGTGATCCTCGGTGAACCAGTAACCCGGTTCGAGTTCACGTCTCTCTGACTCAACGGACCTCCAAATGTGATGTTGGGAAAGGGGGGAACATTCGGGGAATCACCAATCGCCGGGGGACCTACCGGTCCCTCGCGGTCATGAATGGCCTCCAATCCCCGAAGAACTTCCCGACTGTCCCTGGCTCTCTCTCTCTCGCTTCGGGCATCCCTGTCAACGCGAAGGTCCCTGGCGGCTCCACGAGAGAGGCTCCTGGGCCTCGCAGCATCACGGATCCTAGCATTTCGTCGTGGTTGGTCCTCCTCCTCATCACGGCGATCCGCAAATGCGGCATACTCGTCATCATCATCGACCTCAAACTTGGCAGCGGCGGGACTAGTCCTTGCAGTCGCACGGCTGCCTGCATTTCGGCGCGAATGGCTCTCCTCCTCATCCGCAAAATTGTAATCTTCGCCATCATAAGACTCAGATTTGGCAGTATTAGGGTTGGGCCTACCGGCATCAGATCCCTGCTTTGAGCTACTGCCCCAACCTGCGGTTGATTTCAACAGATCATCGTATCCGAAGTCCGTGAATTTCCGCTCCTCGTGCTCATCAAACTGACCTGGATTTTGAGAACCAGTGGATCGGCCCGGGATACCTCCCGGAGCCAGAACCATAGTCCCTGGTCCCTGCGGCCTATTCTCAAACTCATCCGAGACCTGCGACTCACCTGGAACAAGAGATCTCGGAGGTCGAATCGGCATGGCCTCCGGGTCATCCGAATGAGGGCGGGCCATGTCCATCGCCATGCTGATGAAGTCAAAACGTCCACGCCTATGACCTGATTCAGAGCCACTCCTACCGGAGTAAACCCTTCGTGTCTGCTCGTCATCAGTGGCCTGGCGGAAAATACGATCGTCTCCATCGTCGGCGTACCTGCCACGGCTCCTGGGTGTATCCCTACCGGGATCTTCACCCCTGCGGTCCTGACCTGTCGAACCTGCTTCGAAATCCTCGTAGTCATAGTCCGGTAGGTCCTCACCTGAGCGGAGGCCACCTAGGATGGCCTCCTCATCCACGACGCTCCTGCGAGATCGTGGGGTCGACATAGAGCTTGTAGTTGATGGTCTCAAGCGCGTAGGAAAGTCCTACGGCTGATAACCTGTGATTCGGGCACGAGCCTGTGCCCAGGCAATGGGTAAGTTGGGGTAAACAAGCCACAAAAGAAAGGTTCCCCAAAAGCAAACCAATCCCCGGTCCCAAAGATCAGGGTTTCCCACACACCAGAGAACAACAACCAAAAGGAAACAAACCAAACAAGAAAAGGGTTAACCCGCAACCTTGGTCGACAACAGGCCGCACGACTGGTCCCTACCAACCTGGCGGCGGCCCGAGGTCTCTTTCTCCCCCGAGATGCCGTCGGTCGACGCAGGGGTTCGGCGACGCCCATTCGAGGCGCGACGGAACCCAAAACTTGAGCCAAACACCACAGGTCAGTCACTACCGCGACATCCCTGGTGATGAAATAAACCATGGCTAATCACAATATATATGGTTCTATGCGTAGATATGCGAATGTTTATTCATCCGTATTTAGTAACTCATTGACCTGTGCAAGCCTATGCATACACATACATCTACGTATGTGTGCACACCTATGTATAGATATTTGAATATGTCTTTTTTATAGGCACATAGAACCATATCGATGCATAAATAAACAAAGAAATTATTAACTAAATGCATTGAACCTTCTAAATTGATAAACCCGTAAATACAACGATAAAGCGTAACTATATTGACTAATGAACTAATTCATTACGAAGAAACATAAATTAATCAGCTTGCATTTTTTCAACATACAGAGATACCGCACCCTCCCAGAATCCGAAGCAAAAATCACCCGTGCTAAGGTCCGGGAGATGGGTACTCATCACATTGTGGGAAACACGCGCGTATACATCCGGCTTGTTGGCCTTTTAAAGTGTTGAACAGGGGGTCTGGGACAATTCGCAAAACCCTTTCCCATAGGTGTCCTGGTCAATGGAATGGAACCCATCTAAACCAGGGTCATCCGTTTCTATCCAAAACAACCAAAAAAGACACCCATGCCAGTCTTCTTTTGGTGTCCCTCTTGGGATGGTCGAAACATCAGGCCAAGTTTGCACCCTGGAATTCGGCGCCAGGCTTCACAAAAACCACCAGGCCCATGCAGACATCCAGCGGGCCCTTCACGAAGGACTTGAGTGGGGGGTCGGGTTGGAACTTCTCCGACATCACGGTGACCCCCAGCCTGCGGACAGAAGTGGAGGTGGATTGGATGATTGGACGGTCGGTTCTGGCCCCAAGCCTTGCCCAGTTTGGACCTGGAAATAATTTCGGGCGATCGCCTTTTGGCGCCTTTACCCCAAAAGAAAAGGTCCAAAAGGTCCAAAAGCTCCAAAAACCTTGCCAAAAACATGGACCATGGGGAAACCAAAAGGTCCAAAGGTCGGTGCGCGCTTGGCCAAGTGAGTCAAACCAAGGCTCACCTGAAGGGCTCAGCCGGGAGCCAGCTCCAATGAGCCAACCCCTCGAGCTGCGGCTGAAAAGCGCCAAGAAAAAGCCAACCCCAGGAAACCAAGAAAAAACACACAGGAAACCAGCAAAAGAGACAAGGAAACCAAAGGAATGCAAAGGAATGCAAAGGAACGCAAAGGAATGCAAAGGAATGCAAAGGAAGCCAAAGGAAACCAAAGGAAGCCAAAGGAATGCAAAGGAAGCCAAAGGAAAGCAAAGGAATCCAAAGGAAGCCAAAGGAATGCAAAGGAATGCAAAGGAAGCCAAAGGAAAGCAAAGGAACCCAAAGGAAGCCAAAGGAATCCAAAGGAATGCAAAGGAATGCAAAGGAAAGCAAAGGAATGCAAAGGAATGCAAAGGAAACCAAAGGAAAGCAAAGGAATCCAAAGGAAGCCAAAGGAAAGCAAAGGAAAGCAAAGGAATGCAAAGGAAGCCAAAGGAAAGCAAAGGAATGCAAAGGAAGCCAAAGGAAACCAAAGGAAAGCAAAGGAATGCAAAGGAAGCCAAAGGAAAGCAAAGGAAAGCAAAGGAAGCCAAAGGAAAGCAAGGAAACCAAAGGAATGCAAAGGAAGCCAAAGGAAAGCAAAGGAATGCAAAGGAAGCCAAAGGAAAGCAAAGGAATGCAAAGGAATGCAAAGGAAAGCAAGGGAAGCCAAAGGAAAGCAAAGGAAACCAAAGGAATGCAAAGGAAGCCAAAGGAAAGCAAAGGAATCCAAAGGAATGCAAAGGAATGCAAAGGAATGCAAGGGAATGCAAAGGAAACCAAAGGAATGCAAAGAAATGCAAAGGAATGCAAAGGAATGCAAAGGAAACTAAAGGAATGCAAAGGAAACCAAAGGAATGCAAAGGAATGCAAAGGAATGCAAAGGAATCCAAAGGAAAGCAAAGGAATGCAAAGGAAAGCAAGGGAAGCCAAAGGAAAGCAAAGGAAACCAAAGGAATGCAAAGGAAGCCAAAGGAATGCAAAGGAAGCCAAAGGAAAGCAAAGGAATGCAAAGGAATGCAAGGGAAGCCAAAGGAAAGCAAAGGAAAGCAAAGGAATGCAAAGGAAGCCAAAAAAAAGCAAAAAAATGCAAAGGAATGCAAAGGAAACCAAAGGAAAGCAAAGGAATCCAAAGGAATGCAAAGGAATGCAAAGGAATGCAAAGGAAGCCAAAGGAAAGCAAAGAAATCCAAAGGAATGCAAAGGAACGCAAAGGAAACCAAAGGAAAGCAAAGGAAACCAAAGGAAAGCAAAGGAAACCAAAGGAATGCAAAGGAAGCCAAAGGAAAGCAAAGGAATGCAAAGGAATGCAAAGGAAACCAAAGGAAAGCAAAGGAAGCCAAAGGAAAGCAAAGGAATGCAAAGGAAGCCAAAGGAAAGCAAAGGAATGCAAAGGAATGCAAAGGAAACCAAAGGAAAGCAAAGGAATCCAAAGGAATGCAAAGGAATGCAAAGGAAGCCAAAGGAAAGCAAAGGAAACCAAAGGAATGCAAAGGAATGCAAAGGAAAGCAAAGGAATGCAAAGGAATGCAAAGGAAACCAAAGGAAAGCAAAGGAATCCAAAGGAAGCCAAAGGAAAGCAAAGGAAGCAAAGGAAAGCAAAGGAATGCAAAGGAAGCCAAAGGAATGCAAAGGAAGCCAAAGGAAAGCAAAGGAATGCAAAGGAAAGCAAAGGAAGCAAAGGAAAGCAAAGTAAAGCAAAGGAAAGCAAAGGAAAGCAAAGGAAAGCAAAGGAAAGCAAAGGAAGCCAAAGGAAAGCAAAGGAATGCAAAGGAAGCCAAAGGAACAAAGGAAACCAAAGGAATGCAAAGGAATGCAAAGGAATGCAAAGGAATGCAAAGGAAACCAAAGGAATGCAAAGGAAGTCAAAGGAAAGCAAAGGAATGCAAAGGAAAGCAAAGGAAAGCAAAGGAATGCAAAGGAAGCCAAAGGAACAAAGGAAACCAAAGGAATGCAAAGGAAACCAAACGAAACCAAAGGAACGCAAGGGAAGCCAAAGGAAAGCAAAGGAAAGCAAAGGAATGCAAAGGAAGCCAAAGGAACAAAGGAAACCAAAGGAATGCAAAGGAAACCAAAGGAAACCAAAGGAAACCAAAGGAAACCAAAGGAATGCAAAGAAAACCAAAGAAATGAAACGGAATGCAAAGGAAACCAAAGGAAAGCAAAGGAAACCAAAGGAATGCAAAGGAATGCAAAGGAAACCAAAGGAAAGCAAAGGAAACCAAAGGAAACCAAAGGAAACCAAAGGAACGCAAAGGAATCCAAAGGAAAGCAAAGGAAGGCAAAGGAATGCAAAGGAAACCAAAGGAACGCAAAGGAATCCAAAGGAATGCAAAGGAAGCCAGAGGAAAGCAAAGGAATGCACAGGAAACCAAAGGAATGCAAAGAAATGCAAAGGAATGCAAAGGAATGCAAAGGAAACTAAAGGAATGCAAAGGAAACCAAAGGAATGCAAAGGAATGCAAAGGAATCCAAAGGAAAGCAAAGGAATGCAAAGGAAGCCAAAGGAACAAAGGAAACCAAAGGAATGCAAAGGAAACCAAAGGAAACCAAAGGAATGCAAGGGAAGCCAAAGGAAAGCAAAGGAATGCAAAGGAAGCCAAAGGAATGCAAAGGAAACTAAAGGAATGCAAAGGAAACCAAAGGAATGCAAAGGAATGCAAAGGAAACCAAAGGAAAGCAAAGGAAGCAAAGGAAAGCAAAGTAAAGCAAAGGAAAGCAAAGGAACCAAAGGAATGCAAAGGAAACCAAAGAAATGCAAAGGAATGCAAAGGAATGCAAAGGAATGCAAAGGAATGCAAAGGAAACCAAAGGAATGCAAAGGAAACCAAAGGAATGCAAAGGAAACCAAAGGAAAGCAAAGGAAGCAAAGGAAAGCAAAGTAAAGCAAAGGAAAGCAAAGGAACCAAAGGAAAGCAAAGGAAAGCAAAGGAAAGCAAAGGAAACCAAAGGAAAGCAAAGGAAGCCAAAGGAAAGCAAAGGAATGCAAAGGAATGCAAAGGAAAGCAAAGGAAAGCAAAGGAAACCAAAGGAAAGCAAAGGAAGCCAAAGGAAAGCAAACGAATGCAAAGAAATGCAAAGGAATGCAAAGGAAGCCAAAGAAAAGCAAAGAAAGCCAAAGGAAAGCAAAGGAAAGCAAATGAAACCAAAGGAAACCAAAGGAAAGCAAAGGAACCAAAGGAAAGCAAAGGAAAGCAAAGGAAAGCAAAGGAAAGCAAAGGAAACCAAAGGAAAGCAAAGGAACCAAAGGAAAGCAAAGGAAACCAAAGGAAAGCAAAAGGAAGCCAAAGGAAAGCAAAGGAATGCAAAGGAAAGCAAAGGAAAGCAAAGGAAGCAAAGGAAAGCAAAGGAAACCAAAGGAAACCAAAGGAAGCCAAAGGAAACCAAAGGAAAGCAAAGGAAACCAAAGGAAAGCAACAAAAACAGAAAGGCGGATGTACTTTGGGCAAGCTGGTAGGAACGGGGTTACAGCAAGGCTTTGTTTGAATGAAACCTGTGAGAGTCGGAGTTCTTGGAACAGCGCCGTTGCGGGTAGGATCACCTTTTGTTGCAAGTTTGCCGTTTGAGCCAACACGGAACCAGTACCCACCCCACCCACCCACCCGGAACAAAAAAAAGAGGGTCGACACCCCAATTCTAAGCAATTCTCAAGAAGGCGCCAGTAGAAGAGGTAGCCCCACATCAATGTTGTTTCTTCATCAGGGGCCAACAGCTCAAGCCAACGCGCAAGCCTGGGTGCTAGTCCTGAATGGTCCTTGATAGCCCCACAAAGATCTCTCTGTGGCACGTCTTAAAAGCCTTCCTACGGCCTAGTCTAAGCCTTTGGAAATTTATACGGGTTGCGGAAGCGGGAAGGGTTTGTGGGGGCACGGCTTTAATTTGCAAGAGGCAGTTTGGGGCACATAGCCATAAGCAAGGGTTTGAAGAGCCATGGGTCCCGAGTTCGAAATTCACGAGCCTCGTGCTGCGCTTCCTCGGCGGCGCTGCTGCCGCCTCCTCTCCTGACTTAGGCTCTTCCAAGATACTCTTCAGCTCGCACCTGGCGCGTGACACATCTTTTCACCACCAACTTGGCTTGTGGCTGACACAATTCTCTGGTGCTCTTTGTGGTATTGCGTTTGGGTTTCCGGGTTTCCCTGTGTGGTGACATAATTGTGTGGTTGACACATCTTTCAGGTTGCCTTTTGCGAAATCAACACGTACCCCAGACCCTGAGAGGAAGGGTGTCTCAGCCTCATGGTCCTTGCAGGTCCTTTTCAAGACTGAAAGTGGACACCCACAGATCAACCTCTGGCATGTTGCCCTTAAATATGGAAACCAACACAAAAGTTCTCTATAGCTTAATTGAAAACAAGACCGAAATGGCCCCTTCGCAGGCATTTCCGAAAAGGAAACGCGCGCCCCAAAAAGGTACGGCCCCTTGCAAGCGACCTTTGTGAACATCACTACCAAGCATAGAATGGGAACGTGCGGTTCTCCCAAAAGGCAGCAGAAAGTTAGCACCTGGCAATGGCACATGCTTGTTCCTTCCAAATGGTGACAGGTGAACTGAGTCAAAGACATGGCCAGTGATTTTCAAGCTTTGGTGAATTGCTGGGTCAGCTTATTCCCTGTGGTCAATTGCTGGGCTCCGCCAAGCATGAGAATCAACGACGAATGCGAGTCGTACAGCGTGCCCACTTTCGCCACGCATCCACTGGTCCATCACAGGTAACTGGTGGGTGATAGCTAGAACCTACAACCCATCAATCAAGTCCAGCGAGCTCGGCTCATCGAGGAACTTTTGTAGGTGAGCGACATTTGGAGTTGCCAACCACTGACATGGCCAAACTCGCGCTATGACCTCTTGCCCGGTATCTCCGCGAAAGATGCCAAAAAGAGCAACCAGCAAAGCTAGGTCCTTCAGTGGAGGTATTGGAATAAGGGGACCTTTTTTTTTCTTCCTGTAGTCTATTTTAGTAGGGGAACCCTCCCTCAAAAAAGTTGGTAAAAGGGCACTACTGGGGGACCTAGACAGGAACCAACCCCCTCGCGCGCGCCTTTCGTTGCTTCCACCGCGGGGCAAGGTGAGCTTGGAGTCGGAATAGCGGAAGCTGCCGAAAGACTTCCGCTCAAGCATTCCAGACAAAGCCTCCTCGCGGAAAAAGTGGTTTGAACAGCGAAGGTTTGAACCAGGCTGTTCTTCTTCTTCCAGAAGCAAATGCTGGGAGGGTGCAAGTTTTTAGCTAAGTGACTAGTACCCCCAAAGCCCTTATGCAACACTAGCCAACCCTCTGTAAATCCAGAACGTTTCTACTTACAAAAAATGAAGAAGAAAAAAATATCAGACTATCCCAGCAAAGGAACACCAGTAACCAAGGTGCTGCGACATGTTCAGAAACAAAGGGGGGTAAACATCACAAGGCCAAACATGGTGCCAGCAACATATATACCTTAAACATCACCCAAGAAGACTCATGCCCAAACTTGAGGCATTGACAAATGGTGATTGTAGACAGGATCCAAGCATGATTGACAACATGATTTTCAACGCGATGGGCGCCTGCCAAACAAATCAACTTTTTCACAGCAAAGGCCCCAGACTACCAGGAGCAGTCTGAGCCCGAAGGAATTTCGGAAAACTCCCTGATGCGATGCGGCATCATCGGGAAAACTCGCCTGCTGTGCTTTTGTTGGCTAGGCCCGGTGTGTGATAGATGCCCAGCACAAGGAGCACACAAAAGACCCTATCGAACAGAAACAGGTGCTTGCTGGTAGGGTTCGGGCTCCCTCTTTTATGTGAGCACGGTCAAACCATGCTATACAAACCAGGCTTCTGATCCTCTGTTGTATGGGAAACAAATTGCTGATTTCCCCCATGTTTCATTGACCATAGCCTGCTGGGTATTTCTAGACTCCACCAGAAATCAACCATGAACAGATTGCGGAAAGCTCATCGAAAACCGTCCAAACTTGGCTTTTTTTGCAGTTGGGTTCCCTTCTTACATTCCCTTTCAAGCCATACTGTGGATGGACGAAATCCTGCACCACCTAAGAAACCCTGTGGAATGATGATTCCTCTGCTAAATAGCAACAACAATGGTTTCCCATTGTTTCAAAGTGTTGCGAAACGGAGTTCGTCCATCCACAGTAGGTTCCCCTTTTAGCTTGACTAACCCAAGGTTTCCGAGGCAAAGCAACGCGATTCCTGCCTCCTGCTCCTGGAACTTTCGGTCCAAGACCTGGAAAGTTTGCTTGAGTTGCTACCCTTTACCCGGGAAACCAAAGGAAAGACTGAAATCTAGACTCTGTTTGTGTTCCTCTTTTTTTTGGGGGGATTCTAAAAATGATATGTGGAGCCCATCAAGGCATTGTTACCCTCCCACCAATTAACATGGAACCTACCTCTTTTCTGGTGATGAAACAAGTCCTTTTCGTAGGTCTCCCCCCGTGGATTCCCAGATTCTGATTGGGAAATGGGACCGTCACCCCCCTTTGCCCACTCCCAAGTACACACATCAAGCAAGGCGGCTTCTTCGAAGCCAGCTTTCGCCAAAATCAATTACGACAGAAAGCGGTCAAGCTCCCAACGGTTGCCCTTCTGCTTGTGGATCATGTAAGTGCCTATTAGAACAGGCTTTGCGGGGTGCTGTAAAACCAATTTGAGTCATGATGGTGGGAAGGCCATGTGTACTTATTTCGGCCATGATGCAAATCCCGCAGCTGAAGTTGCCCCAACACTTCCCGCCTCCAGCAGCCATTCCTGCGACACGGCTTCCTGCTCTTTCGGAAGGCTAGGCTCCAGAAAGGTCAATGCCTGCTCTTTCACAGAGCTCGGGGTCGGCATGGCGAATGCACAGCTCGCAAGGAGAGAGAGGGTGGGAGTCTGTCGGCGTGGCGGCTCCACAAGTTTGACTGCCTGGACCAGAACGTGAGGACATGATGTCGCATTAGTTTACAAAATTGAATCTTTGCTGTCGAGAATGCAGTGCTCTGCTTCTCGTGACCCCTCTTCGGTCGCATCGGGGACCTTTTTGGTAAAACAAGTTGGATGTTCCGCAGGGACCGCGTGATGTTACCTACTGGCCGAGAAAAATAAATAAATTAAAAAAATCCCCTCGTTGTTTCTCGGGTAAGCAAACTTAAGAGTGAATATGTTTCTTGAGACGATGTACATGGAAAGTTGCATCCAATCCATAGAGCTTTTGCAGTACCCCCACTGAAAGGCAAACGCTCGCGTGTTTTGCACGCAGGGTTCTGTGCTCATGGGCTTCCGGACAAGCCGCGGCAGGCCGGCTGCGCCGATTTACTTTCCGCTAGGCGGATCGGCTTTTTTGGGGGCAAGACTACAAATGGACCAGAGCCAACATGCAGAGGACATGACGAAAAATGGACCAACATGCGGATCACGCTCAAGTAAGCAGGCTCCAACATGCAGGGCATGAGTAAGAAAGGTCCAACATGCGAAGGTCAATGTGTAAAACTTGTCCAACATGCAGAGGTCACGTGCAAAAAAGGTCAATCATGCACAGGTCATGGAAAGAAAACCTGTCTATACTGCAGACACCCAAGGTCAACAGCTCGGCCTTTTTTGGCTTGCGTGAGCTCAAAATCGGCTCGGCTCTGCAGGGTTGGGCTTCGGAACGGGGACCGGTTCCAAACGCAGATGGCCAGTGCTTCCAGGCCAGCCACTCTAGGTAATGTCGCACCAGGCACACCATGGTTTCCCTTGGTTTCCTATGTAGCTGGAACTGGGATTGATCTCCCAAAATCACTAAATGCATTGCGCACTAAATGCCAGGGCTCCTGAGGACTGCCTTAGGTCTTTCAGCAGTGGTTGCACCTACACAACCATGTCCGCTTTCTCAGGTTCACACTGAGAAAAAAACAACAACACAAAAAAAAAGGCCGGATGGTCTGGACGGTCTCAACAGGTGGCCAAATCTCCGAGCCCATGTTGCCACGGTGTGATGTGGCGCCGGCATCAAACCTTCCATTTGGTTAAGACCCTGGAAACATATTCAAAAAATATGTTCAGTAGTGATAATTTCCTTTTAAAACCAACAGAGGAAAATAAAACAACATATTCATAAGCAATTGGAAGAAACGAATGACATCCGCATGAGCCTGGATGAGGTCCGCTTGAACTCCCCAGAAGGGCTTTGCTTGATCCCGTCCCCCAGTAAAGGTCCCCTCAAAAAGTCCCCAATATACATATATCTATATATGTATATATATATATGTGCTGGATTCAGAGTACTGAATGGTGCTCAACTTAAACACACAACTCAAAACTAACACTGATTCATGCCGTTCGCATTCCGTAATCGGATGGGTCCTGGAAGGGGGGGGACCTCAATCGGACGGGCACCGGCTAGGGACCGAAGAGGACTTAAAAGAGACGTTTTCCCCCACCGGCATTCTGAAAATGAAAGAGACGGGGTTGCCCTGTTCATTTCAGGGATCTTCATTTGTCTGAGAAATGGTCCTAGTCCAAAACTTCTGCGAGGCGGCGCCACCAAAAATTGATCCCAAATGATTGCTTGCTGTTGACCCCTCTGCATTTTGTTTTTACTCTTTGTGGATTCAATGGAAATCCCAACAGATTGTCCAACAAGTAAAAGTCTAAAGATTCAACCCCATCGCAATCAAGAAATGGATAGTTTTGTCAATTCAAGTTGAAGACGCCGCCGACCTTTTCTTCAGGCGCTGCATTCTTGCACAAAGTCCCTCAATCGACTAAACACCTCGGCGTCGTCAATGCCGATGTACTTGCTGAACTCCGTGCCTGACGTGTCGACTGTCCAGCGTGTAAGCTTGAACTGTTTGGACCTTTATCCAACATTCCAAAAGGTTCGCTTAGGAAAACGCTTAAAGACTCAAACAAAGAAAAAAACTATCCCACAACAGCATGTTTTTTGCTCCGTACACGGCAGCTTGGGCCCTCAAAACAGGACCCACGAGGCCTTTGACTTGCTCTGTGGCTAGCGTTTGGTCGAATCTCCTTTTGGGCGATCCCGTTGCGCGTTTCCATACCCACATTCAGACACATCAAACACAATAGTTGAACGAGGACACCTTGCCCCAGCCACCTGACCAAGCACCCCGCCGGCAAGGTCGTATTTGTACCTCCGATGAGGCTAACGGTGGGATGTCCGTGGACGAGTGGCCAGGCTGACCCGTCTGTCTGTAGTAGACTGGCCAGACAGAGTACTGGCCTCTCAAATGATGAAGACACCTGCTAGCCAAACTTTGCCAACTGGACATTTTCCCTTGGGGGGCTATGGCCCGTGTGTGCAAACCAATTTTGCAACCAAGGCTAAAACCAACCAGATTCCGCCATGTGCTGGGGGGTAACCCCAAAGTAGGGTTAGCCATTTAGCGGTCACCCCCCCGACCATGTAAGCATCACCCTCCAAAAATGCAAACCAATGCGCCATGGTCAAAGCACCCTTTGCTGGGGGTGAACAGGGATGGTCATCCGCCTGGTGGGATCCTTAATATAACCATATTAGAATGAAACCATGGCCATAGGCCAAACGAACACAATTTCGACCATCGCAAGAAAACCAACCCCCTACAAATTGTTTGCTAGAACTCCAAAAAGCTGCGAATCAAGAAAATGGGATCCCCAAGTACTAGGTCCTCCAGTACGTAGAGAGGGGAATAAGGGTACCTAACTTTTTTTCTGTAGCCTATTTTAGGGGAACCGAATCTCCCCCAAAAAAGAAAACGGGTGAAAAGTTGGCCCAATCCGCTGGGGGAAACCTACTGGACCTTTTCCCGCGGTGCCACCCCTCGATCCTCCGGACGTGTGAGCTCGGCTGCAGCTGGGCGGCGCTCGAGGCGGTCCAGGTTCCGCAGCAGCGCTTTGGCGGCCAACGGCTCCTGCGCCAACTCCTGGAAGGAGTTCCTCGGGCAAACGCGTGGTCGTTGTCGTGCGTTGCCCCCCATTTTAAGTGGCTTTGCGCAACTGAGAAAACAACTTGTCAGGTTTTTTTGGTTGTTTGGGGGGGGGTATCTTTTTGTGAGTTTGGTACCCCCCCCCATTTTGGGCGGTTTAAAGGGAAAGCACACGGAAAACCACTTCTTCCTTCTTTTGTGGAGGGGAGTGCGTTTCCTAGTGAATTGACAGAAAACCACTTCTGTTTGAGGCGGCGGATTCTGTTGTTTTCCCGACCCGGGGCGGCCTTTCGGCGGCAAACGAGATGCACGCCAAAAGAGAGGCAGCGTAACAACGATGATCCTGGGTGGCTTTGGAAGAGTGAGGCAACACAAAAACTCGTTGGATTCTTGGTTTCCACCGACTGGGGCCCGCGTTCTTAGGTCAGCCAGGTTTTCTTCTTAGGTTCCATCGGAGGGACGGCAAAAACGACTGATCTACCATGCGTTGTTTCTTGTTTGGACTCCGAAGGGGATCCCCTTGCTATCACTACGGTAACATTTGTCCACAGCCATGATAGGGTGTTGCCCAAAAAGGGGTTAACTTTAAAAGTGGCGGATGTGCTTCTGACTTCCCTAATTTTTAAAGCACGCCAAGTGGTTGCAGGGTTGAACGCGCGAACAGGCAACCAGTGATGTTTGATACCACCGCTCAGATCTTTAAAGGCCCAAAATATTCAGAGGGGTTCGGAGGTTTTCCGGGAATGTTGTCCCATTTACCCTCTTTGAGAGAACCAGGGCTTCAAATCCTCGAGGGCAAATCTGAAGGGGAGTTTTCCTCGGTAAAGCACACAAGAATGGTGCACAAACGCAAACATATAATCCTAACACTAACCAATATGATCAATCATAACAATGAGAAATGATAGTAGCAATATGCAGCAAAAGAACTAGTCAAAATACTAATTTCTACGAACCATCGACGATAATCACAAGAAAGGACGTGTGTACGGCAGGTTGCTATTGTGGCTCAGGAAGATTTCAGGAGAAGTCGACAGAAGGAGCCCCCTCACCAGCAACTAAAAGGAGGACGGGACAGGAACGCATTCACCCCATATTTTTCAAAGTTTTGGAACACTGACTGGGAATGGATCTAGCTGCAAGGACTCCTGTTTCCTCCAACCGCCCCTGGGTCATGGAAACCAACCCATCCATCGGCAGAGGTTCAGGAAGGTCCGCACGGTGAAGAGCAAACAGTCAGGGTTCGCTGTCAAGCGCCGCAGCGTCTGATACTCCACCTTCAGCCACGCAGACTTGGACAAGCCCTTCTCATCGATGGACTGGATGAGCTCACTGAACCTGAGACATGAGAAAGCAGCTGTCTCCGGAGGAGATCAAAACATTTACCCTTTTTGACTCAAGCTGGATCTGTGCATCTCTCAGCGCCGGAACCCAGATTGGTCTCGTGGCCGATTGGAAGATGCAGAGCCGAGGGGCAGCTTGTTTCTGTCTTCCACTGATATGCCTGGATTGCGGTGGGGGTACCGACCGTAGCCCGCCAAAATGTCATCTGTCCAGCTGATGTTCCAATTGCTGCGCCACATGGGCCTGTCCTTTGCAAAATGCTCGGCCTTGTAAAAACCCAAGTTCTTGATTTCCCTCCGCTTTGCTTGAGCGTGTCCTTTTTGGGACCCCCAAAATGCTGGTGGTTCTTCTCTGGTTTCCCTTTTTCCGACGAAAACCGGTACCCTCAAAAAAAGAACCACCCACTCACTTTCTCACTGTGAAGGTGGAAGCCCCCAGAGCCGGCTCACCAAAACCCATCGATCGGGTCCTCCGTCAGTGTCGCAAACACCCGCGAGACCGGCTTCTGCAGATCTTGGGCATACTGCGGCACCTCAGAGGGTAACCAGAACCCAAGAAGCCACGCGATTGCGACAAGGGATGCCACCATGTGTAAACATGCTTCAGGAAAAACATGTTCCGGAAAAAAGAAGAAGACAAAATGAAGACCTTGCAAAACACCAATGATCCTCCTTTTCCAAGAGAAAGTTGTCTTTCTACTGGGGTCTGTGCACAAACCGATGCAATCGTCGGTCGGAGGATAACTGCAACCACCCCTCTGCAAGAATCAAAGATCCTTCTTGCACATAGTTGGTTGGAGGGTAACTGCTGCAACCGCGCCTCTGCAAGAATCAAGCATTCTTTTTGCACGTAGTTGGTTGGAGGGTAGCTGCAACCGCCCCTCTGGAATCAAAGATCCTCTTTGCACGTAGTTGGTTGGAGGACAGCTGCAACCGCCCCTCTGGAATCAAAGATCGTCTTTGCACGTAGTTGGTTGGAGGACAACTGCAACCGCCCCTCTGGAATCAAAGATCCTCTTTGCACGTAGTTGGTTGGAGGACAACTGCAACCGCCCCTCTGGAATCAAAGATCCTCTTTGCACGTCGTTGGTTGCAGGGTAGCTGCAACTGTTTCCTGGAATCAATGATCCTTGTTGCACACAGTTGGTTGGAGGGTAACTGCTGCAACCGCGCCTCTGCAAGAATCAAAGATCCTTTTTGCACGTAGTTGGTTGGCGGGTAGCTGCAACCGCCCCTCTAGAATCAAAGATCCGTTCTGAGCTGTCCTCAGATCCCCCGCTACAAGTGAAACTTTTTGCGGGCTAAATGGAAAAACCCACCAAACACTAACAAGCTAAAAAGCTAAGGAACCGGATGACCAAGGTCTCAAGCGCCCATTTCTTTCGCAGCCAAAAAGGCCTCCGCTCGTCGCCCCTCGCCCCTCGATCCTCGGCGCCTTGTGGTGGATCTGCTCCATGTCCAGGCCAAACCGCTCCTGGAAGCGGCTGAAGCTGAAAAGCACCGAGCCTGCCACCAGGGTGCTGTCCTGGGACGCTTCTTTTTTGACGAGCCCGGGGGGTTTGGTGCAGCAAGTGGGTGGCACTTTAAAAAAAAAACAAGGAAAAATGGACAACCCACTGAAACAAATGTACAAACGTGTGTCCCCTCTGAAGAAATATTGATAAACTCTGAGCTGTTGCCCAAACAGTTAAAGCCCAAAGACCCAACCCAGTCAGAAAGATTCATGTTTTGTCTCAAAACGGAAGACATTAAACATGTCTTGACCAACCAGGCCGAACTAACCAGGGTCGGGCCCACCCATTGAAACAAGTGTCAAGCAACAATTGTTGACCTGAATAGGGGACCAGAAGCGCGTAGCTTAATATATTTTTTTGGCCAACCCTGCTGTCCTGCATCAATACCAGGTCCTGGATGCACCGAAAACGGGGAAGGGAAGGGGGGGGGATTATCACCTGATCCCACTACAATTTGGGTGACCCTAAATGGTAAATGGGCTCTTACTAATGCGGTCTGACGTTTAGGGTCCCCGAATAGTGGCAGCTAGTAACTTTCGGCACTGGGTTTGGCTTCTCCAGCAAGATGATCCCGTTTTCGGCTTTGTGCAGGTTAAACATAGCGCAAGTTTCTGGTCGGACATATCAGGAACGCTCTTGGTTTGTGCCCCCAGGAGTACATGCATAGAATGAGAAACCCATATCCATCCAAGGTCCCCCGAAAATGAGTTTCATGTACCTAGGGAAATCATGCCCAGTGCTCCCAGTTGCTTGGGGAAGGGGATGCCTTATAAATCCCTCCACCAGCTCCTGGGTTGCCAGCAAATTCAGACAGCATCCATCGATGTTCAATAAGGGGTAATGACTCTTTGAGCTGACCCCTGCAATTTCAATAAAACCAGCCAGCCCGTTTGACCGCAGAATACTGATATTTAGAGACACTCCGTTTGAGGAGAGGAGGCTTTGAGTTGACCCCTGCAATTTCAAGCCCGTTTGACCGAGTCAGAATACTGTCGACACCCCGTTTGATGAGGAGAGATCCGTTGATGTTCCCATGGTCTTGTTCAAGGCGGCCTTTAGGCTTTAGGCGAACTTGACCGACCTTCTCGCCTCCATCACCAGGTTGGACGCCAGCTCCAACGGGAACTCCTCCCCAGTTCCACAGTAGAAAAAGGGGACCAATTCTTGTTGCATTGACAAGGGGGGAACTCTCCAAGCAAACAACAACCTTCCGAACACAAAGAGACTTCGAGACCAGAGACCCAAGAGAACCCTCCATTTGCAGAGGAACCCGAGCAACCTTTTGAAAACTAAGGAGCCGAAGTGGACTCCACTGACTAAGGACTCCTCATAGTCCCCAAGCACGTACTCTGCGCGCCAATTCTCCGCCTCCACCTTCACCCGCGTGTCCGGGCCGAAGCGTGCGCCGCGTGCGCCGCCTTCAAGCCCTCCACTCGGAGACGCGCGGACCTGGAAGTTCTCGGGGTAGTACGCCGGCAAATGGTCCAGCAACATCTCAAGGACTTCACCTCACGCTCTCCGACTTCGCATCTCCCCTTCGCCAAGTACTACTCGCCACGGTCAATCACTAATAGTTCCAACTGGAACCATACCTAGAGTCTCCATGACTCTTAGAAAAAGGTCTGACCCCTTAATTTTGGGTAATGATCCCAATTTAAAGGGTCATGGAGACTCCAGGTACATATGCAAGACGCTGGCGTTCATGGAAATCCCAGTTCGCATCCCCCGACCAAACAACAATCCCCAGCCCCAGAGCGGTTCAATGCTGGGCTGTGACGGTTTATCAGTTGGACAATTTCTTTGGCACCAATTCTTATGACTCCGCACAGAACACCCACAAGACATGGTTCAGCGCGATTGCCATCTTGCCAAAGGGGAAGGTTTGGTCTTCCATAAGGGCCCAAACTTGCACTAAGCCATGCTTGTTGAAAAACACGTTTAAAATCTGGTGTCCCAATAAAGTTCTGAACCACTCAGTTGATTCTGGTTGCTTCAACCAACTCTGCCCCTGCCCCAGTTTCCAATGTTCCGAGGCGCGTTGGGCCTTCTGTGAGCCATCCTTCTGCAGCAAATACTTCGGTCGACTCGCCTCTGGTGGGTGCGGAACCACAGTCAACATGTGCCATGGGTTTAGAATCTGGACAGTGGCAAAGCAGAGACTGACCATGGTCAAGGTTTGCGATGTTAATCTTCTATACGCTCTACATGGGAAAACTTGTTTGCAGCAAATACGGGCCTTACAAGTCACTGGGACAAATTTGGCACGCGACCTCGCCTCAGCAAAGCACCCTATGAATCAGCGGGTTGATTCATCCCCGGTTCCCTTGCCACTCTCTCTTCTCCGAATGAGCAAGACTGCCATGTCAAGTCGACTGGTGGTGCGAAACGGGCCGCAAGCCTGGATGGCTCAAGCAACTCAGCAAAGTACTTAGGATATAGCCATGGTAAGGGGACTAATCCCAGTTCCACCAGTCAAAAACCGTGGTTCTAACCTCTCAGATGCCCAGTGGCCATGGGAAAAAAGGCCATCCTTTTTGGTTGGTTGAGTTGAAAGGGAACCCTTCCCAAAAAAAAACAGGGAAAAAGGGGGCGCCACTGGCAATTCTGGCAGTTAGGTGGGGAGTTCCCACTAAATCACAACAAGCAAAAATGAAAAATGTTTCCCAACATAACAACCATGTGATAAGCATGGAAATACCTTCCAATGGTGTTTGGGCCATCTTTTTGTTAAGCTAATACCAAGATGTTGAGCCATCTTTTTGGATGTTCCTACCTTTTCGGATGCTTCCCAACTAAGTTGGCTCAACATCCAAACCAAAAATCCCCAAACCCCGAGGACTCTTGGCCCGGCCTCCGAGGCGAAGATCTCCCGCTTCACCCGCAGGTGCCGGCTCGCTTCCGAGGGGTCGAAGTGGATCCACTGATCCGCCTGAAGCGGATCAAATGCCGCCGTTGGTTGGGGCAACTTGGCGGAAAAAAAAGAAGAAACAAAAAGAAGAAGAAACAAACCGGTTCTGGACCCCTGTTTGTTTTCTTTTTGAGGCGCGTGCCCGGTTTCTGGGGTGAATGTCAGACACTGGAGTTGTTGTTTGACAGTTTCTGGGGTTAATTGCCGCTGGGTTGCTTTTTTTGGTGAAAGTCAAAAAGTGGGGCTCATTCTCTTTCAGGCAATGGTTAAATCATGGGGCCAGTTGTATTGGCAGGAAACATTCCCAAACCCTGAGACACTGGTAGAAACTTGGGCCAAGATGAAAAAGGAACCTGTTTCGACGGTTTGGTCACCTCGGAGCAATCGCGGGCAGTCAACGTTCGGAACGAGCGTTGGGATCGGATGGCACTCTGCCCCCGCGGAAAGGGCAATCGCGGGCAGCTGGCGAGGGGGGCAAAAAGCACCCGCCGCAAACCTCCTCTCAAAGGCCAAAAAGTACCCACCCCCAATCTCCCCTCAAAGGCTGAATGTGTGCGTCCAGATGCGCGCCCGCAGGCCAGGATTTGCGGGTCAGTTCAAGCAGGCGCTGGAACCAAAATAAGTGAATTTTAGGAGTAGGGGGTGCCGGGTCCGGATTTGGGGGATGTTTGCGCTCATGTTCATCTTGAGATATGCATCAATGCTCCGTTGATTCGCGCAGCTTTGAGCAATCGAAAATGGCGTAGCATGGCTGGCACTGTTCTGGGAGGAGAACCCCTGGGCTGCTTTCTGATCGCTCGAGTCCCCTGAATTGCCGAGTCACTTTTGCCCGGTGGTAAAAACAGTAACTCGTGCTTGCGGTGCTGGCTGCAAGTAGGCTTTAGATCTGTTGTGTCCATGTCCAGCTTCATTTTTAGCCTGAATCACTGGTAATGATTAATTACGTCGGATCCCGGTCCAGCGCACCCAACATGGGAAGCCAGCCACTTTTGGTCCCAAAACAGCCATGGGCTCAAATATGCACAAAGGCATTCGGTCTTCGTGCGAAACTAGGGACGCCACAACCGCCTTAAAAAGGGATTTCCAGGCACTTCGGGGGAAGGGGGGGGCTTTCCTGGACGCGTGTTTTGTTTAAAGGTTGCAAACATTAATCTGCCCAGCCAAAAACAAAAAAACATCGCCTTACATGGAAAAAAAAACATGAAATAAACCAACATGACCGGCCTTTTTAACATGAAATAAGCCTGAATTTCGGTGGTATCACCTTGGGACAACCCGAAGCAGCTGCAAAAAGGGCCGCGACCTCCGGATGATGCCCCACACGCCCCGAAGCGCTTCCGGACCGCACCTTCAGGGCGAAGAGGTTTGGCCGCAGCCGGCCCTTGGGCGTCACTGTCTCCGTAAGGCCCTGGCAAGTGCCGCCCAGCGGTTCGCCGCTTCGGTGGGGACCCCCCAAAGTTTGGCTCACTGGCTGAGTAGATGGCCCAAAAAAAAGTCCAAACTTTATTTTTACCACTAAAACGGTCTTCCCCAAAAGTTTAAAGTTCATGAACTCAGGAAGTCAGAAAGATATTTTATGTTTTGTTTTTTTCTTTTCTCCCCATGGCTCGTTTCCATTTAAAGAAAAGTGCAAAAACAGGGGGCAGCTTCAAAAAAGACGAAGAGCACTTGGCTATGACCCAGCCACTTGGGGAACTTGTACATTGGTTCCAACGGCTTGGGGCAAAGCCTGCAAACTTGTCCTTGCAGCTGATACTAGCTGTTCCGGGTGGAGTGGGGGAAATGGTGGAGGCCGTTGTGGGACCTTGACGCAAAATGGGAGGCTCAAAAAGTTTTAAAAAGCCGACTTGGGCCATGAAAGGCAGCCAAAGGTGAGAATTCCTGGTGGAGGGTCTGATCCTTCCAGAGGGTGGTGGGTGGGCCAAGCTCTTTCCCAGTCTGATTGAATTGGGGACCCAGGTCCTCAAGCAGGCGCACTTACCATTTGGCAGGCGTGCGTGCAGCGCTGACAGGGCGCCCTGCCATCTGGCAGGCGCGAGTGCAGTGGCCCTCGCAGATCTTGGTTTGGAGGTTAGGGGCGGTTTCCCATCTGCCCTCTACAAAGAAATCCTCAAGCCACCAATCCAAACCCACCAAATAAGAGTTTGCTGCAAAAAGACGACGCCCATTTTGAGAAACGGCTGGTCTTGTTCCCTGCCTGGCGCAGCCACGTGAAGGCGCTCGAGGCGCCGCTCTTCGCTGCCATCTCGCGGTTCCAAGTTCGGGCGGCCAAGATTTGGGTGAAAGAGTTTCCCACCCAGAGGCTCCCGATTGGTTCAGGGCCTTCGAACAACCTGGTTTTGAGATCCCCCAGCACCTCCAGGGTGTCTAATGGATGGATGGCTGTTCTTGGTTGCTTTCTGCTCCCCCGCTAAAAGTGAATAACTTTTAGTGGTTTAATTCGGAAAACCCATTAGTTGGCAAAAAGGTGTAAAGTCCTAACGGCCAAGCAAAATGCACCAAAGTGTTGGTGAGATAGCGGCTATCTTGAGACAAGCGCGTCCCCGTGAATTGGACATTCCAGTCGCGGGAAATTGACCCCCAAAGCTGGCTGATTGATCTTTGGTTTCCCTTTTGAGGCCCTCATTGGATTTAACAGCTAGGAAAGCAAGATTGTCCTGAGAAGCAATGGTAAGTCAGAGACCTTGATCAGTGCGATGGTCAGTGAGAGTCGCTAAGACCTGCGTTTGCCCCGTCACCCCTGCTGTTCGTTCCAAGGGCACCCAAAGTGGCCATCGCTTTCTACTTCTGGCTAGCTTCATTCAGAGAAGATCACACAGCTTCTACAGGGGAACGGCAAGCCTCCCTCAGGGTTCCTCGAACCTTAGGAAAAGGTCCTCATTCTTTGGAAGCTTCTGAGACTCTTTGAGCCTCGGGCTTCATGGAACTCACTTCTCCATCTCCTTTTGGCTCTGATCCCAGCTTGAGCCCAAAAAAGCAACGGCCCCGTGAATTCTGAGAACCTTCCGTGCAAACTGCCAAGATCCCCGCAACCTTAGGGGAGGGCGACAGATGGGTCCCCTTACAATTTATGTGCCTAATGCAATTCTCGGTTCCTGCCCCTCCCCCCAGTCAGTTTTTCATTGGATCCAGAAAGTGACATCCTCAAGATTACTGTGCCCTATAAATACGCGTTGGTTCTTATTCCTCTTAAACTTGGACATTCTTCAAGCTTCCGCGGACCCTTCCGCATTTGTGCCGCGGGCCAAGAGGTTCCTTGCGCGGACCCTCGCGGAACATGCTTTCCATTTGCTTCCGCGCTGCCAACCCGCAGCGGGCCGCACAATTTGCCGGCTATGCTGGTCCTCTTAGCCTGCTGTTGGCAACTGCTCTTGTAGTACGCGTCGCGCCCCTTGTATGCAGCAACACCTTTCTGCTATGCTACTATCAATCATTTCCCTGTGCTTTCCATGCGCGCAAACTGAAACGGTTATCACGCCACAAAGCTTCTGCAAGCCTTCAGCGAAAAAAGGCCCTTCCACGAACCTTCCGCATGCTTGCGCGTGTGTCGCGGTGCGCATGTTCAGGAATCATGTCCCTCTCCCTGAAATTGCGCGCCGAAAAACGGCTGCTCAAATTGTGATTTCGAGAAAACCCGCCCCAAGAGTCATTTTGAGAAGATCTCCAAGTGCAACCATGTTTAGCGACCCAGTCGTGCTGGGATGTCTCAATACGACGCAGCGACTGGGCCTTGCGCAGCAAGCTAGATCGCTCAGCGCCTGGCTGCAAGCTTTCAGCAAAGAGACGTGCCGCTCTATCAAACGCATGCCCCGGCAGGGGGGTGCATGGTGGAGCAAGCACGACCAAACAAACACACAACCAAGCCAAGCCAAGCCAAGCAACAAACAAAAACGCACAAGCACATACACGCCCTAAAACAATCTCGACGTTCTCTATACCCAAACCAAAGGCACAAAGGCACCTGAAACATGCTTAACAAGTGGCAGCCACGAAAAGCTACGACAAGAGACACTTATTGAGATGAGCAAATGCAGGGATCCTAAAGAGGAGAACCCAAACTCTCCAATTCTTTAAGCTGGAAAGCCCTTCAAACTTGGCAATCACTTACTACAATGTTGACCCTTCCACACGGGGACGTTTAATCTAAGGCCACCTGGAGCAAAAATCCTGCACTGGACCTCGGATTTTTTTCGCTCAGCCGCTGGAAAGCCCTGGCCGCAGAATTTATGCGGCCAAGGCTGCCAGTCTTCAACCTGCTCAGGGAGCAACACATGGGTTGTCAAACATGTATCTTCTTTGGCACCCATTTTTGACAACGCCCCATGTCTTCGGCTTTGCGGCGTCAACTTTCACGGGGTGTCTGAGGCCGTAGGCCTTCTCTGAGGTTCACTGCCAATTGGCGTAGTTGGCCTTTCAAAGCTCCGCACCTGTTACCCCTGCCTTCGAGAAACGCATATTGACTTTGGGATGACAAGCATCCCAAAGATCCACATATTTATTGCGGGTGCGCGTTTCACCTGGGTTAAAAGGGAAACCAAAACGAAGCGAACCATCTTTAGGGTCTCCTGTTTTACAAGAAAGAACCCACGCCACAGGGCGCGCGAACAAAACCGATTTCGGCAGATCCGAGGTGCGTTTCGGCCCGGTGAAACTCTCTCCTTGGAAGAGCATCGGAGATCGCGCCTGGGCGCGTGGGCGCTCGGCGCGAAAAAACGGAGGGGTGGAAAAAGCCTGTCTTTCGACATAAAATCTGTGCGGGCGAGGCGGTGAGACGTTCACTTGAGAATCCAAAGGACTCGATTCAATCCGACTCAGAACCCTTTTGCCCACTCCTTGCAGGGTGCGAGGGTGGCAAGCACAACGCGTCCAAGCACCAAGAAGGTGAAGCCATTCAGTGTTTGACGGAGTGATACTTCTCTTGTTGGGAATGGCAACATAAGCCATTAAGTCACTGCAATGCTTGATCCTTCCAAAAAGGAGCCAATTTTCGGAGTACTGGGATTCAACTGGGAACCAAACATCTGGGAGAAACCGGCCAGTCTCTATACCGGTTTCGTCCAGAGTTCCATGTTGTTTTCCGCCAGAAGGCTCACCCTGAAATTTGTCGGGGACAAAACCAGCCCTGAGTTCGTCTTTTCAACATTTAAGTAGAACCCACACACACACACACACACACCCAGACCCCTCCCGATACCCCTAACACCTATCTCAGTTTTTAGGGGGTGTGTTTGGAGGGTCCTTCCAGGGGTGAAAACTGCCCTCTGGTTTCGTTGCCCCCGGTTCGGTTTGCCCGTCCATGGAGGCGTCGTGGGCGAAGCCGCTGTTGCCCTGCTCCGGGCACACCGGTTTCCCCGCGTCCGCCGGGATCTCCCACGACTCCTCGGCTGGAGCTGGTGCCAGCCTGGCTTTTTCCATGCACTTTTCCCCAAAAACCAGCAACAGTGACTGAAAAAAACAGCAACTTGGCTGTCTAGGTGGTTCAAAAGGGAAGCCACACACAAAATCCGAACGAGAGGTCCGAAAGCTTTGTTCGACCTAGTTTCTGCACTTTCTCTTCCAGAATCCGGGTGGACACCCATTCGTTTTGTCGAGCCTGGCTGCCTCTGCAAATCTGCCCCAACGGGCCCCTTTGACCCAGGGTGACAAACCTTTGCATGGGTTTTATCAGAACGGTTCTATCCTCAGAGCTTACATTACAATCATTAACATTGCCCGCCAAAAGAAACGATGGCAAATTGTTGAACAGGCCATAACACCATCTAAACCAGTGCAACCCATTGATTTCTCTTTTTTAAGCCGATGCCGTCCCTCATAATACGGCTTACCTTATGATTGGCTCTCCGGAGGCAGACTCAAACATTTGCACTCCTCTCCTCTCGTCCTCAGGACCATTTTTGTTTTTGCGGTCTAGCGCAGCAGTCCTGTTTAAGCTGCGGACGCCGGAACTTTCCGTAAAAACATCACCCCCACCAACAAACACTTACCTTTCATGGGCGAAAGCAGTGTCATGATGTTTAAACTCACCGAAGAAGCAAGTATAGGGACCCCGGGCAGCAGACTGGGCGCCGTCTGACCGGTGCAAAAAAGCCCGCCCGAGCTCCTGGATCTTCCGGCGGTCCGGCAGCCACGGGGCCTGGATGGACTGGCCAGCCAGGGCGTTCCAGCTGAAGCCTCGGAGGCTTCAGCTGGATCCATCGGTTTACCGCTTGCCGTCCCTGGAATTCACACAGAAACCAACCAGCCCCCAAAAAAGACGGAAACCAAGGGGGGTCCATTCATGTTTTTAACAAACCCTTGCCGCAAAAACGACAAGCACCAAGGGGGGTCAACTTTTGTGTAACAACCCCTTGCCCAACAAAAACTAACACTGAAGAGGGGAGGCTTCGATTCTTTTTTGGGCACCCCTTGCTGGCGAAAACCAAAGGGAATCCTAATGGGAAATCACTGATTTTGGGGGGGTCCCCTAAAAAAGACATGATTGCAGTTGCCAAGTGTGGAGGTTAAATGTTGTAAAGACCCATGTGTTTGTTCATACAGTTCAACATCGCCGGATGTGCGGAGGTATGGAGGCTGGGGACGTATGCCACGAAGTGCATAAGGCAGTATGACTTGCTGTGGTATAGAGGTTCTACAAGCTCCATACAGTGTGGACGCGCCTTTTTGCCCAACAGCCTAAAGCTTAGGCTCCAGGGTGGTCCGGGGCGGCCCTGAGGTAAGGTTCCACGAGGGTTCCACGGTTCCACCAGCGTTCCATGAGGTTCTGCGAGGGCTCCGCATGCTGTTGGGGATATCACCTGAGCTTATTTTATTTATTTTTGTTTGCGGGGGGCGGGGGGGTCCGAAATATAGCGACACGCCCCTTAACGAGAGCCTTTCAAGTGCGGCTTTTGAAGTCACTAAGGATACGGCGATGTCTTGCACAAATGGCGAACTGTCACGCACCCTTCAGGAAAGAAGCTTTCACTCTTTGAGCACTGTCATACGGCGGTTGGTGAGGTAGCTATGTCTTGCTCAGAAGCGCCCCTACAAATAAACGTAGGAACGCAGCACATCGTGTGCCAAAAAAAAAACGGACTCCACATTTGGGAACCATGTTGTTTTTGATAGCAGGAAGTACCAGGCCTGCGCTGTACGATAAGCACACCAACCATCATCAAAGAGACCCAAGGGTCCATGGGGTCCTTACCCCACATGTTGCTTTCCAGGATCGGAGTTGGAAGTAACAGCTCGGGCACTCAGGCGTTTGGCTTCCAGCCAGATGTTCGCTCGGCTGGGCGCCGAGCCAGAGAAGTAGGCATGCTCCTGGATGTCCTGCGCGCGACCCCCCAAAGCGCCTCAACCTGAAACAATCTCTTTTCGTTGCCGTTTCCGTTTTCCCGGACGGGGAATTTGGACAGTCTCCCAGAGGGTGTTAAAACCGTGAGTCGGGTGAAGATCCCATACCAATGACCGGTCACCTCTCACCCTTCATGTTTGCTGCTGAAAGGAACTCCCTTGCAAAGCCCTCCAACAACTAGATGAACTGCAAGCATGCAAACCCTGAAGGAAAAGACCCTATATCTCCCCTTCTACACCCGTCCAAGAAGGTTCAAACAGTTTTAGGAATGAGGGAAACATGTACAATATAGGGACTTTTTGCCAAGCAACCCACAAAGTGACTCCAACCACACTCCTGCGAATTAATCTGACACTCAAAAGGCGAAACAAACCATTATCAGCAAATTATCCTGTGCCACTGCCTTTTTGGGGTGGAGTAAGCCTCACCCATCCAACCCCACCCCACCCCACCCCACCCCAACCCACCTCACCCCGCCCACCCCACCCCACCCACCCCACCCAATCCGGACCCCCAGGGCCTTTGCAGCCCGGGAGGACGCGCCCAGTCGCAGCTCCGGCGTGCGTTCCAAGAGCTGGGAGATGATGCCTCGCGGACGAAGACAGGTCTCTCAGTTTCAGACCCAAAATCCCACTCGATTCCCGAGTGGATGGCCCACAAGAAGTCCAAGAATTGTTTAGCACTAAACTGGTCTTGCATGTTCTTCCCACAAAGTATAAAGCATGTCCCTAGTTTGGCGTTGAGACATGGGTCTTTCTCAAGATAGTGCCCTGACATAGTGGAACCATATGTTTATAGAAGGTCAATTAAGTACATTCGCAGGTAATTAGGTGGTTTCCTTTTGGATTTCCTTCAAAACCCCAAAGTTGTTTCCGTGTGCATGGGCGAAATCCACTTCGCACCACTTTGTACGTGGTGTATCCCAGCATTTAAAGGGCTTCATGCATTTTCTGCTGGTGCAGGATATGTTTTATCCAGAGTGCAAGCAACCACATCCAATATCAAAACCGAAACAAGACACGGCAAAACTGCCGGGTTGGAAAAAACTCAACGGGTGGAACCAACGCCCCTGGCCGGGAAAAGAACTCTTCCTTTTCTATTTCGTGGCTGGAAGAAACGCTGGCAGTCCTGAGCCTGGCTTCACACCCGACTGATTTTGGAGCAAATGGGATTTCAAAGGTGATCCAGGGCTCAGTTGTTCAATGACCCTAGAAAAAAGGGAACCCTTTTTGGGGTTGACCATTTTTAGTGGGGCGGCCACCCAAAAAAAGAGGAAACAAGGGTGCCACTGAACAACTGAGAGGGCATTCCGGGAGCCGTTGACACGTAAACACGAAGGCTGCATCTAGGAATCTAGGGCCGCCAGGGCTGAATCTGTTCTCATCCCGGCGCACCCAGCCTCCCTAAAAAAGACGACACGCATGCGCACACGCATCCCCCAATCCGGCTTCCTGCCCCGGCCATCTATGGAACCCACACGCAACCCCAAAAGGGCTCCATTCTCCCAAAGGAGCTTTCTCAAAACATGGAGTTGTTTGGGGTTCCAGTCTCAAGCGAGGTACTGATGGCCGACTTGTCGGTGATGTAGCTGGGAAAGGCCAAAGGTGCCTGGGCCAGGGTTTGGCACCACTCAGCGAACGGAAGGAGAGGCTGCCTTTTCAAGAGTATCCAAAAAGGAAATTGGGCCAAGTCGATCTCAACATACAGAACCATCCGTTCGTCTTACCCTCATTTGTGTCTTGGCAATCTCGAGCGAGACTAGCAGCGCGAGGGGTTGTTTTCCCACGTTCTTTTTTTCGCCCCGAGCGGCCCCAACTCCAAACCAAGTGAGCGCCCAACGTCTTCGCCTTTCAGGCCATGAAGCTTCATATTGGCACACCCAAAAGAGGTTTCCGGGTCCAACAAGCTTGGGCACTCCCATCCCATTCGACCCAAGGCGTAGCAACCCCCGTATCCTGAAGGAAAAATGAATCAGACGATGCTCCAGGGGCCACGCCCCCCAATGCCCCAATTGGCCCCGTTTTTGGAGGCATGGCCTCCATGATCTCCTTCAGCAATTGCAGCTGGTCATCCGAGTCTCTGCCTCAAGCAACTCGACTCGACTCGACTCTTTGTCGAAAAAGAAAACCAAATAAAAATAAAATCTGCCCAGGGCTCGGGTCCCGAGCCCGCCTCGCGCGCGAAAAACTTCCAGGGGACAAGGACTTCAAATCTTGGACCATGCGGAGTGCCAGGCTTCGGGACCCGAAGCACAGCTTGAAGTTCTCTCTTGGGAAGGGAAGCCGCCAGAAAACTCCTGGAGTTCCACCCACCTAACCGGTGCCAAGACCTCTGCCCGGAATGAGGATGGATGGCAGAAATGGCTTCAAAGGTAAAAAGGCCTTATTTGACTTCTCCTCGTAGGAACGGATCGCATGAACCTTGAAGAAGGGAAAAAACAGCCCAGGAGTTTGTGTTGTTGTGTGTTTTTCCGCTATGAGTAGAACCATACTGAAACCCGTGTCATTTGAATACATATCTGCAAATGCAGGAACTTCCAAACTGGTTCTCTTGAACCAACCCAACGGGTACCCTCTTCAAAACGTCTTTACGTTCAGGTGGGGAAACTACTCTACCCCAGGAGTCCTGGCAAAATATCAACGGAAGAAACTAAAACCAACCTTGGCACATCCGGTCACACGGCTTACCCGTATTGGAACGTCGAGCACATTCGTTTCAGTGCAATCCATCGAACTCGCTTGGGGAAGTCAGAGGTGAACCTGTTGGAACCTCGACTACAAAAAGGAGCACTGCAAAAGGACCAGGGAAAAAGAACAGGTCCAACGAACCTTGACTTAAAAAAAAAACAAAAAACAGGGGCGCTGCAAAAAAGGACACCCCCCCCCAAAAAAAAAAACAGGTCCCAAGGCTCGGCTTTTTCGACCAGCTTTAGCCAACCAAGCAACCGAAGGGGAGAGGGCCCACGATGAACTCGTGCATCATCACCTGAGCAGGCCGGAAAAACCAGAAGCATGCTCACCGTGTCCGTCCCGCAGACCAAAACCCTTGAAAAGCTGCGGCTGTTCAAAATGGAGGCTTGGCCAATCCAGAATCCCATGTAATCCCTTGCGTAACCTTTGAACAGCCCAGAAAAGCAGTTGATCCGGGGAAACTGAGTGAGCCCAAATCTCGGAACTTAGAAGCTTTGCATTTCTTGCGCGCCCTGCGTGTCAAATCGGCTTGCCTCACGTTGGCTTGCCAGGGTTTCCCTTCCCCCCAGGTGCCCCAAAGGACCTGAGCTTCGCCATGACCCAAAGAAATGGTAGGAAGAGAATCTGAGCGCCGGGCCCCGAGCGCCCACCAATCCACGGCGCAGGTGTAGCCTGACATGTTCCGGACCCGAATGAACTGCCAGTTGGCTGACTCAGGCTCAATGGTGGACAGGTGCAGCCAAACCGGGAACACGAAGCGCCTATCGAAAAAAACCGGAAGTCAGAGGACCTGAAGAACACGTCATTCTTGGCACCTCATGACAAGTTGAGCTATTGTTGCGTCTGTTGCTCAAAATATTCGGAATAGTATTGAAAATCCTAATTTAAAGCACTTTGAAATAATTACTCACGGGAAAGTATATTATGCAACATAAATAACCTTGAACATTGAAACCCTGTACCCGGCAAAATAAGTGAATATTCGGAATACTTTTGAAAGCTACAAACCTACACACTTTAGAACAGATACGTTTTCTATTTACAAAAGACTCGGAACAAGCTTAGAATTGTAAAACAGAATCTATTAAGCAACATGATTACATGATCGAAAGAAGAAAAAAATCACACAACCTACAATTTTTGGAATAGTTATGTGCTTACACAAAATATTGATAATAATTTGAGAATTACAAACCTATACACATGATAATACCAATTGTTGTGACGAAGTAGGATTAACCATGCAATCTAAACCTATGCGCCTAAAAATACATGCTTTGTTTGCGCGAAATATTCGCACGCATCTGAAAAATTACAAACCTGCTCCGAGGTACGCAAATAAGCATTTTCAAGGTCATCCCGGATAGCGAAGAAACCCAAGTCAACCGACAATTTCCTCTGCTTTCCTCGCCTTTGCCGATAATGCTCTCCGGGGCGAAGTACTCCGGCGTCCCGACGAGAGTGTTGGATTGCAGACACTTCTTGCCTCCAGGCGCCAGCTTTTCCACAACGGGAAGGAGCATTGTGATGTGGAGTTCCCCACATTTGCTGCAGTCTTTCGCAGGGTCAGGATAACCGTGGCTGAGACAACCAAAATCGGATGTTGAAAAGGGGAAACATTGGGAAAGAACACCCATCTGGATACCAAACTGGCATTCCCCATCCTGTGACTACGTTGTCGGCATAGTTCCCAAGTAGCGCACCACACAACCCTATGCGAATGGTCCTCTGACTCAACGTGGTCACCTCAAAACCAAAGAAAAACCCAACATGTGCACCTCTAAAATGGGTGACTTCTTTCGGTTTCCCTGCAAAACAAACCTGGAACAGTTTCTAACTTCGCCAGCACCTCAAGACAAACCTGCCCATTTTTTCTGCGTGCTTTGTTACCCCCAGCCCAGCCCAGTCCAGCCACCTCTCCCACCCCACCCCCCCACGGTCACCCCACCCCACTTCCGCAAAGGCGCAGCACCCGAAGTCCACCAGCTTGGCATTGCCCCGGAAGTCCAGCACCACGTTCTCCGGCTTCAGGTCTCGGTACCTCAGCCCACGGCTGAGAAGGCACGAGGTGAGGACGGGACTTGCCGAAAAACCGCCCAGGCTGAGGTGCCTTTTTGCTCCCGCAGTGTCTGGCCACGCTTGTCCAGAAGGTGCTCTTGCCTCAACAGCCTGAAGGGAAATAAGGAACAAGGTCTAGTGACAAATTTAGTTTTGTATTATTATTATTATTATTGTTTTTTCTTTTAATGGATGGCGAGGTTCGGGAAGGTGGGAAGGGGTCATGCCTGGTTGCCCTGACGAAGAGTGCCTCCGATACTTTAAAAAAAAAAAAAAACACAACATATACCGTCGGTGTCCTCCGAGTTTCCTGTTTTCCTTTGCAAAGGTGTCCTGGGACGGGAGGTGTTGCATATTATATGCATATACACCGTATATGCATGTGAATATGGCTTGCCCCCCCCCCATCCTTGGAACACCGAATTTCATAGGGCTAAGCGCATGGGGCCATGTGTTTCCGGGAGAAAAAGAGTCACAAAGGGGCAACCCTTTTCTTCCTTGCTTCCCCCGTGGTCGGCAGTTGAAAACACGTGTTCTTCCAGCAGCAAAGTGAGCAACGGACCATACATAGCATGTTGTCCACCCGACATTTGCATAACATACAGGCTTGGTTCCAACTGGCACGCCCAAGGTCAACGACCCAACCGGAACCGTCTTGGTTGGTTGCGGTTTTCAACTATAACAAACCTCCCAAGTATACAATTCTATATATATATATACAAATACACATCTATTTATATATATATATATATGTATGTATAGATACATTATTACTAGTAAAACGTCGGGGCACGCGCCCTTTGGTACGCCAAACCCCGTCCAACCAAAAGCCACTGGTCGCTGGTCGCCAGTGTCCGGCAAGCCATGAGAAGGCCAAGGCGCATGATAGACCGCCCGTGGAGGTACTCCAGAGCCAGGGTGATGCAGCCCCCGAAGAACCTCAGGCTCCGAATGAACATCTCCGACCAAAGGCTCATCTTCCCTCTGAACCCAATGGTTTGGAGCCCGGTGGCTTGGTGCTTACGGGGTGGTTTCCAAAATGCACTCCACAAGAATCGCCAATCCAAACCAACAAATAAGGGGTACCTGACATGTTGCTGCGCAACGGAAATCCACAAAAAAAACAAGGTGTGACTGGCCCCAATGCACCCTTGGGACCTGATTTGGATTGAGGGCTCTAAAGGAATGCCACTCCTTTATGCTGCGGCGGAAGGGGAAGGACATTTCTTTGCTTAGGGACCTTTAACATCAATTGGCAAATATATCATATATGAATCCTGCTTCAGCATGTCTCCTATATGTTGCTTTTTGCGGCACCTCCTGGCCGCCCCACAGCAACCTAGTCCCTGGGTTTCTGGAGCGAACCCGTTTTGGTCTGTCAAGTTATCCAAGTATCTGCCCCAACGCCCCCCCGGGACAACACCGAAACATTGCTTGAGAAGTGGCGTTCGATGCGCGCGCGATTTTGTTAGGAACGCCAAAAGGACACCTCCATTTTGGGATCCTTTGTTGCAAGATCCCTTAATCATCTCCAAGATGAAACACTCACCTCACTTCAGCTGGCCTTTGTGGAGGAACTGTCGAACAGTCTGCTTCGGGCTTCCGATCGAAAGCTTCAGCTGAAGCTATGGAGGTGGATCTCAAATACGCTTGTCATGTTCGATTGTTTGGATGGTGCCCTAGATGTGTTCAAGGGACCCTTCAGGAAACAACTGGTGTTTTTGTTGGGGCGGTTCCCGACTTTGAAACAAACCCAGATCTCAAAACCCGAAGCGAGAAGCTATCCTGACTAGGCAGGCCTTCCTCATGGAAACCAACACCCGGCTGACTGATGGAATCGTGCCACAGTTGGTTTATGATGGTTTATGTACATGTTGGTTTTGTCTTCACAGGCGGTGTTACCCAGGGGAGTCTATGACAGGGGTGACGACGCCCACCAGTTTCAGCGCAGCCCACCAAATGCAGCGCAGCCTCTCCGGACTAACACTCCCACCAGTTGGTAATTCAGCAATTAGTTCTTACCACATTGCTGTGGCTCAAACATTGGGCACCCCTTGCCCCACATTCCGAATTTAAAAAATCAGGGAAAACAAACCACACCTGAAATCTGCGCTTTGTCGCTCAAGGAACAAGAACCACCCACATGCTTCCCCACAAGTGGTAAACAGAGACGCGGAGCTGGGATTGCCGCTTGCTGAGGTTGCCAATCTCCCGTATGGCCGTGAACAAGTCGCCACCTCCAAGGAACTCGGTCAAGAAGTAGACGTTCTTGGCATCCTAACGGGCTCAAGTTGAAGGTCATTTTGGTTTCTTCTGGAAATAGAGCAGAGCCCTGCCTTTTCAAGGAAATTGGAGCCTCCACGGCTCCCAACAAAAAAGGATTGCCCTACTATTGGCCGCGTCCTAAAGGAGCTGCGCAAACTGACGAGATGTTCCGCGTTTTCAGGTGCACGCTTTTCCATCCTGCCTGGAAGGTAGTGATGAAGTGCATGATGCAGGGGTGGTAGCATTCCGAGTTAATCTCCCGCTCCAGGAGCATTGACTTCTCCTGCTTCTGCTGAACCACCTGCTTCTTGCCGATGCACTTCAGGGCATAATACTTGTGCCTCAGGTAGCAAACGGCTAGAAGCTGATGGCACCTGAAAGAATCGCCGACCACATCCCCTTGACGCTTCCGCATGCGGCCAAGTTGCTTGTCACGCTTGTGGTAAACAAGTTTCACTAGTCCAAAGGAGCCTCGCCCAACCACCGCTTTAACGTACAGGTCGGACATCTCCTTGGCTGAACATCTGACGACCTATCCAGCACACCCACCCCAAAGTCTAGGGGGGAGGGTTACTTGGACCCGTGTCAAAACTACTGAGAAAGGGACCAGAGAGACTTGCAATCTGCAAAGCTTAGGCACTTAACATTAACAATGTTGCAAGTTGCGATGCTTAGACTTACCCCAAAAGGGAACCACCCCTCCGCAAACTCAAATGGATTCCCAAACCAAGGGTTTTTCCAAAGGACTCCAGACTTGCTGGCTTCGTGGTCTCCAGATTCTGCAAGGGAGCACCTTAGGGTTGGTTGGCCCTTACGGATCCTAGCCACTTATGGTAAAGATGCTTGAGGAAGCCATGACCTTCATCTGCTTAAGTCTCATGGAAGAAGAACCATATTTGGGTGAAAGTTGAAAACCATCCTTTTTTTTGGGGTTGGGGGGGACCTATAAAAGGACACTCCCATTTCCCATAGTGAAACTGTTTTCCTTTACGAGGCAAAACTGACATCTCTTCAGGTGACTCTGGGGGCGGCCGAGCGGCAATTTTCAGGTCCTGGAGCATCATACGATGCTCGAGCTCTTTCCTGAAGATGCCGACGATGTCCTGAGCAACGCCAGCCGGGCGTTGCGCACCGTCCGAACGCCGGTTAAACCTCTGATGGGTTCTATACCAAGGCGAGGATTTGTAGAAGCCTTTCCAACGAATGACCTCCTAAACTCAATTTAGGTTGCGGGCACTCAGCTAATGTCGATGGATCTTTGATTTAAGCAGAATTTGGAGTCATAGGGTTGGTGTTGCAAGACGTGATCCCTCTCCAATGGGACATCAACTGATCCAACTCCAACCCGAAATCCGCAAAGCCTCAAACTCTGCATCCTGCAATCCTATATAATCCTATACCTGAAGCCCTGAAGTGATAATCATACCGCAAAACAAGTCGTAAAGCAACTCGCACCCGGGCAAGCAACCAGCCCTTCAAACCTCCTCCCTCCCTCTGCACCAGGCCAGGGCTCACCAAAAACCGCCTTCTCCAGGCGGAGCAAGGTCGAGGGCCCCTCTGCTTGGCAGGTGGCCGAGCGACTCTCCGCCAGCAGTAGCCCTGAGCGCGAGGTCGGGTCTCGGGAAAGTGGGGGGTGGGTGAAAGCTGGGGGGTAGATGGAGATGTAAAGGGTGCCTTGGGCGAGAAAGCTCTGACAAGTTCGAGTAAGGCTTCGGGGTGATCACTTCTTGGGGCGCCAAAGGGAACACATCAACTAGACGACGAGTGGCCCGGAAGCATAGAGGCAAGTTGATGCAGGTGAGGTAACTCTCGCCAAGTTAGCATGAGGAGTTGGCAGGCGAAGCAATTCTCAAAAAGTTGGCATGAGAAGCTGGCAGGTTAAGTAACTCTCGAATAGTTGGCTGGCAAAGTTGGCGGGTGAAGTAATTCTCGCAAAGTTGACATGAGAAGTTGGCAGGCGAAGTAACTCAAGAGAAAAGTTGGCATGAGAAGTTGGCAGGTGAAATAACTCTCAAAGAGTTGGCATGAGAAGTTGGCAGGTGAAGTAACTCTCGAAAAGTTGGCGTGAGAAGCTGGCAGGTGAAGTAATTCTCGAAAAGTTGGCACGAGAAGATGGCGCGTGAAGTAACTCTCGAAAAGTTGGCGTGAGAAGCCGGCAGGTGAAGTAACTTTCGAAAAGTTAGCATGAGAAGTTGGCAGGCGAAGTAATTCTCGAAAAGTTGGCGCGAGAAGTTGGCAGGCGAAGTAACTCTCGAAAAGTTGGCAGGCGATGTTGGCAGGTGAAGTACCTCTCGAAAAGTTGGCATGAGAAGCTGGCAGGTGAAGTAATTTTTCGAAAAGTTGCCACGAGAGGTTGGCAGATAAAGTATTTCTCGAAAAGTTGGCATGAGAAGTTGGCAGGTGAAGTAATTCTCGAAAAGTTGGCAGGTGAAGTTGCCACGAGAGGTTGGCAGGTAAAGTATTTCTCGAAAAGTTGGCATGAGAAGTTGGCAGGTAAAGTAATTCTCGAAAAGTTGGCATGAGAAGCTCGCAGGTGTAGTAACTCTCGAAAAGTTGGCATGATAAGCTCGCAGGTGAAGTAACTCCTCGAAAAGTTGGCACGAGAAGTTGGCAGGTGAAGTAACTCTCGAAAAGGTGGCATGAGAAGCTGGCAAGTGAAGTAATTCTCGAAGTTTCGGCATGAGAAACTGGCAGGTGAAGTAATTAACCCTCAAAAAGCTGGAGCGGCGGAGGCGCTCCGCGTGCTACATTTGCAATTTACAGTTGCGATTTTCCAGCCATTTGTATCTAAAAGTTGCGATTTTCCAGCCGGAGCTGCGGGAGCACGCTCCGCGTACTACGTCTGTACTTAAAAAGTGCGATTTTCCAGCCGGAGCTGCAGCAGCCTCCGCGTACTACGTCTGTACTTAAAAGTTGCGATTTTCCAGCCGGAGCTGCAGGAGCACGCTCCGCGTACTACGTTTGTACTTAAAAGCTGCGATTTTCAAGCCGGAGCTGCCGCGGACCAGGGGGGAATCGAACCCGGGACCGCGGGATTGCGAAAGCAGGCGCGCACACCACGAGACAACTTCCAAAAGCCGTTTCGCGAGCAAGAAAATCGCACGGCGCCACAGCGAGAGCGCTTCGACACGCACGATCTCCGCAGAGGGTTCGCCGGGCTCAAGACAAATTCGCACGGCGCCACAGCGAGAGCGCTTCGACACGCACGATCTCCGCAGAGGGTTCGCCAAGGTCAAGACAAATTCGCACGGCGCCACAGCGAGAGCGCTTCGACACGCACGATCTCCGCAGAGGGTTCGCCAAGGTCAAGACAAATTCGCACGGCGCCACAGCGAGAGCGCTTCGACACGCACGATCTCCGCAGAGGGTTCGCCGCGCTCAAGACAAATTCGCACGGCGCCACAGCGAGAGCGCTTCGACACGCACGGTCCCCGCAGAGGGTTCATCGGGCTCAAGACAAATTCGCACGGCGCCACAGCGAGAGCGCTTCGACACGCACGATCTCCGCAGAGGGTTCGCCGCGCTCAAGACAAATTCGCACGGCGCCACAGCGAGAGCGCTTCGACACGCACGATCTCCGCAGAGGGTTCGCCAAGCTCAAGACAAATTCGCACGGCGCCACAGCGAGAGCGCTTCGACACGCACGATCTCCGCAGAGGGTTCATCGGGCTCAAGACAAATTCGCACGGCGCCACAGCGAGAGCGCTTCGACACGCACGATCTCCGCAGAGGGGTGCGTTTCGTAAGCTCCCGTCGGGCCTACCCCCGCCATAAAAAGAAGAAGAATTAAGAGTCGAGATGTGAAGGTAGAACAGAAAAGTTAGCTTGTGTTTTTAGGATAGTGAAGTAACACCCGACAAATTAGCTTGTGCTTTTAGTAGAATGAGATAACAGCCGAAAAGTTGACATGAGAAGTTGGCAGGTGAAGTAACTCTCAAAAAGTTGACATGAGAAGTAGGCAGGTGAAGTAACTCTCGACAAGTTGGCATGAGAAGTTGGCAGGTGAAGTTGGCAGCCGCTTTTAGAAGAAGAACCCTTCGCAATGCTTCCGGGAAAAAGGTTAAGACATAACAATGACTTTAAATGAAGAATACCTTCGCCAATGGTGGACATGATTCCCTTCCACCAAAGGGTTCCCAAGAATTCGCATCCACACTAGCTTTGGAATAGAGGAAAAAAGGGAAAAATGAGAAGGGCAAAACGCGCCTCTCTCTCCGAAGTAGTCCCATTTCAGAAGACTGCGGAGTCGCTGGCCGTCTCTAAACACCCCGATGGCACCATCTTGGATCAGGTAGAAGTGGTTGGCCTGGTTTTGGCCGCCCGTTCGAAGCGCAGTTCTGGCCTATTGAAAACAGGGCCCCTTGGCATCACGGAACTTAGCCGCAACGCACATTTCCATCACTCCAATATGGATTCGACACCCGAGAGAAAACATCGGGCTCTCCCCAGAAATGTTCTCAGAGCCCTTCTTCTGAGCCGCTAAGGGCCTGAAGACGTCTGGTTCAGTGACCCTGGAAAAAAAGGGAACCCTTTTTGGGAAGACCATTTTTAGTGGGGCAGCCAAAAAGGGAACAAGGGTGCTACTGAACAACTGAATGGATCACTCGGCAGGGGGGGTGCGTTGCTTTTTCCCGCTCCTCTTCGCCCTGCTCCACCACCACTTGTCCGCTTTCGTATTCGCACTTCTCGAAGCTCCGCACCACGCGTTCCTCGCCGGAATCGAGTTGGCATTGGGCCAGCTAGGGCCACAAGGCTGGTCCCCGAGTGGTCCCCCAAAACAAATAAGCTGCGGCGTTCCTTTTCGACCCTCGCGGAACCCTGCAAAACCTTACCTCAGCGCCACCCCGCAGCCCGCGCAGAACCCCACCGAACCCTCGCAGAACCCTGCCGAGATCTCGTGGAACTCTGCGAACGCTCGGCAGCGAGAACCTTACCTCAGAGCCCCGGACCACCCCGCAGCGCGAACCTTGCACCTGGCCTGCTCCAGACCAGCCCGGCTCCGGAACCTTTGCACCAGACCATACCGAAACCTCCGGAACCTTTCTTACCTGGCAAGCACCAGACCACGCTGGAACCTCCAACCTTACACCTGGCCTGCACCAGACCACCCCGGAACCTAACCTCCCTTGAGCCTTCACCAGACAGGCCACCCCCGAACCGAGCCCCCCCCAAGCCTTATCTGGGCTGAGACCCCGAAAAGCTTTCAGCCAATTAAGGAAACCAACACGCTCCCTGGATTTCGGGGGTTCTCCATATCTTCTTGAAAGCCCCAGGGCATGAGTTAATTAACTCAAGAAGATCTGAACATACACACCGCTGGCTCTAATGCTTTGCACGGGGATGGCCCACACCCCCAACGTCCGAAAACAGCCAGGCACAAGCAGCGAGACCTTCCGAACAATTTACCCATCCGCACAAGCGGCTGATCCCAAAAGCAGATTCCGCGACAAACAGCAGGGGCTGAGTTTTAGAGATTCATTGTTCAAATGATAACTTGGTTGAAAACGCTTCGGCTCTTGAACAAAGTGGTCAAGTGTTCCTGATTTGTTCTGGTGCCTCACTTTCGTTTGATGGACCAAGTCGCCATCTGGTCATTCTGCAGGTTCTTGAAGAGGAAGATGTCGCCGAGCACGCGCTTGATGGCATTCATCTTCACAACCTCGCCCAAATCACCTGGCAATCCGTGTGCAATTTCACCCTGGCCTAAGCTCATATTGAGCAGCCTCAGCGAACCCAACAACTTCTTTGGGGGGGAAGCCTATCCCGTCCACTTCATAAACCCCGAGCCGCAGCCCCCGCATCCTTCAGGATTGCAACCTGCTTTTCAAAAGGCTGCCCTAGGTTTGTTCCTTAAAGAGCTTGCAAACAAAAACAGTTGGCCCCCCCCCCCGTCCACGGCTTTTCCCGGCCGCCCAGGACTTGGGAGACCATGCTGTGGGAGATGCGGTGCAGCTGCGAGTTCTCGATGGCCACGAGCCTCGCTCGATCAAAACCAGGGCTCGAAACAAAAGATGCGGAAGGGGGTAGCTCCACTTGGAACCCCGCCAAGTCCATCCATTTGTAGAGGCTCCTTTGGATGGATATCCCCTTGCATCCATTTTCATCTGGAAAATCGATTCTGATAAGGAGATGAGCAGCAAAAGCCAGGGGCTTGGGTTCCACGTCGGGCACCGGCCTAAAGAAGAACACTGGAATCGGTTTCGTTGCTTCCCATCACAAAGCCCATAAACACAGGGGCAAGGATGTCGCGATGCCTAGTTTTATTTTTTCCAGTGGCCATAAATTGAGTTGTAGCCCTGGTGGATGCGCAGGTATTGCTGACAGTTCAAGGCCTGTACCAGGGTCATTGTGGGCAAGATTCGCAAACCAGGACTTACCCTACACTACACTGCATGTCAAAACAGATCCAGCTTGAAGTATGAGCATCCCCCCCCCTCCAAAAAAAAGAAGTGGTTTCCCCAGCAACCCTGGAACCCCCTGCAACCCTCAAAAACCCTCCCCGAAAGCTGACCCAAACCACCCCAAAGCCTATCTGGGCAGAGACCCATAGCTTTTAGCTGTTGGATCATTTTCCGTCTGGTGGCTTCCCGAAGCAACGAGGGTAGAAGCTTAAGCATCCAACGCCATGGATGACCACCATGCCTATGGTTAACATCCCTTCCCCTAAGTGGAAACTCCACGACATATCACCTAGGGGAAATCCAGGGATACTAACCACTAGGTCCGCTCGGTGTAACCACTAGGTCCACTAGGTGGGGTGGTCATCCAAGGACAACCCTCGCCTGTACTCCATGGGCGTGTTGTTCAGCAACGCCAGCGCCCCATGCAGCTGCCCGGGCTTCAGGATCTGCACTGCCTGGATGATATGAGAGTACAGAACTCTTTTCGTGTTGGCTTGAAAGAGACACCAACCACTATATATCTACAAATGTATATATATATATATATGTATTTTGTTTATATATATTATTATTATATTGTATATATATATATATATATATTATTATATTGTATATATATATATATATATATTTGGGGGGGGTGTTCCCTCTGAGGCAAACCCATATGGGTGCGGGGTTTGCTTTTGGGAACCGGCTGAAACAAGAAATCAAAAGATCGACCAAGCATTTGGGCCCCTAACTTTAAGACACAGCCATATGACCCATTTGCAATCATTTGGGTCATCTGCTTTTTGTGGCAGTTTTCTTGGGGGGTGGTTAAAAAGGTTGGGTCAACAGACAAATCCATGGGGGAGGGGGTCCAATCGCCGATTTTGCCACATACCCATATGCGCTCTCCCAATGGAAAGCCTGCGAGAAGTGTTGAATCGTGTTGGAAAAGTGTGGGGAAAGCATTGGGCAGGACTGACTGTCCCACCTCTGCCACAAACCCAAATCCCATGTTTGATATTGGTCTTCTTGTGAACCTTGCTGTGAAAAACTGTTCATAACCGCACTACTCTTCCAGTAGTCGAGTGTGGAAAAACTGATTTGGGGGACCCCCTTCTTCCACTTCCACGATTGTTGAGCAAAAGGTAACATATATATATATATATGCAACCCCCCCCCCCATGGACCCTGGTTTTACTGCCTTTTGGGGATGGCAAATCTAGAATTTCCAAATTTATATTCTCGAAATTTCCAATTGTGGGTCCCCAAAGCGTGATAATTTGGAGCCCGGAGTCCTCCACAATGTCCCAGTATGATACCCTTTGCACATAAGATGTTACTTCAACTAGAATTGGAATTTAGAATATAGTTTAGTATGGATATAGTTTTCAAAAGTGTGTTTATGTTCAATTGCAGCTTAAACAAGCAAATCGTTTCCAAATAGCAGCTACATGAAAATGTAAATATATATATATATATATATATATTCGGCTAAACTCCAACTAATCTATAACACAAGAAGTTAGATGGAAGTTTTTTCCCAAATATAATCCAAGTGGTAAGTATAATCTAAGACGAACACAACTCAATTTGCTTTTGATAATATCAAGTGAATAGAGACTACATCTCAAATATAATTCATATTAAATATGGCTAAACATTTGGAAATTAACAATAGGATTTGTGTTGTTTACATTCTGGCCCTTTTGTAGCATAAGAAAGGTCCGACATTGAACTTGTTAGACGGTGCTCCAAAGGGAAATTTCAAGGGAAGAGAGGTTCAAAATCTAAAACTATCTCGAAACAGGGATTCTAGCTAAACCGTTGTATTTAAAGTTCTATTTGCGCAGGAAAGTTAATTCTATGTCAAAAGGTGGAGGTAGTAGATGAGCAAATGTGGACAGGTAGTTGAAGAGGGTGGGGGACGGTGTGTGAACGTACATACATATGTATATCTATATATACACATACATACACACATATATAGTACCCCCAATGATCCTGCGCCTCCTCATAAAATACTGGAAAATGCAGTATTTTTGAGCGTTGCACCTGCCTTTGTTTACCTCCTGGAAAGGGGTCAACATGAGCATAGCTGACATGAAGCTCACCAAAAGCACTTGAAAGTTTGTCTAACCAATAACTTGAAAGTGTGTCCACTGGATCGCTAAGCACTTGAAAATTTGCTACTATCGGATGGAAGATTCAATATTGAAGATTACACAGAACACTTTCCTGAGAATTGTCAATCCTGGCCAAACCCAAATAGCATTCAAGTTCTTCTAACACTTGAAGGTGCTTTCCCACTGGATTGGGGATTCACTATTGAGGAGCCCACAAACCACCACTTTCCTGAGAATCATCCATCCTGGTCAACCCCTAAAATGTTCAAGTTGTTCTATCACCTCGAACATCCGTTACCACTGGATTGAACTATTTCACGGAAAACTTTTCCGAGAATCTTATTGAACACCGAGAGTATTGGGACAACCCTGGAATTTTTAAAACTTTTTAAAAATTATGGGATTCAAGATTCAAGATTCCCAGAAAATATTTTCTCAGATTCTTGAATCTTGAATCTTGAATCCATATTTTTTAATATTTTTTAAAAATTATGGGATTCAAGATTCAAGATTCAAGATTCCCAGAAAATATGTTCTCACATTCTTGAATCTTGAATCTTGAATCCCATAATTTTTAACAATTTGTTAAAATGTCTGAGTTGTTCTTGTATTCTTGGATGCATTCAAACTCTTTCAGACTGCAGGTGCTGATGTCATTGCTTTTATCACATCTGTATGCATGCATGCGTATCATATACATGTACGACCCTCCCCCCAATTTTGACACAAATCCAAGAAGCAAAAAGAAGCATAAAACACTGGAAAATACAGGTCAACCGCACCAAACCAGGGTCCATGGGGGGGCGGGGTACCATGTATATATATATATATATGGGAGCCTGAGGCATTGCTGCTGATCGATTGCCCTACTGGGATGATAATTTCTTCCTGTCACCATTTCAGTGGGACCCAGCTCCACCAACCCCTAATTCCCGTAAACCAGAATCGTGCAGTTGGGCGGATTACTTGGCCTGTTTGACATTGTATGAATTGTATGTTGGCGTCTGTAGGGTTTTGCCGATTGTTGCTGCACGGTTGGCCAGCTGCTGGTTTTTTAAAGCCTGGTCAGATCATGACGAAATGCTGTTGCCAAACAACTGGCGCTGGCGAGTTGAACAGCACAGCACCCCTCCGACTCCATTCTTTTGCTAGGGTACCCTTTTGAGAGGTCTCGAAGAAAGCCAAAAGGACGCGTTCAGAATTCCCATGTTTTCTCATTTCAGAGGTCCAGGCCCTCAGCCATGGCCTTGGAGGGATCGTTGCCGCTCTCGTCCGGGCTCATAACCGCCACCTGGCGAACCGTTTCCGCATGAGACAGCCATGGCCCCTCTCCTTGCTCGTCACTTTAAAGAGACTGAGCGCCGCCACAAAGTTTGGCAACACAGCGGTCACGCACATAACGACTGCCACCGCCAAAAGAGACGCAACATGCACGCACTGACGCTGATACTCGTTCACCAATGGCGATAACGAGAAAATTAACCAAGACGAGGTCGCGCTTGCAACCGACCGGCGCTTTAACAGGTTCAAAAATCAAGGTGCTGTTACCGGGTCTGGCGTGACTTAGTCCAGAAGGCCTACCATACACAAGCTGTTTCGCAGCAAAATGCCATATGGCATGCCCGATGCCCAGAGTGCCCGATGTCCGTGCATGTCCTTGCACCCCCCCGTCCTGTCAACATCGCAAAACGGCACTCTTCCGGCAAGCGTTCCCCATCTCACCCACTGCGCTCTGGCCCAGCCGGATGCAAAATGGTGGCCAAGCTACTTAAGACCACCGTCAAGGCGAATGCGTTTTCCCGTCGAAGAGACACAACGATGCGTGGTGCAAGCTGCTACGTCCGTCTGCTCCAAGCTTTGCGGCGCCAGGCTAACGTCTTGCTGGCAGCTGACCCAGGTACGGTGTGCCTATCCTGATCTTGCAGCCCAGATGTAACAGCGAAGTCCCCGCAAACAGGCTGCCCATCCCGACCAGAAACGGTAGATATCTGCCGGACGACCCAAGAAGGGAGACAGTAGCAGCAGCAGCGACAGCAGCACTACCCACCTTGCTGGTGCTGCAGGGAAGTACTTTCCGTTTGTTGGGAACAAACTGTTTGGGGATTCCCCTAAACGAAACCATAGGAATGTGTGTGTGTGTGTGTGGTTTTTAATGGCCATTTTATGGGGTTAGGCCCCTAAACAAACCATAGGGGATGGTTTTTTTTTGCGCCGAGCCCTTCCCTCATTCATTCCCTGCAAGCAGAACGCCGGGCCTGACCCGCAACCACCACGAGCAGCTGAGCAGGCGCGCCGGCCGACACGATCCTCAAGCGTGGGGCATGCATGTATTTTGTTCAAGGGAAATTAAGGGAAACCACTTTGTGTACTTTCTGGACAAAATGTGCACAGAATGTATGCAAGTGAAGAAAAGTGGGAAACTCAGGGAAAAACAAGTGGAGAAACATTCTGCACTTCTCTCCACTTTGTGCCCACGAAGAAGCTCCAAAGGTGTCTCTTAAAGCAGCAATGCTCGTCCAAAGGACTTTGTTCAGTTTCAATGCTGTTAGGAGTCCAAGTGCCGAGCAGGGTCCTCAAAACCCATGAACTCCTGGTATGACCCCCAGGTTATGGGTTCAATAGCTAGCCACGAAAGGGATGGGTTCACTCCAGGATGTGGATAACGAGTTAGACGTGCCTGCTTTCCCCGGGATACTCACATAACACATGTGCCAGACCCAAAGGAACAGCCGATTACATGTTGTGTTTTCTCCGCCTGCAAATATGCCCGAACCAAACGACTTCCCAAAGAATCCTTTGTCAGAAATTGGCATACCCTACCTGCCACACCATCATAACTTTGTAAGGCAAGGGTTCCCAAATTCGAAATCCATCACACGCCTAATATGCAAAAATGCCCCCAGCAAAGAACACCAGCAGAAAGCCAAGCGAACTTTGCATCATCCTGCGCCAGCTGAGACGGTGACCCCATCAAGTTCTGCTACCCCCAAGTATGATCTAAGAACCTGCCTGGTGAACACGACGTGTCTTTTTAGCCCCACACTTTGCTTGTTCGACGTGGTGGAGACAGGATGGGCTGAGTGGGACTGTTTGGCCACTGAACCCTTTCAGGCCGGTGTGCCCACAATCTTGTCACCCACTCTAAAGGGAGTTACAAACCTCAAGTACGGCCTCTTTGAAGCCAGCTTTGGGGAAATGCAGCTCCATGCACGGTTGGTGTCCCTGTTGTATGCCACAACCAGCTAACTGTCCACGGCAGGAGGGCTTTCAAAGGTTTGCAACTGTTATCCTCCAACCAATCCTGGAAGTGCCCAAACTCTCTGCTAGAAAGGGTGACTGCGCATCAAACCATCCTGCGAAGCACTTCATGTTGAAACCACCAGTTTTGGAGGAACTTCTTGGTCTCGGAAAATCTCCCTCTCTCGCCCCCCCCCTCCCCCCAAAATAATAATAACATGTGTATATATATATATATATGTGTGTCTCCTTTGGAGGCACCTTTCTTTTGAGGTCCCCCAGCCTTTTCGAGTTCCTGAACAATCCACACCTCCACACCTCCGAACGACCCGCGACCCGCTAACGATTTTCCCGGGCGAGTCGCGGGGCGCCGCTGTTGAAGGAGGACTCCTCGAATCGGTCCACGACCTGAGCGTTCCCCTTTTGCTTGCTGCCCGGGGGTCATGAACCATTTAAAGGGGATTCCCGAAAGGAAACCACCAGCTGGATGGCTGTTTCTTGGCGTTATTTCCTGTCTGATTCCCTGAGCACCCTCCAGTTTGGCAGCTCTTCGGGTTTCTTACTTCTAGATTTTACATCATGGCTTCCCTTGGGTACCTATACTGGAAACTGGAAGCACTGGGTGTTGTTTTTTTTCAATGGACAATCTAAGGATTTAAATAAGGAAATTGGTGGTGCTGGTTTTTCGGGTGGAGCTGGAGGAAACCAACCCTTGGGGACCCATACTCTGCTTTCCTTTAATCGGCTTGGATTGGCTTGGAGGCTGCGGTTGGCCACCAAACAAGGGCTACCATATGGAAGCTGCCCCAAGGGAAACCAAAGGAAAGGATTGCCACGGGTCGGTTGCTGCTTTGAGAAAGCCCATATGGAACTACTGTTTTGAGGCATTCCACGGACGCACGATATTCTTGAGGAAGGAGAAATCCGTGTTTCACTTGCCGCGAACATGATATTGTGCAAAATGGGTGTCTCACAGCAAGAAGCATGCCGAACAATGTGCGGTTTCCTGCTGGTTGCCTTTCCAAACAACCTCAAGAAGGATAGCCTCAAACAAGATACACCGCCACCAGTACCAAACGGCTAAACAAATAGAAGGAAAGAAGCCCCTTTGCGGCATCACCCGGGGCCGAAAACAAGAACATGACATTCAAGGGTGCTGTTTGGCCAACATGGCCACTGGTGACGGATGTGAATGTTGACCCTCTTTCCCTGGGCCAACCACTGAACTTGTGTCTGACAGTGGGATTCGACATGGATTCGACAGCTCCGAGGGGTAGCCCACTCGCAAAAAAGGCTTTCTCAACTTCAATTGGCACACTGGTGGGGTGTCCAAACTGGGTGTAACGACTCACATGCTCTCTTCAAAGGAACTCGTCCAACGGAATGCCTTCCCGGTACCACTGTTCAGATTCTTGCGGGAACTCTTTTATCTAAAAGCCCCCAGCGCAAGTGAACCCGTACGCGAACATCTGCGGTCTTTTACAAACAGGTCTTGCAAGAGCGAATGCTCCAACTTGGCTTCCTTCGAGTTTTCGGCGAACTCTCCAAAAAAGCGGCCCTTCGAGACTTCCCTCCCTGCCACATGGAACCTGAATGGACCTGGAAGGCAATTTTCGTTGTCGAGACCCCTCTCCAGTTGCAATGTTCGTGCGGCTGCATGCTTCTGGGGTACCGCGACTCAGAAACAAACACCTGGGTGGCCGTCTGACCCTGGAATCATTGTGTGTCATGGCCATGGTGAATTTAAAAATTGTGAAGCACCCAAGCAAAACTCCAACGTGGTCAAAATAGACACCCTCTTGGCGCCCACACCTCAACAACAACAAACCCAAACGACCAAGCAAAAGCTGACCACCGAGCTGGAGCCTCGCTGACGCACGCGCGCGCACAAACGAGGGCGCTCGAAGCTTCTGCCGCGCTGCTTCGTGGAGCTCGGGCTCCGTGAGCTGCTTGAAATAGTCCACGCTCTCCACCTCAGCTCCCAAACCGCCGGAGTTGCGGGTAAATACCAACCACAACTAACACACACCAAAAAAAAAAGCAAACAAGACATACGTAACAACCACCAAAGTTCAAGCCGGCACATTCCACTTCCACCCACCGAGGTTTATTCCGCTTTCTCAGCGAAAACCGAGGCGCGTTGTCCATGAGCAGCGCCTTAATGGCGCTCCTTCGGAGGATGGAGCCCCCGGGGCCCAGCAAACTCTCCAGACTCTTGCGGCCCAAGGCCAGGCAGGTCCTCGGCTCCGTCGGTTCCGTCGGCTCGGTCGGAGTTGTTGGTTTTGTTGTTGTTTTCTGTGTCTTTCCCCTGTTGTTTTTTCCCTTTTTGTTCCCCCACCAGCTGAAAGCTTTGGGGTCTCAGCCCAGATAGGCTCCGGGGTGGTCCGGGACGGCCCTTCTTTTTCTGGCGCAGCCCTCTCCAGGCTCCTTTCGGTTGGGGAGGGGTTTTGGCTTTGTCCACAAGAGGACACAAAGATTCCGACGAACAACACCTGCAACATGATGAATTCCATCGCCATCCGGCATCCGTTCTGCAGCACATGCCCACCAGTCCAGAAACACATGGACCCACCTTCCCCAGAAGCATAGGGCCCGAGGACCAGAATGATGTTCTGGCTCGGCAGCGCCATGTCAATCCAAAAACATATGCATCATCGGCTTGGGTGTGGCGGTGTATGCTTGGTCAGTATTGGCCTGAAAACTATGCGGTCCTTTCAACTCAAATGCAATGACCCTCAAGAAAACACGGGGCACATGCCAAATTGTGACAATGTGACAAGCGCACCCCTACCTGCATGTATAAGATCACACCAATCTCCCTGCCTGGAAATACCGATGGAGACTCAATGTATGCACATTGCAATGGTTATCCTACCTTCGGACCTTATCTAATTTTGACTCCAGCTAATCATCTTTGCACCATCCCAAACGATACAACTTACTCCCGACCCCTTGTGAGCACCACATGGCCTGGCCCCAAAGGGCAGGCCGTAAAACCGCTGACTCAATCTTCCGTTTTCAGGGTGCCCACATCATTCCCCTACAAGTGAAAATGCCGGAGTGTCGCAAGCCGGGGCCCCCGGCACTTTGTCCACAGCGCTTGCACCGCTACAGTGCAAGCTTGAGTACATCCTGGGCCAAAAAACTGATTGGCCCGCACCCCTTGGTGTTCCCAATCACGAGCACAACATAAGAAGCTCGTGTTTCAGGAGCTGTCCAGCAAAGTGGTCATTGCAGGTGTACACCTGAACAAAATCGTCGTCGCTGGCTGCCGAAACCAAAGCTGAAAATCTACAAGCCCAACAGCACCCCGCCCGAGCTCGCAGGCACATGATTCTTCTCAATGTTAAGTTCTGCGTTTTTGCAGGTATGCGTCTCCCAGAAAACCCTCCAAAACCCAAAGTTCCGTTGGACATATGGTGCTGTGACCGCTAGGGCCGCTAGGGACTGGTGGTCACTGACTAGTCACGGCATAACAACAAATTCTGACGAGTTCTGCCTGGAATGCTGACCAGAAGGCATGCGCACTCCACCGGTTAAATGATCCGATCGCCCAAGTTTATCCAAAAGGAAAGCTTCACTGAAAGGGGGCCGGACACCTTTCCAAAATCCAAACCAGAGTTGTTGAAATTCCCACTTTCTATACCAAAGAAGGCCATCCGCGTGATGAGGTTGCCGCAGAATCAGAAATCGGCCCGCAAGTCTTCTACAAGTCCCAAAAGGGGGAGGGGTGGTTCCGATTCCTTTGGCAATTCTCACAGACATATGTGCTAAAACCATGTTCCCCTCAACCAAGGTCCAAAATCAGGGACCCCTCCAAAAGTGTTGCAGTTTACTGGGTACCTTTGGAACTGCCACCCTCCCAAAAAGCAAAAATTGAAGGGCCCTGAAAAAGGACCCACTCAGCGCCAGTTGGCCGCGTGACACTCCAGAGCTGCCCAGAAGTGCGCCGCACTTCTTCATCTCCGAGTTCCCGAACCTCAGGACGCGTTGGCAGGGCCGGGGGGTTGGCTCAAAGGAAACAACAGGCTCATCGTCGACCTCAAAACCGAAACAGATGGGCTTTTTTTGGGAAAAGGACGCCAGAAGGTGCGTTTTTGACCTCAAAAGAACCCAGAGGTGAAACCCAGAGGTGCCACAAGGACTTTTTCGGGAGGAAGCAAAACAGCAGAGGAAAACGTAGAGGTGCCACAAGGTATTTGCTTGGGACGTGAGGAATGGCCCCTGGTTGATTGATTCATGGTCCGCACTCGTTAGATGCTTCAACACAAAATGGTTGTGACCCTTTCCGGTTGAGGGTAAAAAGAAACAATGGGTTGTCAAATTGATGTGAATTTCCTGGATACTCGGTTTCACAAATCGCCGGAAAGACAGAAGGCAAGCCCCACACAGGATGTTTTAGGCCACCAAAATCATAGTGCAACAAGCTGAAGCTGGCCACAAACCTGTTGACCCCTCCTGTCGCCCAACCATTTGTGTTAATAAAAGGATTTGGACCTGGATTTCCTTTTGGTTTTCCTGCAAGCCCAAAAGAGTGCCGAGCCTCGAAAGTACAGCGCCGTTTGTTGCCAACAAGCTGGGTCCGGCAAAGCCGCCAAAAACTCAACTTGCCCAACTCAACCGAGCCGTGCTCGGAATTGGCCAAGACGCTGGTCCACAATCTTCACGGTGCCATCGATCACGATGAACCTGGGAGAAATTATTGCACTGATTGCAGTTGGGATGTCAAATGTGGCAGATTGTGGCAGGTATAAACCGGGGTCGTCCGACCTAAGTGTATGAACCTATATGCCTATACCTTGGGACAGGTGCAGTTTGGGTATGTGTTGTTTCATCCAGAAAAGGAAGCCGAGCCTCACAACACAGTTGTGGCTCAAAAACACGTACCTAAAATGAAATCCGGGCACATGGAAACCCATCTGCGGGCCCCTGTTCCCATTTTCAGCCACAGCCAAGCCATATGTTTTCCCTTTTTCTTCCCTTTTGTTTCAGCTTCCCTCTAATTGGTGGTTTGAATTGGTGGCTCGGTGGCTAGTGCCCTCCGCAAGAATCAGAGGTTCAACTCCCCAAACCCCCAATCCAAACCACCAATTACGGGTAACTTGATCATTCCAACCTCCAAACTAAGATCTTTAGGGGCGCCCCAAAAAATGAGGTTCTCCGTTTTCAAGGTTCCCCTCTATTCCAACCTTCTCCTTTGAAAACCAACCTCCAAACGGGCACCCTCAAAACAACAACAGCCGAACGCATCCGGCGAGGTCGAGTCGCATCCACTCCCCGACCTCACCCTCCCGCAGGATGGTCTCCCCGGAAGCGAAGTTCTGCACCGAGCAAGCGGTTGACAGGATGCCTCGATCGCTCGCCGAGGCGTCCCAAAAAAAGGCGACGAAAAAAACCCGTGTGTTTAGAGGGCGTCTCCAGTGAGAAACCCGCAGTTTGGAGGGCGTCTCCAGTGACAAAGAAGCATGTTTGAGGAATCTCCTTTTCGGAACCATCCTTGCAGGTTCCACTCTGGAATTGCAAGTAGACAACCATGTTTCTGCCCTCACTCCCTGCACTCACGACTCACAGCTGTGTGCGAACGATATTACGGCTGAAGGCCACGGCAACAGGTTCCATCATTCTTGGTTACCTTGAACCAGCGTTCATTCCACCACTTGGTATGGCTGTTTTTGGGAGAGACAAAGAAGTTTCCTCACCGCCCTTTCTCAGGAAATTGTCGGTGAGGCAGCCCCCAGGGTCGTTTTGGCGAATGCTTTTGGTTGAGGCAGGGCTCCAGGGCTGCTGCTTGACACGTCTCATCGGACTAAGTTGTTTGCCCTTGAGCGAGAGAAGGCTGGACCACCGAGTCCAGCTTGTTTTGCACCAGGGCCGAAAGAGAAATGCCTGTTTGGACTCCAAAAGGGGCCCCCGATTTTGACAACCCCGCCCCCCCCCCGCGCTGCTGGCTGGAGCTGCTCTTCTCCTCCTTGGACATGTGCCGGAAAGTGGCGTCCGACTCGAAGAACTCGAGCCTTGCCGAGACAAAATGACCCAAGCCCACCCGACCCCCCAAAAAGACACGGCAAGCAAGCGCAAAACGCACCCACGCACAAAAACAAACAAACAAGCAAGCAAGCAAGCAAGCAAGCAAACAAACCACAAAACAAACTAGAACAAAGCACAACAGCACAAGCTGACAAACAGACAAAACTCTGACAAAGAAAGATACAACAGGAGTCATTGAAACAACACAAGAAACCACCAATGAAGGGGTGACATGCTCTTGAAGAAGATGAGTCGCTTGTCATTGCCATACACCGTTCAGGGGGAAACCTAGAGAATTAAATCAGCCTTTCCTTGTATGCCTGACAACGGTCTTATTTTGCTTTGGCGATGTGCATTCTGTGATGCAAATGCTTCAACTCTACTGCACCAAGGGTTCTGACGTCAGCCACCGGAACATTGGCCCTCACGGAGGCGGTCGTCGTTTGGCCCCGGAAAAGGCTGCTTCAAATGGGCAAGCTAGCTCATCTTCCATTCCAGTGATTTCTGCGAAATACTGGCAATGCCCTCCCAAAAACAAACATGGAACCTCAAGGGTCGCATTTGAAGGAAGGCAAGTCTGACGGCACTTGACACCTGGCGCTCTAACCCGCCACTCCGCCCGGGAAACAAGCGACGCACGCATCACGCTGCCGAGGTGCGCTCGCTTCATACTCTTGGAGCTCAGGTGCTGCATGCAGACCTCACGAATCGAATAAGATCCGACGGCAAGGGCCATGGGTGCGTCTTTTTGGATGGATTGTTTAGAGCCTAGGGGTGACTTCCATTTCCATTCTGAACCCAGGGATCCGGATCTTTCTAACCACTCAAAACCCTGGGGAAATGGCGATCGGTTTTTGAAAAGAACTATGGCTGAAAAGAATGGGGAATTCCCCCCCCCCAAATAGAGGGACACCAAAGGCAACCATCCATTTTAATGGGATTCCCCAATTATGAGACAAACCCAAAGTGTACAAAAGCAACCACGCCCTCCCCATGGGGCAAACCAGTGGCCGCATGTACGGATTTGGCCCACGCCTCCTCTTTTCTTTATCACTAAACTAGGCTGGAATTAGGACCCCAGCAAAAAAACAAACTTTTTTTGCCTGGTTTGTGGCAAACAAAGGCGACCCCAAAAAAGCAAAAAAGTAAAAGGGGGAACTAATTCTGGGGAAGTGGCAGTAACCTGGACCTGAAGGTTCGGGGGTTCGGGGAAAGCCTGGACTCAAACTCTGAAACAAGTTGGCTTCTCCAGATCCCAGGCAAGCCCTGGGTAGGCAACCAGCTTGTTTCCCTTTGGTTTTCGATTGGGTGGTTGTTTGGCCTACTATAGAGGTAAAATGGATCCACTGGGTTACCAAGGTCGAAAGACCTCCGAATCGTGTTTTTGCTTTTTGTCTTCTTCGTTTTTGTGAGCCAGGAATCTAAGGACGCCTCAAGGAAAAAACAACATCACACGGCTTTTTGAAAAGCAAAGCATGTAGACCGAAATGAGGGCGCGGTGGGGGTGGGGGTTGGATCCGAGAGGCCCTAAATTGGTCCGCGTGCATCTTCCAAAGCACCCCCTTCTCCTTGCAGGTCACCGTGGCTGTTCGAGGCCTCGGAAATTCTTCGAGCCGGGGTTGGAACTCAGTGAGGCGAGTTTCCTCTCATCTGAAAGGAACCCTGGAAGCAACCGGTCGCACATGCCAGGCTAGAACTGTTCAGAGGACCTAGGTGCCTTCCCATGTGTTTGCTTCCTTCAAAAAAAATCAAAATAGAGACCTGTAATTCTAACCCGCACCCAGACTCCCCCATGAGTCTAGGAAAAGCAGAAGGTGCATCCGCATCCGATCGGCCAAACCGCGACCGGATGCAAGAACCGGGCTTAAAGAGCTGGGCTCTGCAAATTGAAGCCAGCCGGAAACAAACAACTGGGGAAGAACAGAACAGACCCGTGGCTAGGCCAAGCTCCTGGGTTATTGAACCAAGGTCTCTTCTTTTGTTTTGGGAGGGGGGGGCTGACCCTCAAACTTGAGCTTGCTTTTTGTGTTGCTTGTTGTGGTTCTTTTTTTTGGGGGGGGGCCTGACCCTAAAGTTCAGCTTCCCCCAACTTTAGAGCCAAAAACCAAAAGCCGCGTGGCCCCATTTGGATCCTCCGGAGCCTAAGCTCTCGGCACGCTGTAGAGCATCGCCAGCTCCCCGAAGCTGTTCTTGGCGCGGAGGTGCCTCACCGCGGTGTCCCCCACCACCACCTCGAAGATCCCGTTCTGGATGATGTACCAGCCTCACATCCGATTCGGGGCTTCGGGTCGTTGGAGGCGTTTTTTTGTTGCTTCTCTTTTTTTCCAGGAAAATTCCCGAGGAAACCGCTTCCAGCTGCAAAGTGTGGGGGAAAAATTCCTGAAAAGGCGGCCCTAGGAAAACTTGCAGGAGTTGTTGTTATAGCCAAGCAAGCCTCAAAACATGGGTTGGGGCTTGTTTGGAAATTCCTGCTGCTGGTCCCTCGTTTGTTGCATCTAACGCACCCAGTCATTCTACTGGCGGGGTGTCGTTTTCAGTGAGGATTATTCTCTTTCCGGGACGCCCCTTAGAAGCAATTGGTGTGCTTAACGTTGGGCCGCCCTTTTATAGTGGAGCGCGCTATTACAGAAAGTTGCTTCGAATTGAACAAAGTGGGGGTCCGGAATGATGGATTGTGTTTCCACCTGGAGCGGCCTGGTGTCATACCTGTTCGTTAATGATGTCAATGGACAAAACCCTGCACCAGTTGGGATGGATGAGCCCCTATAAAGCGTATAAAGACTGGTTGGCAAGCCAGTCAACTGGTGCGAAGCAGACTTTGGCCATCCGCAGATTCAATGCTCTTTTTCTTCTTCTTCTTCTTCTTCTTCTTCTCATTTTCTGACTGGACTGGCCAACAAAAGTCCAAACTGTTTGTTTACCAATGGGTTTCCCCCAAAAAACACAAAGTACATAAGGCCTAACAACTCGGAAAGTGAGTTTTTAGGGGGGCACAGTGTCTAGGCCCTTCCCAACGTCCTGGTCAGCCCCCACGTTTGGACCGGATCCCTCCTGCGATCTTGCTTCTTATAGTATACTGTTTAGAGTGGGACCGGCAATGCTGAATTAGGCATTGTCAATCCGAAATGATGTATTGGCCCAGCCCAGCCATGCCCGAACCCTACTAAAGAGAAACTGTTGTCTGTCTTGTTTGTGGGGTGGGGGGGGGGGGGGGGGGGGGGGGGGGGGGGGGGGAGGGAGTGCCATATTGCCTCTCAAACCGATGTGTGACGCATCGGCCGCAAAGGCTAGGTCAATCACAAACCATTTGCCCTCGTTCCAATCGTAGAAGCAGTAGACACGACATCATGAGTTTGCGACACCTACCATCATCTTATTGATGTTGACCCAGGATTAATAAACCAGTCCCATTATAAGGGGGGTGTTCCCTCCAAAAGTGATGAATCCCCACTAAAAGGAGACACCCCCCTATCAATAAACCAGTGGTCTATTAATCCGGGGTTCACATTAAAGCGCCCCTCCACTTCGATTGCAAGGGTGCCCCTTGGCCCAAGCCCCTGCATTACGACCTTTTTTGGCGGCCGTGAGTTGAGGCCCACCGACCCATACCCACTTGCCGAACTCCACACGCAAGCAGAACCTAGTACCAACAGGGTGTAGCCAAAACCATGTTTGCAGCAAAGGGCGGATATCCGCACACGTATGGCTAAAACCGTCCCCAATACATCGTCTACCCAAACCCCCGGTGGCCACAAAAACACAAAACGGCACTATCTTTTTTGGTGACCAAACAAACCCTCAAAAACACGCCGTGAAAACATAGGGACGCAACCCTGTAGCGGCCTAGGTTTGTATATCTCTATATATATATATATTCAAACCACATACTATTGTCACGATTTTCATTATTATCATCATGTTACTAACATGCTTGACTTTGGCTCAGCTATCCGAATCCAAGCCGCAGTCGCCCACCTCGTCCTGCGCGAAAATGATCTCGTCCGGGTTCGCCTTCTGCATTTCGAAGTGGTCAATCACCATCTCCTGCTCCTCCTCGGCAAAAAACAAACCGTCACCCCTGCTTTCCATGACTGTTCTTTTATGACCCTCCTCCCCCCGAGGGGGTCAAAAAAAAGGTCACCCCAGCTTTCCATGACTGTTCCTTTTTGAGACCGGACAAATCTCAGCTTGGCGGAGCAACGGCGTGAAAGCCCCACTCCGGTGAGCCAAGCCGTGGAGTTCAAGCCAGCGCTCGGCCTATTCGGAGGAATGGGGCGATGGCCTCCATAGAAAGACATCTGGAAAACAGATGAACGACCGACTCGGAATGGGCAGGTCTTCTTTTGGACTCTGAAAGGGCGTATCTTTTGTAATTATGGTAAATGGGCATATCATGCATATCGAAATGGGCATGTCGTGTTTTTGGATGGAACTCATCCTCACTCCCACTAAGATGGCACCTGATAGGGGGTCCCGGGAGCAAAGCCGATCGACGCTGAATGGGCATGTTTTGGGATGGTTACCCTCACTCCCACGTTGCGGCACCTGACAGGGGTAGAGGAAATTTTGATCTTCCAGGGGCCCTCCCACAGCGTAGACTTGAATAATCGTTGTTGAGTTCCCCAAAAGTGAAGCCCCGGGATAAATGTGTATCTGGGGGTAGTCAAACAGTACCCTGCCGATTTTTTGGATGGTTTGCAAAGATGTGGAACAATTGACACAAATTCTTTGCAGTTCCTCGTGTTTGCCGAAAGTCGCCTAACCCCAGTGCCATGTCCTTTCCCAAAGAACCCATCCCCCAAACAGTCCAGAGATGTCGTAGTTGCATCTTCCGGTTGGGGTTGAGATCAATCCCTGTTTGCAATCCCATCTGCCAAGCGATTGATCGCTAAAAAGGCTATGCACTCCTGGTTTACAGGAAATGCAGCTACGAAACATGGCCTACGCTTCTCAGCCAAGGGCTCCAAAATGGGTGTCTGCTTTCAGGAGACCCCCAAACTTAGAGTTGTGGTTTTGCCTTGTGCTTTGCCCTGGAACCACCCCCCCAAAAAAGAAAAAACAAGAATACCCTCAAAAGAAGACACACCCAAGTGATGATGTCCCAGCTGGATCCATACAATCAACACGTCCGAAGGAACCCCCACCCCCCAGCCAAGCAAGACACATCGCCCATCGAGTCCCAGCAGCCCAGATTTTTTGACCAAGGCTAGCCTAGCCAGCCAGCCGCCGTCCAGGCAGAAAGGCCTGGAAACATTGTTGAAAGAACACCTCTCAACTTCTTCTGGCAAACAAGGGGACCGTTGCAGGTTTTTGAAGATGACCAGTGATAATTCACCCATCGACCGATTGATGAAAATCGCTCGAGGCGCGTCGTCTAAGTTCCCGAAGACAAAGTGCTTCTGCAGCACTTTCAGGATGAAGCGCCGATTTTCTGCGCTGACCTGACGCAACGAGGCTCGTTGAAACATGCGGAGTCTCAGATCTAGGTGCTCCAGTAGAGAGGTCCTCCAGGGTAAAAGGGCACGGCACTACTGGGGACCCAGGTTGTTTTGGGCGCGGCAGATCATGTGGCCCGGCAAAATTTGATACCTGTGTTGCAACCTTCCAAATTTGACTTAGTTGAGTTCACTCTGACTTGTCACTCAACCATACTGCAGATGATATTTCAACCGGGTCGTCCTACGTTTCTATCATCTAGGACCGGACTTCCAGACGGCATCTGGGAATCGATCTGGACTTGGAGCCTTCGTCTTCCAATCCCAGCTAGACAAAAAAAAAGCAGTTGGTATCCCCAACAGCCCCGGAACCCCGTGAAACCCTCCCTGAAAGCTGCCCCAAACCACCCCGAACGAGCCTATCCGTTTTTTGTCCACCCCAACAAGCCGCAGTCGAGCAGCATTGCCCGCTGGACCCTTTGCGGACTTGGGCGTCGTCGACTCCTGAGTCCGGTCGTTCCGCTCAAGAGCGGGTGGCTGCGCACCGGTTTTTTAGCCCTTCCGATAGGCCGCGTGCAATGATTCGTCGGCTGAGTAAAGGATCAAAGGGCCAAAAGGTCAGCTAAGTCCGGTGGAAGCCTGTCACCGAGAAATCCCATCTCATTCGGGTCTTGGGTACGAAGCCAACAGGATGTCACGTCCCTTGTCAGCTACTCAGGTTTAAGTACCTCACCTAAAGTAGATCCGCAATATACGGGGCACATACACAGTACGTTCTCATGATCATGACTTAGTCTGGCTTTCAAGTACCGCACACGATTCTTTTCAGCTGAGCCCTTGAACCCCCCAAGGTGGTTGTTATTTTCCTGTGGGTTCCCTTTTATGCCCCTCTGCTCCCCAAAAGGAACATATTTTAACAAAACATGGATGGCTGAAACCACTGACGAGGAACGCAACTTGCGGCTCAGTGGGACAAATCTCATTTCGCAAAAAGAAGAGTCGAGTAAAGTGAAGTCAAATTCAACTAACCAAGTGCTCCACCCTTCGATTTTTTTGAGGGCCGTAGGAAGCAAACAGGTCTGGTCCGCGATAGAGCGCGCGGATGGTTTTGTTCGCTCGGTCCTTTCCGCCGCGAATGACCCGCTGCAGCTTCTTGTCCTTCCTGAGGCCTCAAGGTTCAATGAGCCGGCCCAGTGAGAAGGGCGATGAAGCTTGTTGTTTCTGTGTGTGTGTGTGTGTTCTTCTTTTCCTTTGGGGGGGGGAAGGGAGCTGGTGTTTTTTGTTGGTGTTTTCTTCGGAATTTCTGTCTTTCTTGCTTTTTTTGGGGGAGGGGGGAGTTTGCACTTTGGGGTGAGAGAGAAAACTGCTACTTTTGCTTTGGGGGTGTGTGTTGGGGGAGGCCGGCTTTTTTTTCTTCTTCGGGGGTCTTGTGTTGAGGTGTCTTTTTGTTGCGGTCTTTTTGCTGGTGGACTTTGCTTGTTTTCCTGACTATATTGTATTCAATTTGTTCATTGACCTTGTAACTTGTATAAGTCTAGGGGCACAATCACATTGGCTGCCCAGAAACATGTCTACATCCCCTGCAGATTAACATCGAACAAAAGAAACGCTGGGTTTAGGAATGTTTCGGGGTTGGACCTTTTGGGCCCTTTAAGGTAAATTTGCAGGGTAAAACCCTAGGCTATCCCTATGCCAAGGAACAGGCATTAAATGGCAATCAATCGCCTTGTCCAAGTTCAATTCACCTGAAAACGTGAAATGGACCGATACAACGACTTGGCTTCCCTTTGCGACAACCAAAAAGGACATCCCCCACAAAGCAACATGCGGAAACAAAACGGTCAAAGCAAAATGGTCAGTTCAGGTCGGAACGCGCTGGTTGCAAGTGAGTAAACGAGCGGAAAAAACGGTCCAATATACCTGGATAAGCCCGGGAGTAAGGGGCGAATCAGGGATAGCCGGTGCCATGGACACCTAGAGTCTATGTTGCAAGCTCCTTCTTTTTTGGGGTATTGGTTTTTCTTGGGTCTGGTTGCAAAATCGATTCCAGGTGTCCATGGCACCCCCCCCCTTCGCCTCCCCGAAAGCGGCCGATGGCCCCGGGATCCGATCGATCCGAGGGATCCGATCTCCGAGCCTTGGCCTGCGGAAGGTCCGCCCAGCTCACTCCTTGGCTTCGAGGCTCACGTCATACGACGCGATGAGAGGGGGAGGCCAAAACGCAGGGGAAACCAAGGGAAGCAAGAAACACATCAGGGGAAATCACTGGCTGGTGCGAAAGCGGCAGGGAATGAGAAATGGAATGAACCTTGAAAATCATCCAACTGGTGGTTTCCTTTAAGAGGATCCCTGGGTTCATTCCCACATTCCCTGCTGAGCACCAGCATAACTTCCTGAGTTGATTGGCCAAATAAAGTAGCCGAACTTTTCAGCCACTCAAATGGTCCAACCCCAAAAAGCTTAAAGTCCATGAAGTCACGGAGTGAGATAAGGGTCCGTTGGGGTGTGTGGAGGGCACCAGCTCCTTCGCTCTCTTCCAACATCTTCCAACCACCAGCGGAATAAGATTCACCAAGTGGCTGAGTCACTTGGTTGGTGTAAAGGCCACCTTTTGCTTGGGGGGTCGTATTTTGACACATACCGTTTCCCAGTCTCTTTAGGTGGTCAAAGTCTTTCGTTTCCATGTCTCACACAACCATACACTTTCGGTATGGCAAAAACATACTCCCCGGCAAGCTGGCGACCGGGCTTGAGCGGTTTGGGAGTTGGGATCTCTCATTGGCAGGAACCATCTGAGCCCCAAGGGCGACCTCAGAGAAAAACGTGGCCTTGGGCAGCACACCAAAAAGCAAAAGGAACGGAACCCACAAACGCAACCCATGCACATACACAAGTGGGCATGTGTCAACATAGTTGCCAACTTGCAGTTCGGTTTTCCTTTCGGTTTTGATTCACAGCAACCTGAGAAAGGTACCATAAATCCCCCGCCAAAAAATGAAGAAGTTCGGCTTTCCCTTTGGTTTGGTTTCACAGCAACCTGGAAAGGGCACCACATCATTACAATAAACAAACACACACACAGAGAAATAAGACCAGCGAGCGGACCTGGGCGACGCTGAGTTCCGCTCTCAACTTCGCTGTTCCTTCGCTGCCCATGCGCCTTGGCCAGGAGACTGGTTCAAGGGCTTCTGGCGGTCGTTTGTCTTCAGTTGCCCACTTCGGGTGGACGGACGAAATCCATTTCGCACCACCTAACAACGCCTGGAATGATGATTCCCCCATAAATTACCAACAAACAATGGTTTATCATCGTTTCCATGATGATTCCCCTATCAAATACCAACAAACAATGGTTCATCATGGTTTCCAAGCGGTGCGACAAATGGATTCTGTCCACAGCACGAGGTCCAAACCTGAACCCAACCTGCCGAGCGGCTCCTTCGCTTCCGGGCACCTCGGGCTGACGATCTGCCCACCCGACCCCGGGACCTTGGGAAGCCCGGCCCTGGCTGAGAATACATACACACATTCATACATGGCCATGGGTCAAAATCCCGTACAGTGAGCATCCCAATCCCCACTAAAATAGACTAAAATGGGTGGTGCACCTAGAAACACACGAACTAAATTACCTAAAACCTAAACAACTAACACCAATACAGAACAAACAAACAAATACACGACATACAACTGAGGCTGGAACGACGTTGGCGTAGGTGCTGTCCTGACCCCGGCGACGAACAACAAGAGCCTGAGGAAAGCGACCAAAACGCGCTCCCTTGGAATCAGCCAGCTGCTTAGCACACGCAAATCGCCGGATGAGTCAAGAGAAGAGAAGTCGACCCATTCGACGCCAACGAGAAAGGATGCAGAAAGGCAAGAAGGCACCTTGGCAAGGTCGCAACCTGCCCAACCATACGCATTCCCATTAAACACGCGAATGTGTTGTCAAAGGACCGCTGGGCCAAATACTAAAGGTTCTACCGCCTCTCTTAAAAGCACCCCATATGGGCCATGGCCAAAGTTACGTGTTTCCGCACGAAGGCATGGACAATCTAGAGAGTTCTCTGGTTCTGAGGGAAATTGAGTGAGTTGCCCCATGTGGCCATGGGTCAAAATCAAACCACCAGGGGACCGCAGGTTTTAGTCCATGCTTCCATTTGCCAGGGTTCCATTTGGGGGTTACCCTATTTTTGACCCACAGCCATGTCCCACAGACTGTCAAAGGGGGTGGGTTGGCCCAACATCCGTCCTTGCCGGGATGGACTCTGCCTCCACCACCTAGGGAGCAGCCCATGCCTGGCAAGCAAAACCGCAGGACTGACACCAAGACCTACAAACCCATTCCCTAGGATTGCTTGTCTCACTTCCCCAGTGGATTGGCCAAAACACAGCCCAAACTCCCCGCCGGACTCAGGGAGCGAGTTGAGCTTGCCCCCAGCCACTTGCACTCGGCGTGGGAAGTACCAAGTTCAAAGGGAACACCACTGGGCGGCTTTCTTTCCAGAACCCCGACAACACAAGGCCCTTAGGGTTATTCACTTCCCAGCAAATGCATCCTATTGATCAATACATATATTCCTTTCCCCGAACCATCCCCCAATAGTACATTCGATTTCGACGATAAACCAATTCGAAACTCCCGGAGTTCCCTTCGACACGTTTATGTCCAGGTGATGAGTTGAGTAGCGAGCCGAAAAACCTGCATTCAATTCACATGTAGCGACTGCAGTCACTTGGACCCTATTGAAACATAGGGTTTGCCCAGCCAAGTTTATTAGGGGGAGCGAGGGGCAGGCGGGGCGGGGGGGGGGGGGATTTCTTCCTTTTGTGCTCCTTCCACTTCCAATAGACTCATAGATGCGGTTTCGTCTACCTAGAGTCTCCATGACCCCCTAGAGAAGGGGTCATAACCCCTTTGTTTTGGGGTAATGACCCCATTTCTAAAGGGTCATGGAGACTCCAGGTATCTTCCCGGACTTGGCCCAAACCCCCACCACGGCCCCTTCAGCGGGAAGCGAGCCCAAATCGCCGGACCGAGCCTCGGCCGGCAGCGGAGCGCTCCTTTTGGGAGTCGCCACTTTGCCGAGCGCCTGCGGATGGGCAGTGAGTTCTGCAAGTGGGTGGTTTGACTTTTGGCTTCCCTTTAAACCGCCTGCGGATGGCCCGTGGGTCCTCCGGGTTTTCTTGTTTCCCTCAACCCAAAAAAAATGCGTCAAACTCGCGCCCAACAAATTGGCGACTTCGAAGCGCTTTTTGGTTTCCGGATGGCACCGGCGCCAGCCGTTGGGCCAAGCAGCCAAGGTGTTTTGACCACACAGGGTTCAACAACAATCTGCAACTTCTATAGCTCCAAGACCTGAATTCAGGAATCCCCAAGCCCCTACATCCTACATAGTCAACTTGTTTTAGTCCAAAGCTCGCCAGCAAAAAGGCAAATGTGTTTTGGTCCCTCCACAGGTAGAATCAAGGCATGGCTGATTGTACCCAAATGCCCCTCACCTCATTTGCTTTTACCAAAGCGGTTGGTTGAAGCGAAAGACTGATGGACAATGCTCAGATTGTTGAAGATATCCTTTGGAACCCGCCCCAGGATTTGTTTTACAGGGAATTGGCAAAAACACCCACCAAGAACCAGCCACTTTCTATAGAACTTCCTTCGCGAACAACCCTCGTCAAACTCCAGCCACTTTGCCTGGACCAGCCCCGGCGTCGCCCCCGTGAGGAACCGCTTGGGCCGAACTACGGCGCGGTCAAGTTCGAACAGACTGGAGGAATTTACCACAAGGACTTCAAAAGTTGGCTTGCTCTTCGCAAAAGGTCGAAACTTTTGCAGACGCGGAAAAGCGAGGAGTTTCCAAAAACATATCAAGTGTATTTATAATAGTTCCTTGATCACAGTTGTTTGAAGCCAAGGCTGGGACCCCAGAGCCAGGCCACGACTCATGTGGCTAAGGAGTCGCCTCTGGAGTCCCCAGGCTGCCTCTTGCGAGTTGCGCTGCAGCCCATCTACTTAGATATTCTTCACACCATGGAGTTGCATCCGGATTCTGCCAGGGACAAACCCCGCGAGCTCGTGGTGCTGCATCGAATGGCTGTGCGTTCCCTCCTTCGCCCAGGATGCTTTGACTACCCCTTCCCCCAGCCCGGACTATGGAAGCCATAGCTACAAAACTACACAAGCACATATGCGGTACAAGCAAAACGTTGGCCCAAAAGTTTGTCCTGCACAGTGAGATCCCGGAGGAGTAGCACAAGAGATGCCCAACAACACTGGGTTGGCAAGGGCCATGCCCTTGCCGAATGAACTTAACTGGGCAGAGGTACTTGGCTAGGACCCCACTTGGTACGTGGTTCATGTGCCCAGTTCCCCTAAGTTGGATCTAGAAATCTCACTGTGTCTTCTTCTTACCTCACGGTGCGGCGCGCCTTTTCTTGAAGCGAGTCCATTAACCGATGCGCCAATAAAGCAACATTGGCCATACAAAATATATGGCAACACTGTCCCGTGCCCAAGCGCCCAAGGAGGTAAAACGACTGAACAACAGTTCAGTGTATCTACTTAGACGGTACCAGCAGGCCCTTGGAGCAGTTGAGAATGAAGATTTGGCCCCCAAGCGTGGGGCGTTCCTCTAAAAACTCTGTTCCTACGCGTGGGCTAGCATCTTAAATGGTGCAAAGCCATCCGCGCACAAAGCAAGAGCAGCCAAGATATGAGTTCAGCTCGCCTGCAACACCCAAAAGCGGTGGCTTTCCCAACAGGGGAAAATGGAAAGAACATATTCTTAACCAAATGGAAGTAAACCAAAGACACAGGGGTCTGGCAGGTCCGCAGCAACTCAGCCAGCAGCTGGGACAGGATATCTTTGACCTGAAGCATCGACTAGACCGGGATGCGGCATGAAAAGGTCATGTCATGTATGTGTATATCAAATAAACACACACACATATATATATATAACACATCAGTGAATCAATATATTAGTCTATCTATGTATGTATTATTATGATTATTATTATTGTTTTTTACTAGTATTACTATTAGTATTATTATTACTATTATTATTATGTTATTATTATTATTATTATTATTATTACTATTATCATTATTATTATTATTATTATTATTATTATAAAGATATATATATATATATATATGCTATACATATCTCATGCATTTGTCAAAACGAAGCGCCCCAAAAGCCAAAAGAGAGCCCCAAAAGCGAAGATCTTCGTCTCAAGCCGCGGAGTAAGCCATGGGAGGTCCAAACCCAGTGCTTCGATGAGTTCCCGTGAAAACGTGCGAGCGGTACAAACCAACTCCCACCTAACGTGAATAATAGTCAAAACCCGGTAGTAAAAAGGTCTACCTAGAACCATGTGAAGAATGAAGGCGGCCGCAGCTATTTATGGCAAGGGGATTGTCCCTTACTAACCTTCATTGACGTTTGGACTTGTTCCTGCGGGTTTGGACCATGTTCCTTTCTAAGCGAACCCCCGAAAGTGAGGTTCCATGTGAAAAGGGTGGGAGGAGAGGTGGGGTCGTGAACCGGATCCGGGGATTCCCTGAAAGGAAACCATACGCGATGGTTTATTGGGGTCATTCCAACTCATTCCCTGAGCACCAGCAAGTCGAGGACCATCAAAAGAACCCCAGCTCTGCAGCACAAGCCCCTCTAATCGAAAAACTTAGCTGCGCTATTGCTCCAAGCTTGAGCCAAATCCAAAAATGATGGTGGAAAGGAAAAGCGAAAGAGACCCAGAAGCGCCCACAAGGGCGAAGGCTTCGTCGAACAGGTCATTCGGCAATGATTTCATCACCAATTTGTTGATTTGTTTTGATTTATACCATGTTGAATCTATTCCTGAAAATGGACAACACAATGATTTGATTTATATAATAGATATCCAATATATTTGGGATGGCTCCTGGCCCCCGGCCCCCGGCCTGACTCCAGGAGCCTTACTTCCTCTGGACGATCACCGCAGGTTGAAATGGCCTCGCCGCTTCTTGGGGGCGAGTTGGGCATTTTCTTTCGCCCGGCACCCCTGGTTCCTGAACCTCAACACTTGGGGACTGCAAGCAAAGAGGCACCTGGGACTGACCTGAGAGTTTTTCAGCCCAATGACAAGCTGCTGACCAACCTAACCGTCAACAACCCAGCAGTCCAACTACCAACAGCCCAACAGCACAGCTTAACAGCCCAACCCAACAAACAGCCCCCGACAGCCCACCAGCCCACCAGCCCAGCAACCGCGGGCTTTTATTCGCAACATAAAGACAACGTAAGGCAAGCTTTGACTTCTGTGGGCCCCAAATCACGGCGGCTTTAAGAGGAAGGCGTGTGCATGCCCATGGCGATCAGATCTAAGGCCTAAGGCAAAGAAAGGGAAGGTAAACAAACAAAGGTCCTGACCCCTCTTAGCAGTTGGAAATATCTAGTGGAACCAGTCAACCTGAAGATATCCCAGGCACATATGATCCGCTTCGATGCCATGAAACACCAAAGCCGGAGCGACCCACGGCCACATGACGTCAACCTATGGGGGAAATGGCAAAGCCACCACCACTTTTTGCAGGTCAGCTGAAATGTGACCATCTTTTTGGCTTTCCGGCCACTTGCCATTTTAACCAACCGAACCGAGTAATATAGGCCGTCACTCAAAGAAAAGTCGTGCCAGGAATTGCCAGGAGCCCCCTGCCTCACTTGCCGCGCTGACAGGCTGGAGGTAGGACTCACTGATCCATAGCTCATTGTCAAACGGTCGGGCAACGAGCCGGGTCCTGTCAGCAACCGGAGAGTCCACCTCAAAAGGACGGAAGTCTTCCAAATCCCGGGGCCCACTTCCATTGTAGAGAGGGTAGCGCTAAGCCCATATGAAATTTGGACACGGCAAACCTCGTGGTGTTCTCTTTTAAGCTAAAGATACTGTTTGGCTTAACTATTCTGACCCATATTTTGGCAAGCACAACTGGAATAACATCGAATGGGCCCAGTTTGCCTTGCCCCCCAAATCGCGGGCCCAGTCGCGGTCCGGCTGATCGATCCACAGGGCCCAGTTTGGAACAACAAGGTCGGCTTTGAATCAATGAACGTCTGCTCGAACTGGCCTTCAACAATCCGCTCCACAACATCAATGACCCAGAAGCCCCTGAATCTTTCAATGGAAGACCCGACCACACCCCACTTCGGTGTTTGGGACCCAGTCTCAAAATTCCTGGCTGGTGGGCCCTCAATTCATCGAATTGGAGCCTCTGGGTAAACAACAAGTCCCCAAGCGGAAAGCTTCTTCTGCCTCCATTGCCTGCTTGTCCAGATCGCGCGGGGTTCCACATGTGGATGGCAGGGTGGAAGTCTGAGTCAAGCCCCCCCTTGATCCCCTTTCAAGAATCCAGGCAGGCAGCAGAGGCTTCCTAAAAGCGAATCAAGTCCCTTTTCAGCGACCCGGACCACGAAACTCCTGCTGTACACCTGCTTAAACCAAGTGTAAACACAAACTCCTTGTTGGCCTAGATCCTCCAGGGGTTAGAATAAGGGTACCTGATCTTTTCTTCTGCAGTCTATTGTAGTAGGGGAACCCTTCCAACCAGAAAAGGGGCTCAACAGGGCACCTAGCTGGGGGACCTAGTGGCTGCCAGAGGCCCCCCCTCCGATCGCCTCGCACCACCACGGGCACCGGCTTCCCGGCCATTGCCTTCGGCATGGCCGTCTGCCACTGGTAGGACCTGAGCCGCGCAAGCCTCGGCCCACCTCTCAAAGGAAAAGCCCAGGAGACAGACCCTTCAAATCGAAAAATGGATGACCACATCTTTGACTAAGAATGAGCAAGATGAACAAGGGGGTCCGTTGTTCAACGTCAGGCACGGCTACTCTGAAATGACTGATCTTTCGGTGAACCTCTTTTAGGGTTCCATAACTGTCAAGGAAGCTGAACTGACCTCGGCATCGAGGCTACGGTTGCGTGACACCCGTTGGCCTGTGTCAATGTCAGACCACCCCTGAGAATGTCGATGCTTAGGGGAAAGCGAATTGTCGTCCTTCACCACTTGACTGATAGGGACTCCTGACTTGCACCGCGAGACAAATTTCGACGGATCAATCAGAAATACCGTGCCAATCCAGGGTGAAAGAAACTGGTTTCGTGGATCGCATTGGGACCCTCTCTATGGTCCTTTTGACGAATCCGGGGAATTGTCACGGGTAACAGCGACAGCTGGGTGTGGAGGGTAGAGGGGAGGAACCCCGCTGTTGGAGATACTTGCCGGCAAATCAACATGAAACACAACAGGTCCTCCACAAAGAGATCAGTGTTTTGTGGGCTCCACAAGCTGCAGGGGAGTATTTGGCCCAGCCCATTTTGACCCGAAGTATCCAGGCCTCGGTGATGCCGACGTGGGCGAAGCCGCAGAGTGTCGCGAGGACATGCTCATGCTGCGTGGCGGGTACAACATGGTCCTGACCAAAGTTCCCTGGATTTCCCTCGGATCCGCTCCCTTATTGACGAATACTAATGTCACATTTGTTCCCCGACCCAAATCTGGGAGGCCCCATGGGGTGTGGGGTATTGGAATTAGAGGAAGCCACCTATCACTTCACCCGAAGGGAACTCACTTTGAACACAAGAGACACTCTACAGTGGCCAGTAGTCATCCGCCGATGCAATTGTTTGTCATTTGGACGGTGCAGGACATTCATTGATGCATTGTTGATCAAGCTTTGGAGAGCGTTGAAGAGAGGGGTTCTGACTGAGTGGTTCCTGATTGGCTCCGCGTTTGGAATCGACCATAGGTCGAACAACATATTTGGTCCTCCAACCGGGGCTAGGTAGCAGGACAAAAAGTGACAAACACTTCGTCCCCTGCATTTAAACGCCTAACGCCTCATGGCTGCTGCGCACCCGGTTGCATTTGCACCCTGGGGCCATTCAAAGTAGACCTTGTCATTTTGAGTGAAATTGAAATTTGGCAAGCAAACGCTTACATGCAGGCTTTTGCCGCAATCAAATGCCAATGCTGCTCCAGACTGACACTGTAACGCCGCAAGTGACGAGGCAAACACTTGCTTGCGTGCCCTAGTCGCCAAAAAGCTCCAAAACTGATTGCAGCATCTCTCCCATGACAGAATACCGCTTCGGGTCCTGTAGATGACAGGCTGGTCAGGCTGTTCACATACAAATCAGACAGCTCAGAGACGCAATATGCATTTCGTCAGTACTCACCGACCCCTTACCTCCAGCACCATCTGCGTGTTGCCTCTTCCCTTTCCCCCGTCCTGGCCGCTGGCGAGGCCGTGACGCTCTGCGGGCGCCCCATCGGCCGCACAACCGGCTGCGGCCTTCCCGGCAGCACCAGCTGCGGCCGTGGAGCCGAGGAGGAGACGGGCGCCGAGGCGACCGACACGGGCGCCGAGGCGACCGAGACAGGCGCCGAGACAACCGAGACGGGCGCCGAGGCATTGGAGTTCACCGAGCTGAACGAGGGCCGACGAGGCTGAACAGCAAGCTGGTGAAGCTGGCGCGCCTCGGGAATTGACTTCAATGGGAATTCAGGTTTTCCGACGACTTCTCAGAGCCTTTGTTAATCTTCCAAACCCAGCAGTGCGCAGACAATACTTTCGCGTGCGAAAGGACAATGCTTTTTACATACACAATATGTGTTTCCCCTACAACATGTAAAATCATCATTGCGAAAAGGAGCCTACACCACAAGCAGTGACAAACCCCGTGATTTGTGTTCGTGCCAGCGACAAGAACCCACCTATTTTTGGTGGTGGGCATGCTGCGCGCTCCTAGTGCTTAGTCAGAGATGAATCCGATAACAAGATCACAAACATTCCAACTCAACTCAGGGACTCCGGTTTTGCAGTCGGGGGTTGCCTGCACACATTCAGAGCGCACCTCTTGTCTTAGGCGCAAACTGCAGCTTAGCGGAAGCCGAACAGAAACCAACCAACTCGAGCTGTCCTGCGCCGCGCCCTGCATCATTTCCCATTTGGTTGGGGTGTCACGAAAGGGCCCGGCGAAAGGCATAAAGGGATGAGTAAATCCCCTCCAGGTTTGAAGCCACCAAAGCGCACATCCGAGACCGAACCGCAAACACTAGGGCCGAGCCGCCGCGATGGCCCCCGGCCGCTGTTTCGCCTTCGCCTTCGCAGTGCCCGGCATGTGGTTTGTGGTGTTCGCGTGGTGCACAGGCTGCCTCGCCGGCGCCTTTGCTTTGGGCCTGCGGATCAGCGAAGGTCAGACTTGGATTGGCGCTGGTAACATCTGGCTAGAGCTTGATCCTGCTATGGGTGGGTACCCTCAAAAGACCAGCGCCCCGCCTCGCGTGCTTGGGGCTCGGATGCTCCGAGGGAGGCATGGAGTTCGACAGCGCGGTGGATCGCCGCGATGGGCTCCCAGCCTCGCAACTCCCACAGCGCCGCATGTTTAAACCATGTCCCAACACGCTCCAACCACACGAAGCAATTCCAGGAAATCCTCTGTGGGACGTGGGCTGCGCTTTGGGAGGCTTGAAACAAAGAAAAGGTTGGAAGCTTTGGCTTTGGAGTCAGATGGGTTCCGGCTATCCTGTAGAACTTCCTGCACTCGCTACTCACCAGATTGGCATGGAACCCAAAATACCCTCATTTGTATGTTAATCTGGCCAGCTACAAGAATATTTGGAATTTCCATCGGAAATTAGCAAACTACCCACCAAAAAACCAGGGCTGTGAACTTCCTGCATTATTTTCCGGTAGCTGGTTCCTAAGACATACGTCGCCGAAGCTGGCACCATTTGCCAGAATATCTGGTGCAGAGGGTCGGCGCCGAACATCTAGAAACCATGTGGACAATCGGGGCGTCTATCCGCAATCCAATTGGTACCGCTTCAAAATATCCAAAGTTGATGGCTCACAACACCCGCAAGCCGACCAGCTTGAGATCGACTATTGGGCCGCATCTTGGAAAGGCGCAACAATGCCCCCATTGGCCATGTCACGACAAGTCGTGCCCAATCCATACCCCCAGAACGCATACTACAAGAAACCTCGCGCAACTGCAAGCTGTCTCAGATGTCCCGAAGAACGAGACGTTTAGTGGATTTGTTCACATAAACAAACCTGCTTCACACGACACCTCAAAAACCAGCTCCCCCCCCCCCACGGAAGAACCTGAGCCGATCTCCAACCAGAAACGGGTGCCAGCCCGCCCTCACATGCAAGCGTTGCTCATGTTGGGCGTCGGCCAGACGGCAAAAAAAAAAAACGCGAAATCTCTCGAGCCGCGCCTCCGAGGGAAGCATGGATGCGGGGCACGAGGGCCCTGCCTCCACTTTGGGCCCCCGGGCCTCACGGAACATCTTCGGACCGAACACCCCGGGAATTCCCAGTGGAATTCCGTGGGGAATTCCGGCGCGCGCTGGTTGTTTTATAATTAGTTAAAGGGAATGCCTCAAAGAAAAAGAGGTCCCGGTTTCGACAGGGTTCCGAACAGGTTCCGAACGAGTGATGTTTGCCATTCATGGGGATGGGCGTGGCAATTCTCGGTTCAATCCAACATGGAACCACGATTGAACCACGCAAGTCACCATTTCTGGAACCTCCTTTTTTCGGATTGGGGCTGAAAGGCAGAACTGCCCAACAGACCACCCTTTGAACCGCAAGCAAAGTAGGAAAAGGAACCCCTGTAGGAGAGCCTTCACAAGCCTTCATGAGCCTTCGTGGCATGTCAAGTTGCTGGGTTCGGCCCGTTGCACCCCGAGAAAAAGGGGTATCATTTGCACAACCTGCACCGCAGCAAAACATATTCCCCATTCTTCATAAGCGAAGACTGCAAGTCACAAGCGGCCCGCAATGGATCTGCTTTTGTAAGGCGTTTCTTCAGGGGTTGTTCAACCGAACCTGAGTGAGGCAACTAAAGACACCAATGCCAAGACCAAGTGATACCCGCATTTTTCCAGCAAAAGTGGACGTCCAGGGCCTTTCCAAGAGCTTCCTTCCCTCCGATCGGGCCCTTCCCTCCGACGGCACCTCCTTTGAGAAGCTCAGCACGTAGTCGATGGTCCACTTCCGCCGCCGCACCACATCGAAGAGCGGACGCGGATTGATTCGCCAGTCGAAGCTGCTCCAGTTGCTGGCGTATTGCCATCCGTCCTCGTCCTTGCTGTTAACCCGGTAGATTCATAGGAGGCTTTACTTTATAAAGTAATCCGACAAAGAAAACGTGCCCGTCAAAAAGACCCATGGTCCCCAACCAAAGGGAAACAATTCGCCGGGTGGTTTTTCTTCGACCACTTTTGGTTTATTCTGACAAAGGGAAACCAAACTGGCTCCTATGTAGAGCGGTATCCACAAGGTTTCCCTCGAAATGGTAGGAGAAACCCCCCCAAAGTTCTTTTGAGCAATTTTCCCCTCAAAATGCGACCGACTTTGAAGCCAAGCAAAAACCCATCCAAGCCATACTGGCCTCATTATTAGACCATGATGAAAGTTCTGACTTTGATAACCTCCAGAAACAGTGAAACCATGGATGTCCTTTTAAGGAAAATAGATGGCCCTGGTAGATGATTAAACCACCAGGTAAGCCAGTGCCCTCTATTTATTGAACAAAACAACCAAAAAGGACACCTATGAGTGAAACGAATGACCCCAGCCATAGGCGCGGTGTGGGCGCCATTGTCCAGTTGCCAGGCGCCCTTGGGCTGCCACAGACGCATCTGCTGCATCGGCGGCCCCCGGCGCCGGTGGTCGTTGCTGTGCCGCAGGGGGTCCAGTAAGGGGTGCCGCTTCTTCAGGCCTGGCAACTCGAAAAGGAACTCCTGCGGGAAATACTCCGTGGTTGCGAAAATCATTTCGGACCACTTGGAAACCATGGTTGAAACGTTTGTCAGTTGGCATTTACAGGGGAATCCTGATTATAGGGTGTCTTAGGTGGTGCAGGATTTCGTCCATCCACAGTATGTGCAACAAAATCTGCGCTGGCCGCCTGGTATCAATCACTGTTTTTGGTTTAGTTTTCTTCTCAAGTGTTACTTTTCCCCCTATCGACTCAGCACAACCACGGCCAACTGGGGGGGGGGTGGGGTGGGGTGAGGGGTGGGGGGGTGGGGGGGTGGGGAGAGGGGGGGAGGGGGAAATCATGCGCAACACGTCAAGTATCGACATCCAGACATGAAAGGTCGTGGTATTCATATATGGAATACACGTGTACTTGTCTTCACGCACCATGCAGAAAGGTTCATGCTTGCAGAAACATTCTCATTTAAACGTGTATTTGATTACATGTGCACGTGTGTATATATATATATACACATTCATATACATATGTAGGTACACAAATGCACACACACATATATATATATATATATATAATGCATATATGCAGGCTACAACTTGTTGCGCGTGGAGAGGCTTTTTCAACGACTTCAGGCGCCGGAAATAATCATCATTGTCACGCGGATCCTGTCATGTCACTTCTTGAATGCGGTGCGTCCCATGCGGTCCGGCTTGTGTAGGCCGTGTTGCGTAAACTTTCGCGGCCGAGTGTGCGCGCCAATCTGCTTGGCTTGCTGTAGCATTGTCTGGAGCTTTTTGCCCGGGTTTACCATAAATCGAGCTGAAAGCAGCTTTATCTGCGTTGGGCAAGGGAAAGGCCATCAATGGCCGACAGGCAAAAGCGGCCCTGCCGCGAAACACAGCCACGAATGCAGAATCCCACTGCAAGCACGGAAGCCCCTACCATCTGGCACAAGGATGAAGCATTGATCCATCGTAACCGTGTGAGTCAAGCTCAACAATGCTACTACAGGTAAGTCAAGTATGATGAAAGAAACAAGGCGAGTGCGCTTTTAGGGACTGTGCTTATTTGTGCCCGTTGTGTCTGCGTGCTGAACTTGCACCCTGTTTTGTCCCATGCTTTTTGCCCTGAAACCGCGCTATTCGGGAAACCCCCCAGCATGCCGCGATGGCCCACAAGCCTCGAATTTATGTGATGCTGGGGGAGGCGGATTTGTTTGTTTGAGAAACATATGGGGCCCTTTCTAGACTGCCAACCCTTAACACCCAATCGTGTCGTAGCCTGGCAACCGAAGCTCATGCAGACATCGCCTGTATCACACCGCCCAAGTTGGCGTTGCTAAGGTTTTTCCCCCTACACGTCAAGTGCCCCTCAAAAGTGATTGAACACACTGCTGGCACAAAACATGATTGTCAGCGCCAGTAATTAGAACAAACAACTACCATGTGAGTAAGTGTCCAGCTCCTTTGGGCAAGTGACTGGGCTGAAACAGCTATCTGAATGAGCGGCTTCATGTGCATGAACAACCCGGGCGCCAGAGAAACAACAACCACCTTCCCGTCCACGAACATGAAACCTGACTAAGGGGTCCTGGAAAACGATTTTCCTCTCGAAGGGGCTCTCTGGTGGGTTCCACGTTCGTCGACAGGAGGGTACGCCTCAGGGTCCAAGTGCCGTTTAAGAGGATTGAGCTGGCTTTCTCCTGCCTTCGGCAAGCCAGGTCTCTTGTTGCTCCGGCTCGGTGGGCAGAAAGGGCCGCTGCCAGCCGGAGTTGGAACCTACCCAGTCGCCACAGGCGTACCACGTCTCTGGGGGGAGGGAATTGCTTATGGGTTCTTGTCTGGATTTCCAACCGCAAAACCTCACCACGATCTCAAGGGAAGCTCAGCTTGGGGCACCCAATGTGGTGCAAACCACTTAAAGGGAAATACAGGGACCCTGCACTAATCGAACTCCCCCATATCAATGAAAGGTGAATGTTTGGAACCCAAAATGCGCTCAACTGGCAAGATGAATCAGTTTTCCAGGGCAACGTGTTTAGAAAAACACTGCTTGTAGCAAACATCAACTAGGGCATGGGCTGGCTCTATTCGAGCCATTAAACAACTCGTTGACACCTTTTCGCCAATGCCTCACGTGGATGGGGCTATGCAGGCCGTTGTCACGCTTCGGCTCTTGTGAGGGCGTTTTACACGCCGGAACTTTCTGGCCATATTGGAGAGATTCATGCCCACCAACCCCTTTTGAGGTGGTTCCTTATTTGAACCCATGCCCGACTCCCAAAACCACCACACTTTACCTACAAAACCGATAGCCTACCCAAAACCCATACGTTGAGGCATGGTCTGTTGCCCAAATGAGCGTGGGTCAGAGCGACTTGTTCCCCTGAGAAGGCATCGGAACTTCAGGGTCAGTCCGTCCCCCAGTTTTGGTGGTTGAATCCCTGCACCCCAGAAGGACCATAGACGACTGGTTTGACCAAAGCTCATTTGCGGGTTGGCCCTTTGAGTTTCTGACAGGTCCTTTCAGGTGCTTTCAGGGTCCATCACCCGTGACTTTCACACCTCCGGCAAAAGCTCCTGGCCTGCCGCAAAAGCAGCCCTCTGCACTTCCCAACACTCCTCCTGCACGACCGCCTGGCCACGATTTCGTCGCCCGGCCGGACTGAGCACAAGGTTTCAAGGGTCCTGGACGATGTGGATAGACAACATTCACGCCAGTCGCCAGTTGCAATCGGTGCTGCATCAGCAAGTATGTGAATCGGGTGCGTCCACAACAAAAGGGCAATGCTAGGGAGAGAAAATGTTTGATCGACCCGAACGTCGAGGCGTGTTTGACACCCTCACACTGAGGTTTTGGGGCCAGGTTTTGCAAGATGGATGGATGGATTTGCGGCTGCCAACTCGCAGGGGCGGGAAAGAGGTTCCGACTTCCGACCGGTTCCAGTGCGACCGGGGAAAACAAAGGGCCAGGCCTACAAAGGAAGTGAAAGCAACGAGCTTCACATCAAGGCATCTGACCCCTGGACGTTGCAGCCAACATGGAGCAGCACAGAAGGCAAAGGATCAAACAGCGGGGCGCAAAGGAGACAAATGCGAGTACTAAACCAATCAAGGCCACAATAGCTTGGGGCATTCAGGTCGGCCCTCATGGGTGCTGCCCATAAGGGGAGTTGTCATGAGAAAGCCAGGGCGGACATGCCATTTATGAGTTCTTGGAACAAAGATTGCATGCCATGTGGAGTGGCCAAATGAAATGTTGACAAACCTAAAAGTCTCATATTGATTGACTGGTTTGGTCACAATCTGGTGAGATCTCATCCTTATCTGCAATATTCATCTGTAATCCGTAGTGGGACACCACCACAATAACGGAAGCCACAACCATCAGGAATACGGAGCAAGGATTCATTTGGATGAACGCAAGTTGAACCTCACTCCCAAGATCGCCACGTGACATCCTCGCAACCTGCAACATTTGACAGAAAAACCTTTCTGAGGGCCTGAATTTCTGCTTGGATGCTCAACCAACTTAGTAAGTAAGCAACAAGCATAGTTGCAAGGGGGACAGTTATAACCATGGTTATTTAGCTCCTCCAGTAGAGAGCATAGAATAAGGGTAGCCTTTTTTTCCGTGGTCTATTTTAGTGGGGGAACCCTCCCCCCAAAAAGGTTTCGAGAAAAAAAGGCTCTACTAAAGGACCTAGCTGTAACCTACCTAACTTGGTTGAACCTAAGTGAACCGCCCGTGGCTTCCATGGCTCAAAGGCGAAAGGCGGCCCTGGCGGTGCCTGGTTCGAGAGCTCGTCCCCCTGAAACTGGCGCCGCGCCGAGGTCAGCGTGAACTGGAGGATCTCCACCTCGCAGGTGCTAAATCGGCCCCGGCCCCGGCGACCAGTTCTCAAAGGAAGTTTAGTTGGAAAACTTCCGTACGAAAACAAGCCAAGCTCTTCCTATAGGCACTCTTCTCGCTGAAACTTCCGTCCACCGGCTTCGCCGGCTCTACTGGTAACCTACGTGCATCCAAGCCCCAAGCCCCAAGCCCCCCTGTGAAGCTGTGAAGCCCTTGTTCAAAGCACGTCAAGTTGTTCAAAGGGAAACCGTCAAGTTGGCGACTAGGGCCTGGGTTGATGCCTTGGGATTATGTTCCAGCCAGGTCTCCCTTGCAAAAGGTCTGTAGAGGGCTGTCTTCGTCCAACCTGACTTAGAGGATCTCAGGTAAAAGCCCCAATGGTCGCACCCTCAGATCAGGAAGCTCGTTGGCGCAGCACAAAAAACCAAGGATATCCAAAAACCAGCCGTCCTTCAAGGGATCTTCTAAAATCAGCTGATGTTTGTGTGATGGTTTATCTCCTCCACATGGGCCCTTCTCTGGTTTTGCAGGGAAGCCAAAAGGAAGACCACCTTCTTGTGGAGGGATGTGGGGGGTTGCCATGGCACCCTAATGTTGCATATTCATCAACCCCAGTTCATGAATACGGGGGGGTGTTCGCCTCCAAAAGTGACCACCCAGGGACACCCCTTATTAATACACTGCGGTTGATTCATTTGGCCATGGGTCAGGTCAAAACCCCGTACCCCCAGTGAACATCCCAATCCCCGCTAAAATAGGTTCTAGCTTTTGGTGATGCACGGTACCATGGCCATGTGGGGTTGATTCCCCATTCTTTTCAACCATCGTTCTTTTCAAACCCCGGCTGTTTCCCCTGGATTTTCCATGGTTTCCTGAAAAAAACGGATCCCTGGATTCAGAGAATGGAAGTGGAAGTTACCCCTCCACATTTCGCATTCCCCATCGCAGCAGCGACAACAGGAGAACATGGAAACCACCGGAGGGAGGGGGACAGCGCCCTCCGCCGGGCGCGCCTTCTTCGCCGCGCCCGGGGCATTCGCAGAGCACAGCACCGCGCAGAGCGCCCGCGGCAGCTCGGGGCACACGGACCAAGGCATGCGGATGCTGTGCACCGCAGGACGCCTGAGCATAGGTTTTCTTACCCCTTAAAACTCCAAGCCCGACATATAGCCCATGTTACCCAAAAAGTTGAAAAGTTGTGTTTTTAAGAGGTAAGTTTTAGGTTGGAAGTCGATGGGTTTCGCTGGTAGATGACTAAACCACCAGGCAAACCAGGAATCGCCACCTATTTGTTCAACCAAAACAACCAAAAAGGACACCTATGCGCCTCAGGCGTTGAAATCGATCTGCTGCCACGAGGGTTTTTGTCCGCGTTACCCCCCAAGCTGTCTTTGGATGGGAAAGCCCTATGAACCACCATTTTTGGATTGGTTTGAAGGGAAGCCACAAGCAAACCACTTTTTATTGTCTTTTTCTTGAGGGGGGGATTTTCCAAACAAAGTGTGATTCAGGTAATTTTCGAGGATGTTATAACTTCCCAATTTTTTTTTAAGGCAAAGTTGAAGAAATAACCCCCACTATTGTAGATCTGTTAAGCTGGTTTCCAACAGCTCCCCCAAAATGATTAAGGCAAAGTTGAGGGAAGAACCCCTACCACGATGTATATATATATATATAATGTAGCCACTGTACCAAACTTTGCCTGTACCATTTTCCCTTGGGGATAGTTTGGGGGGTAGTGGACTCCATCTTGTGGCAGATGGCTGCCCTAGTTGGGTGTGTCTTTTGGGGGTGGGTACCGCGGTCACCGAAATCGAGCAATTTCTGGGGCGTAAAGAAACAACAGAACCGCACATGAGCTGCTCTCAAAATGGAGGGCTAAGGATATCCGATTTTTTGCTAAACAAGGCGGAGCCCTTGAAGAACACGCATGATCGAAAGGGCCCAAACAGCTTTGCGTTTCCGCCTTGAGGAAGCCAGCTGATTTATGTCCAATGAGAAGAACAGACTGAACTGACCGGGCCCCTAAACACAAATGCCTCAAAAACCGCGACCAGGGCAAAACAGTTCTGGGAATCGCATCCTCTTAATAGACTTCCAGGACCCCCTGGGCTCGCTAGGGGCCACTTCCAAGCATAACCTGCTCAAGCAAAGAACCCTTGCAGGGCAACGCCGATCAATGGGCTCCTTTGTATGACTCACGGGCCGACGGGGAGTTCCCTGATTGGAAACATAGTGGTTCGCAGGTTTTTGGGGAAGAATGACCATGGGTTGGCAAAATCCTTTTGCTAACATCCTCAAATAAATTTCGGGCGCCTCCAAACGAACACACATCATGCTCAATCGGACTGTGCTAGGTGAAGAAAGGATTTGCCAAATAGATCTGCCTCCAAATGGATCTGCGGAGCTCAAACACGGGCCCATTTCCACAAAGGGAGATTCCTCCAAACATGCATGTTCAGCTGAGGGAGGGGCCCCCGAATGACACCCTGCAGGACCTTTGCATTGCCTTCTCGAACAACCATGGCCAACATGCGCCAGTTCTGCGTGAAGTTGATGAGCAAGTGTGCTTGAACTTGGGTCAAGAACATGTGCATGTGCACTAGTTCCTATAGCTACCTTCTTGGGTCAAATCGATCCATTTGCCGCGACAGTTGGCAAGCGCCAGGTAGGTACTGCGCAACCTCAACCTACCCGAGGGGAAAATCGTTGAACATGAGATGTGGGGATTTGCTTCCCAACTGCCCAAACCGCAGAAGAGCTGGAGTGGCCTCATTCTTGTACCATTGTCAAAGTCACCCCCGAAGTGGTGGGTTGAAGGGAGAGAGGGACCTGGCTTCTTGCGGCCACGGCGGCTGGTTTGAACGGAGCTCCAGCAGCAGGTCAGGCTTGCCACCCTGGAAAGAACCAGCTGGAACGACTCCGCCCCCAGCCAAAAGGAACTGGAGAACACGCCACTCGCAACAACTCATGAAGCAGTTGACGATTGCGTGCTATATACCCAGATTCCAGAAGTAGGTTACAACTTGTAGATGATTGGGGTTCGGAACTGCAATTTGCACATTCAATTGCTTGTGGCACGTTGGGTGGAGCACGTTGGGTGGAGCATCAGTGACTCAATGCAGCAATGTTCCAACTCAAAAGATGACCGGGCCAAGGGCAACACAATTGCTTTGTGGATGCCCCCCACCCCTGCAATCAAAGAACAATACGTGCTTAGAGGTGTGTTCACCAACACCTGCTAATCCAGAAGCTTACACGTGTTGGGGCTAGTGTGCCTTACAAGTGTGAATGCATCACCCAAGCTCGTCGCCCTACTCTAGCACCCTCGCCATTGAAGCGCGGGATACCTCCTTGGTCCCGGCCCAGGACGAACACAAATCGGATTTAGGGCCTCATCCATTCTTTGGAGGAGCGAGACCTTCAAGGTACGACGCTGGAATTGAACCCCAAACCGGTGGCTGAGTTAAATCTAGTTGGCTTTCTTCTTGAAGCTTGCCCCAAGGACTGAAGGCCGGCGGCAAAATTGATTAAGCACCACAAGCCACATGGGTGTGCCCTTTTTCAGGAGCCCCCTCCCCAAATGGAGGTTTTCCTTTTGGCTTTCCTTGAAAACGACCTGAACCAAGCGGTGCCCACGAAAACGGTAATAAAATGTTCTACCCAGAACCATGTAAGGAATTAAGAAAGCGGCCGCAGCTATTTATGGTTGGGATTGCCCCTTACCAACCATCATGTACCCGGGTCCTGATTGTGTACTCACATGGCTCTGTAACATGCACATCGACCAGCCTGGAACCGCACCGGGGCCCACTTGGCGGAGACCAGAGCGGACAGTGGGAAGCGCAAGCGCATCCTTGCGACTAAAACTCACACACCGAACCAGAAAAAAAATGCGATCCCTCCATTTGCTTAAGCCACCTGTATTTTCAATGGCGATAGGTTCCCTTTAAACCACCAAGGGAAGAATAACAACACATCTTAAGCAAATGGAAGGATCGAACAAAAAAAACAGGGGGGTGAACACGTGGCGATGCTCCTTGTTCTTTTCCTCTCCGAAAGCTCTCTGGTGCATTTTACGAGGTGAGGGAGTCAGCCTCTAGACCGCGCAAATCCACTCAAGATACAGAGCCCCCCGGGCCAACTTTTGCCCCCTTCCGTTGTGCGTTTGGGTATTGGTCAAGATGTTCAACCACCAGGATAGGGACCGCTTTTTGTCCTTGGCTCCATTTACCAGGATAACCGATTTTGGGGTTACCCTATGTTTGACTCACCATTTGAACCCAAACTTCTAGGAGGTGATTCCCCATTCTTTTCAGCCATCGTTTTTTTTAGGCATGCCCCAAATGTTTTTGGTGGTGTTTCTAGAAAGAAGGATCCCTGGAAAGAATGGAAGTTACCCCTAGAAAATTCTGTTTCGCGTCCCATGGGCATGAGCAGCTCTGGCCATTGGTACCGAGCGAGCTTGTCTACAAAAGGCCCAGTCCACCCATTGCCTTGGACCAAAAACAACAGAAAGCTCCTCTTTGAAAATGAGCTAAAACCTCACTTAATTCATAATCAAAACCCGGTATTAAAATGGTCTACCCGGAACCATGTAAGGAATTAAGAAGGCGGCCGCAGCAATTTATGGTTGGGATTGTCCCTTACTAACCTTCATTTATCCGGGTTTTGATTGTGGCTCACTTGCCCAGAGGACCTGGAAATAGAAGGTGATCGCCTTTTTGGACCTTTTCTAAAAATGGACCAAAATGGGAAAACCAAAAGGGAGAGGGCCGGCTTTGGGCAACTGAGAAACATGATGGAAAGCTAAGTCCTGCCTTCAAGCGATCTGACATGTATGTTGTATTTTATGTTCACTTAGACTGTGGTGTATTGTTCAATTCTGCTGTTGTTCTTCTTATTCCGTATTCCGGCCTTTAGAATTGGGCTTCGTGTTCATGTTTATTCCCATGCCAAGCGAATGTGATACATAATCACCTGACACATGTTAAGATACGGCCTATTCCTCCCGCTTTGCAGACAGCTAGGAAATCGCCTTGCACCTTCTCTGTCTCTCTCAATCTCACTCTCCCCGTTTGCTTAAGGAACCCCAAGCCTCTTGAAACCAAGGTAGACCACCCCCAGTCAAGTGAGCCTTCAAACCTCGAAACCCATCGAATTGATCCAGGCGCTGGAATTGCCCAATTTCGCCGGCAGGTCGACGCACTGGTAGTAGCTGGGGCAACAGTCGGCTTTGGACCTCCGCATTCCACTTCCCTTGATATGTCTCATAGGCTGACCTTTGGGAAAAATCCATGGGTCTCCCTGGCAACTGGGACCTAATGGATGACGGCCTGCAAGCACTAGGATTTGCCACCTGCCAACTGGCGCAGGAGTTTGTCCATCCACAGTGCTTGTAGTTTGCTTCGGAAGGAAGCGATGACACCAAATCACTTCAAAGCACTGGCATCTGGACATCCACCGACGCAGCTTGCGCACCACATACGCAAGTGCGTGCCACTCTCACCCCTTAACAAAAATGGTGTTGGGGAGAGAGGGCTGGCCCCCGGAACCCGATGAGTAGTTGATATTCTTTCGGCAGGCGAGGAGCCTGACTGCTCCAGAGGCTATGAGGCGCTCGCAGCCATTTTTCTACCCAAACGAGCCCAAAAAAAGAGACACCTATGCTCACTACAGTCCCGACCTGGAAGCTCAACTTGTTGGTCACAGGGAACCCAACTGAGGCACACACCTACCTGGGCTGTCCTCAGATCCCCCGCCAAAAGTTTACCTTGTAGTGGGTTGAACGGAAATCCCCACTAACCACCAAAAAGCTAAAAACACTAAGGGGATGGCTGGGAGCCACCAAGCTACAACTCCTGAACCAAACTCAAAGTTCTCATTGGCCGGCGCCCACAAATTCAGTTGTGGGATTCTCCCGGAGGGGCGCTTCCGTTTGTAGCGTGTGCTTCGTTTCGGTCTCAAGTCTGCCAGGTGTTTAGGGAATCTGCACAAAGCATCGGTTGCGCCCCAGTTGCTCCCAAACACCTTTCCCATTTGCATGGGACCTACGTGGGTCCCCATTTCAATGTGCAGGAGGCTCCGCTCCAGGCACCAGGTGTTTCCCAATATATCCACAAAATGGCAGGCTGTTAAATCACCCTGCTGACCTACACCACGCGCTGCAGTCTACCAGGGGACCTATTTTCTTTTCCAGGATATTCTGAGCATCACTTTTGCACCCGGAGCCGCCAGGTATCACTTTTGAAGGTGACAAGGCTCCCTACCTGCATTTTTCAACCGACCGCAACTGAAAGCACTTGGCGCTCAGGAGGGGGATCCCTTGACGCTGAAGAGGCAGCCAAAAGCAAACCATATAAGCCATGCTGTCCTATGACATTGTTTTTACTTGGGTAAAACATGATTGAGCCTTGGGACACAGGATGAACTTCGTATCAAGGCTTCTGATGCATATGGGCCGCCAGGGTTGCGGAATGGCAGACTGGGATTCGAGCGAAAAGAGGCCAAATAGAGTGCTGTGCGTTTAGATAAGCTGGCAAGACATGCGAGACGAACAAACACCTGCATCTGCCGAGTTACTTCACGAGTCTCCTAAGTGTGGATTTTCGCTCAAACCTACTCAGGGGACCTATAAACTGTTTGCCGCAGTGCAAAGGGTTTGACTTGTCGGTTGGTGAGGGCACTTGATACTATATGTCTGTACATGTATTTATGGATAATTATGTAGGTATTTAAATATGCATATATGTATATATATATATATATATGTATATATGTATAAATGTATATATGTATATATGTATATATATATGTATATGTATATACATGTAAATATGTATATACATGTATATACATGTATATATGTATATATGTATGTATGTATATATAAACGTACCTGGCACACTGTGGGAGGACACAAATCACCAGTTGAGTCATCAAAACCTGCTAGAAATGGTGAGCCCACAAACTATGCAAAGAATCACCCAGGCGGCGGCATAAATTTCTTGTTGGGAGTGTCCCTTGCTAACCTTCACTTGCCCGGGTTGTGTGTGAGCCAGTGGCTCAGCTGACAATGGATGAATCCCTACTGTGGATGGACGAAATCCTGCACCAGCTAAGAAACCCTGGAATGATTCGATTCCCATGTAAAATACCAACAAACCGTGGTTTATAATGGTTTCACAGTGGTGCGAAACGGATTTCGCAACCATCCACAGTATGGGGCTCTAGCAACTGGATTCCTCCACTGCCGGGCCTTCTTTGGGCCACTCACCGTGCACCCGGCGTCGGGGTAGAAGCCTTGCACCTCGATCCTCAGATCGGAGAGGACTGATCTGGCCCCCTAAGAAGCTGTTTTTGTGGACATCTGGGGAAAAACCTGGCTTTCCCGAGTTTCAGAACCACATCCTAAAGTAGGCATTGGGCATATGGGGTTGGCTCCCAAGGTTCACGCGAGTGCCAAAACCCATCGACTTGTGGCTCCAACCTGGGTACCTTAAGGTTTAGGGCTTGATTCCACGTTCAAGTAGGTGTATATATATAATATATATCTATCATCTGGTGTGAGGGGTTGAACATATATATATATATATGCATATGGAACCACCTGCAAAACTCTTCTGAGGTGTTGGGCTCCTGGGTCCTGTCGGTTTGCCTGTCAATCCCTGAAAGGAGACTCTGGCGCATCTTCCTTTTGTGGGAGTAGGGGGGGCGGGGGGGCGGGGGGTTTCCCGCCAAGTGAAGGGGGCCCGCTACTTGAGAGCGGGGCGACCGACAGCTAGCACCGTTCAGAAGCAACATCGCCTTTTCACCAGCTTGCTCAAAACAAGCCCCCGATGCTTGTGAATTTGGAACAGAAATTGCAAAGCTGTAAGCGCAGGTGGCAAACCAGCCGGGAACCTGGAAATGGCAAAGCCTCAGACCGGCCTTGCCTATCCAGCCCGGACAAGGCGCGCGTCCAATCCCCCGCAACGCCCTTGCAGTGGGTGCGGTTCCACCCCCCCTCACCGACCAAAGAGGGTCTTCGCTTCCCTGGCTCGCATGGGACTCACATGGTCCCGCAAGGTGCAAACTTTCCAGCCCCCCCCCCCCCCCAAGCCCAACTGTTGAAAGACGTGGGACATGTTGTTTGCTGCAAGGGGGAGGTTCTCTATCACACAGGCGGGAACCAATCCGTACCCCCCTCACATTCACACGGAAACCAACAAGGATGTCCCTCCAAAACACCCCGAGCTTGTCCCCAACACTGAGCTATGGGTCTCTGCCCAGATAAGCTCTGGTTCAGAGCGGCCTCGGGGTTCGGGAAGGGTTCCGGTTGCTGTTTTTTTTGTTGGGGGGGGGGCCTGTGGCCCATTTTGCTCCTCCAAGGTGGCCCTTCTACGGGAAGGTTCCAAGGAAAGGAAATGGAAGAGGCCTGTAAGGTTCAGGTACCCCACAACTGCTGGTTGGTTTTGGGGTTTGGGGGGTTTGAATTTTAGTTCCTTATGGCGCCAAATAGGGAAGGCACCTCTCATGGAAAATATAACGCCCATGTTTCATGCATGTGCTTTTTGTCCTTTCTTTTCCAAACAAAAAGAGTAAAAACGACGCGGGGGGGGGGGGGGGGGCAAACTCCCTGACGTCCGTGGCCCTTCCGCCCTTCTTCCGTTCAACCGCGAGAATCGCTCATTCCGATTCGCTTCCACCGCCCGAGGCGCCCGAAGCGCTCGAAGGGGATCTCGCAGACCAAGGCCTCGCGGGCCGTGAGGACCATGGCCTCGAAGCTGGGCTTGGACTCCGCCGCCTCCTCCGATGCGCGTGGCGCCGTGGGAGTCGTCACTTGGTGCGGCGAAATGGGGTTGGATGCATCCACGGGAATGTGTACCCCACTAAAAAAAAAACATTTACCGGTTGGTGACGAAATGGAGTTTGCGCATGCACCTGTACTGTTTACCACATATGAATCAACTCAACCAATTTATTTGATGGGGGGGGGGGGCTCCCTAAGGTTAAAATGAGACCCAAATAGGCCCCTGCTAAAAGGAAATGCCTAAAACCTGCGGTTCGCATCCTGGTGATTCCATACCCATACTTCCCCCTTAACACATCACCTGTACCAAGGGGACACTCACCAAACAATGGGCCAAAAAGGCGACTTATAGGCGACTTCGCTTCGTGCGAAAGGGACTTTTGTCCATCCAGAGTAGGGATGCGAGGGATGAGACCAGTGCAGTTCCAGGGGACAAGAAGGGAGCACGCTTTTTGGGGGTGGTTGTTAAGGGGAATGCCAGGGGACAAATTGGGGTCCAACACAAATATGAACTCGTAGAACAAAAACTTCAGATTCGAGTGAAGGAAAATCGAAGCCCCTGAGCCCGCCCATTGGAGCTCACCCTACTTTGGATGAGCAAAATCTGCGTTGCAGCCTTCGGGATGGACACAATGGACAGCCGGATTGGACGCCGGATGAACCACCGAGCAACAGGTGCAGGATTTCTGACGGAAGGATTTCCCCATCCGCAGTATGAGTGAGCAATGACCCAAGTGGGCAGCCTGGCCAAGCATCCCAAGGCGCCGGGGGCCATCGAGCCACTTCCGGATTCCCCGGCCCCGTGTCACCAAGTGACACCCGAGGGCAGCCAAGAAACCGGTGTTACCCAGGAAAGCGGCCGGGTGAGATGGTTGAAACCAGGATCCCAAGTTGATACATTCGCCAAGAAGTCGGCTTCTGATTAAGAGGAGCCCCCTAGAAGGGCAAGTTTGGGATGTATCCTTTGAGGAACCCTGTGGTCCAACGCCTAATGGAGATCCGAACCCTCCAATCAAGCACCCCATGCCTAATATGAAGCAAGGGACTCCAAGGTGAAAGACCTGAATCATGGTCCGCTGCAGGGATACAACCAGATTGGTCCAAAGCCAGTCCTCATCATCGCTGGAGTTCTCGTTGTTGTTCACCACAACTGCGGGCTCGTCCCACCTGACAAGCCACCGGTTTTCGAGGGGAAAGCGGACATGCTGGACTGTCCATTTTGCAACCTGCTTTCGGGCGGATCGTTCGGGCTTGAGTCCTAAATCAAGGATGGGTGCTGAGGATCGAAAAGTGGATTCGGAGACCAGGAATACCTAAGATATACCTACGACCTGTAGCAGCACATGCCTTGCAGCCACAAAACTGAACAGGACCAGAAGCATAGGTTGTCCCAAGGACCTGCAGGGAAACATCCAAAAGCCGGTTTAAGGCTAGGCTCGGGCTGGCGCCGGCGCCGTTGCTCAACCGAATCTCACTCAAAAGCTGATGCTTTTGAGCCACCCACCCCGCCCCCAAAACCGCTGTGGAGGTGGCATTGCCACTGGAATCAGCAATTTTCAGGGGAAGAGCCTCCATCATGATGCCCCGACTTGCAGTAGTGGGCAATTTGTGCAAAAGTTATCGTGGGTAAACATTTGAACGGAGACGAACGTCGACCAACCTTCTTTTACGAGGCCCCCCCTAGTACAACTCACAGCACCATCTTTCTACACAGGGCAGCATGCTTCGTTGTTTGGTTAGGCAAATGGAAATCCATGAAAAGATTCGCCCAACACGTTCTCCACTAGTCCCGCTGCCCTTTTCGCCTTTGTCAAGCCTTCGCAAAGCGCTACGGCTTCGCTTCGCGGAAAAAAAAAGGGGCAATGCCACGGTGCGCCAAGGGCGTCAACGAGCGTGGGCCGTGAAGTGTGAAATTGTGGCCATGCCAAACCGCCACTAATGGCAACGAAGGTTTAGCTCAATCATTTAAGAATATATAGCTGGTGAGCTCGCCATACATCTTCTGCAATCATGGTTCGTTTTGGTGAGGGCCCTCTTTTCGGGGTTTTTGACACTGGACACCGATCGACAACCATAGCATTTTGTGAGGCTTGGCAGCTGCAGCCTGAAGAGGGGCACAATCGCTTCGATCTCGCAGCCTTAGCTGCAGGGCTTGGATGCTCCACAGAACTGATCCCCGGTCATCTTTTGACTGCTCTTCCGAAGCGCGCTAAGCCAGTTTGTGTAGATCGGAGGGAAGCTCACTCTTCGCATTCCTGATCACCAAACCTCGTGCGGTCCCGATGTTCAAATGAACGAAACGCGCCAAGCCGCAGGGATCCGCGGCCAGGACATAGGCGGCCACGTGCGCATCCAACTCCTCGGAGAGGCGTAAAGCGAGGGTGAAAAGCCAAGGCATGCCTTGCAGCCCCTGTTGGCATGGTAACAACGACCAGAATAGTACTTCAAAGGCAAACGTAGTCTTAACCAAGATCAATGATAATGAGGAGGAGGAGGATTGATGAGGACGAAGACCATGACGATTACGATGATGAGGAAAAGGATGATGGTGGTGGTGATGATTTCTGCCGGCCGTAGACTGCAAGTGAAACGTGTATCCCAGTTCCACCCCCGGCTAGCTGCTGGGCGAAATGCACCAAGAAGCCCCCCCCCCCTAACGCAAGTTTGGACATCACCTCTTGCGTGTTTCATGTCAACGGTCTGGTTTGCCTTGCCGAGGCCAGGAAATACACGCCGAGCTTTTGACACCTCAAAGCGGGTTGTCTTCAAATTCGGGAGCCCCAAACATTGCGATTTTCCTTGTGCCCCCCCCTGAATTACCGACCAAAGAGGATTCAGCCAGGGAAAAGCCGAGCCCAAGCGCGCCGGTTTTCTCACTTCGGCACGGCGGGGCTTTTCTCCGGGCGTCTGAGTACTCGATGATGGCCCCGATGGGCCCGTAGGTCGCCCGAGGCGCCCGCACGCGCGCGTTCACCGTTTGCTTGGGGTTCAGGGTCTCTTCTGCCTGACGCTTGTCTTGAAGTTGGAAGGGGAGCAAAAATGACTTTTAGCAGTTCCGTGGGGGGTTTCCCACTAAAAAAAAGAAGAATAAGCAAAAATATAACATGTTTCCCAACAGCAACCACGTTCTGCACGGATCCTAGAACCCCAAACCCTATTCAGGGGGATCCCGTGCATCCCTGGCTTCAGGACTTGGAGCTCGAGTAACGCGGGGGCAGCGTTCAAGGGAACTCCTGCGGGGAAACCCAAAAAACAGTTGCGGATTACCGGATGTTCCCTCCTCTCAGAACGGGACACGGGGGCACCTCTAAGGGGGTAATCCGGGGGTTCTGGGATGAACTTGCGATGTTTGCAACCTTAAGCCAGGGAGGGAGCCATGGTTTAAGGGCCTGAAGAAACGTGTCTTACCTCCAGGTTACACGTTGGCGTCGGGCCACTTGGACCGCAACTTCACGGGGGGGAGGACTACCAGTCGGGGGGTGTCAACCCATGAGAAATCCAGCCTGCCTCTGCCATCACACCTTTCCCGAAGTCCACAGCCGCGTCCTCGGGAGCGAAAAGGCCCATCTGGCACAGTCAAAGTGATGAACGCTTATTCAAGAGTTCATGGGAAAATTGCTGCTCGTCCCCTCGTGTTTGTTGGACATTTAAGTGAGTTACTCCGTGCCCCCAAATGAACCATAGACTGGGAATCTCGATTTAGTATGAACCAGGGTCGACACTCCCGAAGTGGGCAATGATCATGCAGAAGGCCGTGGTCACAACGACCCTTGTGATACCCAAAGTGGAAATGCCCATACCTGCTTACTTGTGGGAAACTAGCCCCAAAAGAGTCGAGCAACGACGTGAGTTTATACTTATGCACGTGCACTCCAGGGCCTCTCTGGACACCGTGTGTATGTTTCTGGGATTCTTTGAGGATCTTCCGGATGGATGGGGAGATGTTGGGTTTGGGGTTGTTCAACGGCTACCTGCTGTCCAATCGTGGAAATGGACAGCCCGCAAAAGAAAAGTAGTCGTTCACCACTTCCGATCGTCAGCTTCCATGATTCGTGGAGGAAAGCTGATTACCTAAACATTTGCAGCTCATACTCCTAGCCATGGTTCACCCAAACCCCTAGTGGCCACGGGAAAAAAAGGGCACATAGTCTTTTCTTTGTAGGTGATCTCAAAAGGAAACCACTCCAAAAACAGGGAAAGAAGGGCACATGGTTTGATGCATTCCGCCTGGAGGAAACGTCTTGACACCTCAAGGGTGTGTCCAATGCGACCCTTCAAAGACCTTCCGCGTGTGTTGTTTTGATCTTGTTTCAACATAAGGGGAGCCCCCCCCCCCAACAAAAAAGAGGTCCGCTGTTGCTTTGAAGTCAAAATAATATGTTGTTGTTTTTTATTTTTATTGTTATTCTTTTTTTTTAAGAAAAAAACTGTCTTCCTTTCCCGCGGGCTGTTCGCCCCCGTGCCGCGCCAGGGTGCCGCCACGCCGGTGACGCTCTTCACCACGCCGCTCACCAGACCAGTGCCGATGCCCTTCACGAAGCCCGTGACCCCGTCCTGCCGTGACGTGGGCGCAAAAAAATAAAACAACTTTAGCAGTTCAGTGGTTGGATTCAACCACTAAACCAACCACTGAACCACAATATAAGCAAAAATGCAACATGTTTCCCAGCAACGACCATGGTGAAGTGAAGTGAAGTCGCCAAAAACGAGCCACGCCCTCAACCATTAGAGCAAAAACACCCTTATACCAGCATTTCCATATAATTAATTAACCATAAATCAAGCCGTGAAGTGAAGTCACCAAAACAAACAAAAACATCCCAAACCACTAGAGCCAAAATCTGTGTGGGGGGGAGCCCTTACAACGGTGAAGCCGTGAAGTCACCAAAAACAAGCAATGCGGTTGTTGCAGCTTGAAGCGTCCTTTTCTGATAAGAATGTGATGCTGGCTTCAACTTTGTTTGCTTTTGATCAAAGATGGATGCTCTAGATTGCCGAGTTCGGTCACTTTTCATTGGCGCCCCGTCCTTCTTCGCCCCTTCCATTGGCCGCCTAAAGGCGAAAGAAACACGCGAGGCGTTGAGACTCGAATTGAGGGACTTGCTACGACACTTTGAAACCGATGTGCTTTTTTGGACCCGCAACTTCAAAATGTGAGCCGAGTTCACCCGCACCCCCGGAACTTCTGTGTGGGCCGCTTGGCACCCTCAAAAAATGTGAGCCGATCGACCCTGGACGAACTTCAGGGCTCCCCACTTAAGCCTAGACCCCTGCCGGCGCATTTGGGGCTATCGCGCAGGATTACATTACACCATGAACATTTCACACCGAGGAAAGGAGCTTCAGGCCCCTGAATCCTGGTGATGCTCAGACAAGGAAGGTCGCAGCATCTGCGTGCTCCCTGAAACCTGGACCGCGACAGCGACACTTTTTTGAACAGATCGCTGTCTTCTGAATGCAACGTTTAAAAAGCCCACCCGTCTTTTGTCAGGTTCCGAACCCTTGAAATCGGTAACCTCAAAGACCGGGTCAACATGCGCTGGGCCTTCGAGAAACCTGAAGCCAACCGTGGGTGCGACGCTTCGAGTTGGGGCCCTGGCCGGAAGATGTCCATCATGCCCGACAAGCCCTGGCCCAAGCTGTCGATGGCTGCTGTCAGCCCCTGCCCGGCGCCTCGGGAATCGGGCGCTTGGTGCACAAACCGACCCCCCTAGGGGCCCTTCGAGTGGGTTGCTTGCTTTTGGGTTTCCGACTTGGACCAAGCAAAAATGGTTCGTCCTTTCTCGCTGGGATGTCATAAGCCCCTCCAAACTCCAAATCTCTAGGCCCGCGAAACAGACCAGGGTGGAGCGGCTACGAACCCGGCCCCTTGTTTCTTCACCCATCTTGGACCCACTCCCAGGGTCAATCCCGGATCAATCCATCTGGCGGAAACACGAGAAGTGGTTTTCCCCAAAAAGTCTTCGGCCTGCCGTAAATGGAAAGCACCCCCCCCTCCCGTATGAGCGAAGGCTCCCCCCCCCGCCTCGCCCTTCCCCCTGACCAGGCCTCTGATGCTCTGGTGCCGGTGCGCCTTGTGCTTTGCCATGTACTCCGGGTCCAAAGTCATCGATTCCACGAAGCTGGCGGTGGCTTCCGCGCCGTCTGGGCGAAAGCGAAAGCACGGCAGTCCAAACCATGCGCGGTGGTGGGGGCTTGGCCCTCTCTGCAAATGTCAAGGGTCTCCCTATGACTCCTTAGCGCAGCTAAAGGCTCCTCTCTTCATATCGCAGAAAAAGTGGCGGCAACCCAAAACCAAATTCAGCCACGGGCCGGCCAAGGACCTTCTAAGGCTGCACTTGGACCCTCAGGGAACAACCGCTGGCTCCGAGCAACGTCATGTTTGTCCTGTGACTCTTTCTGGAACGCTCCTGGGGATAAAGTGGACAACTCAGAAAGCGCCGGGAAACCAGCATTGCTCAGAATGAACCAACAGATTGGCTGACTTTCTGGGCCTCATGCACCACCAGCTTGCTCCTTCCCTTTCTTGCATTTGCCTGAACTTTGAAGCCGCCACAGTCTCTGAAAAGCCAGGGAAACAGAACCTGGAGCCCCCAACCCCCCCAAGCCGCCCCAAGCCGCCCAAAGCCGCCCCACCCCTCCCGTCGTCCGGACGGGCAGCCGCCCAGGGAGGCGGAGGCGTAGTGGGACATGTTGTCGACCAGTTCCGCCGGCGCCTTTGGGATTGCCATGAGCGAGGAGTGGCCTAGCCAACCGCTCGCGCTCTGATGTCCACCTCTGAGTGGTGTTTGCAGGGGGGGGGGCCTCTGAGTGCCGCTTATCATATATATATATATATACATATATATATATATATATTTTTCTCAGTGTGTGTGTGTGTGTGTGGAAAACAACCCTTTTGCTTCGGATTCGAAAGTCAAACATTTTGGGCTATTTAGCGCCAACGGGGATGGGGGGGATCCCTCACTTCCATTCCAGTTTTATTCAGGGTTTCTCCCTTCCTTGACTCCACGTTACAGGCGGTCAGCATGCCCCCAGGATTTGTTGGAACCATGCACGGGGCTTAAAGTGCCTCTAGGACCTAAGCAAGCAGTCCTGACAACTTCCCTTTGCCCCATTCTCGAAATAGAAATCGATCCCCGAAGTTGATCGACGTGAGAGAGCCTTGCAAAGTACTGCCAGCAAGACTCTTGAGGTGGCTGAACCTGAAAAGAGCTTCACCTTCTGGCAAAATTGACCCAAAGCCAAAGGAGTGGAAAGGTGGATTCGCCTTCACAGTGAGCAGCAACTTTGGTCTAGGCCTGTTCGCCTCCCCTCCCTTTCTCCCCTGCCTAGCACTGATGCCACAGATCTCAGCATGTTGCCCATCCACTCGTGCACAAAGCCAGAGGCCAAATCTCCGGCTTTGCCGCGCAAGTTCTGCAGATACTTCGAGGACCTTATGAAGGCGGATCCGAGAGCGCAGCGATCTTCGGATAAAAAACCGGCGCACTTCAACGGGGATCCCAGAATCGCACAAACAGGTCGCTCACTTCAGTGCGACCACCGGGCAATGAGATGTTGGCGCCCTGCAGGGACAAGTGGTCGGACATTGACATGGTTCCTGCATGAGAGGGCTGGCAAGCCGTGGGCTAGCCCTTGCATAACACATATGTCTGAATCGCTGTGTAAACCCTCTGATCCTTTTGCTCTCCCTTCGTTTCGGCCCCTGAGCCTGAGGAACACCATGTTCAAGGTGCACCATTCCGCACAGGGGGCACTTGGGTCAACCCCCTGGTGTGTCTCAAGTGCCCTTTCCTCTTGGTAGTGATCTACATGTGTCGGGTGGAACACCTTGGAGGTTTTCGCGCCACGGGTTAGGAAGCCCTCCCGAGCGGGATATTTTCGAACCCTGGATCGGCAGCTGTTGACCCCTGAAAGCTAAATCTTGTCTGGGTCCAATTCATCTTGTTATATGTACACCATGCTTATATTGGGTGTATTGTGGGTACAATATACATATATCATGTCTGGGTCCAATTCGGAAAATCAACTTTAATAGTTAAAAGTCCAAAGATCCGACCAACTAGCCATTAATATGTCCTTCAGTTTGAGTGGCCTTTGTCAGAGATCACGACGTAGCAATCATTGCCCACGGTTTCTGCGTCCACAAAATCTTACACACGGGTCTTATGGGAGAAAGCCGGCCTTTGCATTTGTGGGCCCGCGGTAGCTCATCCTTTTCTGGGAGACGAGCAGACTTTGGTCCAGAGGCCTTCGGGGTGCATGGCGAATCAGGCCGCAACCTCTTCGCACGGGCCTCAAATGGAATGACCCACTGGCCTTTAGGAAAAGCTCCAGAGCTAGTACTCGACTTGAGGCTAAGGCATTGTGGAGATGATCCGTGACTAGGCGATAGAATGGAAAGGTCCGACCAACTCCTCAGGCCCGCAGATTCTAGACCCCGGGGTGTGTCTAAACCACTTCAAGTAACTTCATCCTTAGGTCTCAAAAGTCCCTTTCGAGCAATCCCAAAACAGTACCACCGTACCACCCTTTTGCAACTATTCGCCCCCGCAAATTAACATGGATCCCCAACAGGACCCCCCAAATTCACATTCGTTTTTCAACCACCAACTTAGCTTTCCTTTGGTTCCCCGTTTAAACAAAAAAATACGGCCCGATCCACGGATACCCACGGATAACCTTCCCAACGGCTGCTCCTAGCAGCGAGCACATCCAGGCCGGCAGCATGCTGCGCACGCGCTTGAGCTTCAAGCGCACCCAGAACTTCAGGGCGACGGCTGACATGAACCTCACCGTTGCCGGGAGGGGGTTGGTGTTTTTCCCTCCATTTGCTGTGTTGTCACCTGGAACAAATCAGAAAATGATGAAAACCCCTCCTTCTTTCTTTTGTGAAACACCCTCCGTTGTTGCAGTTCTTTTCTTGTTTAACCCTCGATTTCGGGGTGAATTCTAATATTTCACCAGCCTGAAATAAGGTGGTTGGGGGGGCCATGCCCCACATCAACCACCATTTGGGGTGAGGTCGTGTGAGGTCGTTATAATTCACCCAGCTCCATTTGCTTTTTGGTCGCCGGGAAAAAATGAGAAATACATATATATATATATATGTCCAGTAGTGACATAGTTTGTTTACTACCCTCTTTCCCACGTTGCCATGACACCTGACAGGGAAATCTTGTACCTACTCTGCCACAGGCGCCACGTAAGGGGTAACCCCGTTTGGACATCGTTGGACTTCCAACCAACCAACCAACCAACCAACCAACCAACCAACCAACCAACCAACCAACCAACCAACCAACCAACCAACCAACCAACCAACTGGTCAATCAGGGGTAAGCCCGAACTGGGGCTAGCAAAAACGGAAGCACTGGATCCTGCAGTGTCCTGTGGGAAAGGAGCGCCGATCGCTTCGCACCAGTGGGGATTGCTGGTTGGCCCTAGGTATTAAAGTCCATGTTGAATCGATTTGGAACTCAAGAATCAAAGTTGCAACCTCATCCGCAACAATTATGACAAGACATTTTCTGAAGGCACCAGTCACAGCGATCCGAGGAAACCAGTGGCCGGGATGGTCGACCCCCAAAAAGGCGAAGCCGTCATGTTCCAGTCATTGCTCGGCTTGTCCAAGCCAAACCCTAGAACGAAGAATGGACCTGCACCAACTTCCGCCTCGTTGCAAGTGCCATCTGCAGAAAGTGGCTCTCGTCGCGGGCGTCATTTGTTTTTCTGCACCGAAAGCAGATGAACATCTAAAAGGCCAAGCTGTTTGCAACTAAGCAAAGGCCAAAGCTGGAAAACCGAAAGGCTCGTTGGCTGTCGGCACCTGAGCCCCCAAGGCCCAAAGCTGCGGGAAACTGACACGGACCTAAGCCAGAGAATGCCCAGGTGCAGCTGGTCGATCTGGAAGATGGTTGCCTCGGTTCATGGCGCTGTCACTTGGGTTCTGAAAGCCAAGGGCACGCGAGACAGCCAACGCCGCTTTCTAAACATCTGAAAAAGAAAAAAACAACGGAAAAACGGAGTCCTGGTGTAAGGGAAAAAACCTTCATGGGTGAGCACATTTGAGCGCGTCCTCATGTGAACCGCCATTGTGTGTTTTTGGTTTATGGATGACGTCGCCATTATAGCCTTCTGACAAACCAGCTTAGCTGGCCAGTACCCATGGGATTTATTTCGTGCTGCGTTTTTCTAGGGGCTGATTCCCCATTCTGTTCAGCAATCGTTCTTTTCAAAAACCGATCGCCATTTCCCCAGGGTTTTTGGTGGTTTTCTAGGAAGAAGGATCCCTGGAAAGATTGGAAATGGAAGCTACCCCTAGAGGTTTCCGGCTTTTGTGGGTCCCTCCGTCCCTCCCCTTGAGCAAGCGGGGCTGGCCTGCCCCCTTTGCCCACCTGCGATGCGCCATAAGGGTGACTCGTCTTTTGAGTTAGCCCGTTTTTTTGTTTGTTTTCCCTCCTAGGGAAGCCAAAAGGAAACCATCATCTTTTTTGGGGCCACCTAAATAAAAGGAAGCACGCATGTTTTCAGACACTTCATGACTTCACGATTTTGGAGACCCGAGAATCAACTTTCAGGTCCAAACCTGTCTAAGGTGCTTGCAGCCAAAAACAGGCAGCCTCTTAGAGCCATTTTTCTGAGAGTTGCTGTTTTCGGAGGTTTTAAAGGGAAACCATACAAGACACACCCGTTGGCAATGAGTCCCAAGGCCAAGCGTCGGCCTTGGGAATCTGATCGCTGGTGGCCAGCATGGGCACCCCGGCCTGCGTCAAGCCGAGGGATCCTTGCCCCCGGTAACGATCCTTACATGAATCATGGTTAATTGGACCCCAGGATCGTTTGTATCCATTGGGAGTTACGTCGATCCTCAAATCATGGCGGTTGTATGAACCAACCATTGTTTTAGTGGTGGTCTTACAGGTACGCCAGTAACTATGGAGGTATAACCTGCGTACGGGGATGATCAAAAGCGGCAAGGACCCAATTTGGATGATGACAAGCCTCAACGCATGGTGGTTATCTGAACCCAACCATTGTTTTAATGGTGGTTTTACAGGTACGTCACTACCTATGGAGTTATAACCTGCGTACCTGACGTTGGTTGAACATCCAAGTATGGGTGTGGTTACTGTTCCTGTTCTGAGTTATATAGTGCCCGTGCGTTTAAGGACTCTCTTTTTTTTTTGGGGGGGGGTCCCCTATCTAGAGACAAACCATGGCAACCCCATATATCCCATGGCTGCGGGTGCGTCCCATCTGGCGGGAAAAGGCGCCCCCCTGAATCAAGAGCAAGGCTTCGAGCAATAAAGCCGATTCGTGGGCATGGCTTTGCCACGCAATCGGCTTCGCGCCTTTCGAGCCGAAAGATCCGCTTTGCCCTTTGCCAACACTTGAGACCGGGGTGCCACCCCCCCCCCCAGAAACCGCCTGGCGCTGCATGGCTTCCACTGAGCTGATGGGGAAGCCGGCCTTTGGTGGCCGGAAGTCCCCAATCAAAAGAGGTCATTCCAAACATTGTGCGAGAAGATCAGGGCTTGAAAGGACCATCCCGGGAGAAAACCGCAGGAAGTGAGTTGGCCAAAAAAAGAAAGAAAGAAGCCGATGGTCATACAGCTTTTCCGATCAGCAAAGCCGTTGATGCCAAATTGGCAGTCGCAGTAGGGACCGGATCACACAAACCTCGGATAGTCGCACCGCTGGCTGCCGAGCTGCTGCCGTCATCGTTTGCATATCCGGCATCATGGTTTCCTCGCGGGCGGTCGAGAGCCGCATGCGCTGGATCTTCAGGTCGGTAAAGTTGACCCCAGATTAACAAGCCTCTTTTATGGATATCCCCGCTAAGCGGGGCACCCCCCTAATTCAGCAACCAGGGGTTTCACTTTATCCGGGGTTACCCACTACGAGGTTAGATCCAAGACACGACACCCAGTGCCGCCTTGGGCCGCGATCTTACGTCTTCCCCACGAGGTGAACTCACTGCATGGTCCAGGAGATGCTTGAAAAAGCAAAGCTTCGGGACACTTCTTGACCCCGCCTAACCTTCAAAAACTGGGTGATACTGGGTGCACTGCCCAAGCTTCGCGCGCAAGCCCTGAAAATAACAACCAACTTGTGGATGAACATTTCGCAAGGGAGGGCCCCGATCCCACTCAGTGGGTCAAATGTCAGGAACCCCGGCCACCGAGAACTGTCTCTTATCTGCATGTTTTAGGCTGAAAGTTACAGGGACCCCAAGTCAGGACCTTCATGATTTTACTCTATTTAAATGAGTATGAGAAAAATATATAACATATCGTAGAACCCCCCCTCCAATTCCAAGGTTTCGGTCTTATATATATATATATACATATATATATATATATATCTTTGAGTTGCTTTTCTGAGATAGAATGACCTCATCTCTAGACCTGATCTTCTCTTTTTTCCACTGGGCTCCCGGGCCATGATGCCCAACATGGTAGTGATCAGCGTATCGTCCACGGACACCTCCGACATCTTCCGATGGCCCGCCCCCGCCCCCGACTTTCCCGGGCTGCTTTCTCGAATGTCCACGACGCCCAACAAAAACCACAATATATATATATATATATATTTACCTCAGGGCCGCCCCGGACCACTCCACAGCCTATCTGGGCTAAGACCCCAAGCTTTCAGCTGTTGGGGAAAAAACAGGGGAAACAGCCGGATTTTGAAAAGAACGATGGTTGAAAAGAATGGAGGCATCAACCCCTAGATGTATGCCTTGAGTCCCACTGGCCTCCAGCTCATCCACGCGCGCCGTCACCTTCAGCAGGTGGATGTCCGAGGAAGTGATCTGCCCCCGCTCGATGTGCAGCTTCACCACCGGCCGAACCTCACCCCGCGCCCCGAGCCCCGAGCTTCTCACGCCACGGGTCAAGATGGAATTGGCAGAAGCAGCCCCAAGGCTTAAATTATATAGTTGAGCTTAATGTTGCCAACATGTAGGCATATCTATTTTTATTCGAAACAAAAAGCAAGAGCAAACACATTTCAAATCTCCGTGGAATTGCCTTGGCAAATCCTCATGGATTGTTTGGTGCCCAGGGTTCACCAGGTTCTACAAAAACAAGACGCCCAGCAAGGTTTGGGTCTAACTTCCTGTTCGCCGTTGAGGGTTCATCCCCTTTGCCGGGATGTGTCTGAAACACCAAAGGGCCAGCCGTCAGAAGCGGGAGCCGCTCGCCAAGCCGCCAACTTGCGGCCGGACAGGCCGCGGTTTCCGATGATCACGTTGTGCTGCTTGGGGTTCTCGGGCCTCTGGTAGTCCATTTGCCTGGAGGCTGCCCAATATGTCGGGCTAGGTCTATAGAACCTTTTTTAGAAAGGGCTTGTGGCAGGGTTTGCGGGGTGGGGTGGGGTGGGGTGGTGTGTGTGGTGTGTGTGGTGTGTGGTGTGTGTGGGGTGTGGGGTGTGGGGTGTGGGGTGTGGGGTGTGTGGTGTGGGATGGGGTGGGGTTGGGTTGGGTGGGGTAGGGGTGACGTCTTGTGTGAGGCTTTCAGCCTCAAAGGCGCTTCTTCCCTTAGCCTTTTTTTTGGGGGGTTAATGCCCGGACAAAGGGACCGGTTCTTTTCGCATGCCAAGCCACAGGTCGCCCAGAGACATGTTGAAAATCTGGGTGTCCTCCTTGGGCACCATGGTCGCAGACAGTTGCCTCGGATCGAAAGAACAAACATGTAAAAGAGGCCACCCGATCGAAGGCGAACAAAGATCTCCACAGCTGTCGGAAAGGAGCCAAAAGGTATGGGTGAGGCTATGACTTCTCAGCGGATCCTTTGGCTGAATGTTGGGCCCCTTGAGCTTCCAAGCAACGCCCCCAAAGCATGTGTCCGCTTCCAAACAAGCACCAAGAAAACCGTTTTGAAACATCTCCTTACATGAGCCCCCCCTTTGGTTTTCCATGTAAGTTTGCACGGGAGTTAGGGCTCCCTTAACTTGGGTTTCCAAACAGGTTTGTTTTCGCTACTCACCACAGTAATGACCCTCAAAGCATTTGCATTTCAGCATCCCCGCCTCTGACTGCAAAACGCCCCCGCTCAATACACCGTTTTGGCTGCACCCATGACATGATCATGTATGAGGAAGTGTCCCTTGATTGAGAGCCTTTTTCCAAACCCTTACCTCGGGGTGGGAGCTGTTCGGACTTGTGATCGGAAAGCAACATGTTTTCAGGACCGACCCCCTTTTGGGTTCCATTTGCCGGCAAATGCGCACACCGGAGCGGCAGTAGGCGACAGGCCATGAGCGGGAATCGTGCCAGCTTCAATCACCCGAGTTCCAGAGCCGCCTGTAGGCGATCCAACCCCCCCCCCCTCCAGGTGTCAAAGGATCCAACCTCCTGCCTTCCAAAGACCCACGACTCCCACGACCCAAGGCCTGACATCTTCCAAGCTGCAGCAGGGCCATTTCGAAGTACAGGATCTCTGAGAAGCGCACCCTCAGCGAGGGGGTTTCGGGTGAGTAACAATCCGCTGGAGCCAACCAATGGGAAGCCCATAGATGCACATTCGGCGATGTCAACCACGAAATGGGTGGCCCACAATTGCGGGGCCATGTGCTAACTTATTGACACGCACTTTGCCGCTAGTGCTTCATGCATTCGTACGATGTTGGAACCAAGAGCGACTAATCAATTCTTCAAAGTGTAATTCTTGAGGAAAGCTGGGTCAATTCAGGTGACATTCCCCCAAAAGCAATTAGGAAACTTGAGATCCCACCTAACTACATGAGCAGGTGTGTGGACAGGTTTGGGGATTTTGGGCCCTGAATGCCACCATCATAACCCATCACATCCATACGACATCTCGTTTGGCTTGTTTGATCTCGGGTACATGAAATGTGGTCCCAGCGCACGTCAACGAAGCTGCATGAGAACTCGCGGCGAATTCACACGTCATGACAGTTCCCAGAGCTAGGAACCGACGATTTGCAAAATGTGATGCTTAGAGAAATGTGAAGGCCCCTGTGTGGTCAAAGCAAGGCTTTGACCAACTTCGGAAAAATGGCTCCCGCCAATGCACGACCGGGCGGCTGATAGGGTGGTCGGCCCATCAATGAAACTCCGATCCGCGGCAGGATCACGGAAAAGGTTGTGGCAGCACGGTCCGCCCTCGGCATGTCATCCCTAGGGCGCACCCTTCTGAAATCACAGCCTACCACTTGGGTTCCACATGGAAACACGCAACACGTCTGGCTGACAGCTCCAGGCAAAGAAACCTGCCACAAGGCAACCACATGGTGCCTCCAGCTCGGGCCGGCTTTCCCCCAAAACGCACGGTGGAGGACATGCCCTGTCTGCGCCACAAGTTGCAATCCCACTGCCTGACTGTCAAAGGGGCGCCCTTGGTATCTCAGAAAATGAGGCCAACTGCCTAAATCGTGTGACTCGCTATGCGCTGTCTGGCAACGACCTTGCACGGGCTTGCTGTGCGAATTGTTTTCTGGGGAACGTCAGCCAACTCCCGAACTATGGACCCAGCGAAGTAACACGTGGCCCGGCTATACATTTCTGTCTAGACGGCAACAACCTGCAAAAAGAGGCTTTTCCCGCTTGAGCACATGTGCCCGGTCACTCATGGGGCGTAAAGAGGCTTCCTAGTTTCCCAGCATAATTCTGAAAATCCCTCAGAATGCGCTCCCACCAGGCGCACTAGACCCCACGCCTTTCGCTCTTTGCACCAAACCATCTTAGCTGGTAGCCACTTGCAGGGATCCACACCACAACCAAAAAAAACAATTGCCGAACAAAATTTGGGGGAGACCCTTCCCCCAAACGGATTCTTTTTTTGGTTTCCCTTAGCGTTGTGTTTCGAGAATGCCCAGTGGCTCAGAGCCGCGCCGCCGCAGCTCTAAATAGGTCTTGGACTTTTCGAAGGAGCCTCAAGCATAAATTTGCTTCATGAAACCGGGTCTTTAGCTTCCTTTGTTTGTCTGTACGAAACAATCCCAACCCACCTCACTTTGTTGGAAAAACAAACGCAAGCACGTTGACAAACAGGCAGGCAGACAGACAAACAGAACAGAACACGCGAAACATCGCCAAAAAACCAAACACCAGGCAGCACGCTGGAGATCAGGCCTGCTGGGAGATGGCTCCGCAAGCGTCATGGCCATCCAACAGCGACAACGGCAACAACACCAACAACAACACCAACGGCAACAGCGACAACGACGAGAACGAAAACGACAGCGAAGACAACAACACCCGCGACAAGAAGCGGGTGCACCAGCAGCAAACCCTGCCGAGACAAACGGGCAGCACAAGCTGAAGCATTGCTGGCATGCAAGTGCTTGCATGCAGGCAGTGCAGGCAATGCAGGCATGCCTGCAGGCAGTGCCTGCATGCCTGCCTGCCGGCAGGCGATGCATGCGTGCAGCGCATGCATGCTGGAAGTTAGGCACGCAGGGGATGCAGGCATGCCACACATGCAAGTAGGCAGCACAACCATGAAGAGTTTTGAGGACGAAATGTCAGGCTGCGTGGCCAAGTTGGACTTCAAAAAGCCGACGCATGCTGCTGTCCAGTCCAGCCAGCTTCTGCTGCACCTCAAATAATACCTGCAAAACTGCCACCAGCACCTCAAGCCGCACCTGCACCGGCACCCCAAACTGCATGCACCCAGCAGTCGGTCTCGCCCTCTAGCACCCAGCCGTGGATCCCCTTCCGTCAATCTTGCAAAAATGCGCCTGCACCGTCACCAGCACCTCAAACTGCATGCCCCCCGCACCCTGCTGTCAATCTCCAAATCACTTCCTCTCTTTATTAGAAGTTAGGACCCCTATAGCCTTCAGCTGTCGGGGGTAGGAAAGGCAGCTCCGCTCCAGACTTCCTCGCATGTCGTGGAACCTTCGAAACTGTCGAGAAGCGAAAAAACCAGACTGCTTTAAAGAGAGCTTTGGCAGGGCCAGTGATTGCTGGGCTGGCCGGCAAACTGCCTTGTCTAATGTTTCGAGATATTGGGACTCCGTGGCCAACCTGATCCTCATCTTTGCGGAGAGGGGATGGACAAAGTTGGCGTTTCCCTCTTATGACTGCCGGTGTCGTACAGCATGGCAGGCAAAACTGCAATTTGCCGTTGTGCGCGATGTGACAGGTTCTGGTGAAACTTGATATGCTGGGCTGAGTTTCACACGCGCTGCTGACAATACTGATGAGACGTAGGCCAGCTGCGCAAAACACAACAACAATGAAATGTGCAAAAGCCGTAATGACAAGACTGGCTCTTCAATGAACATTTCTCTCCCAGACTTACAGGCTCAATTTGACACTATGTCGACCAGGTTTGCATGATTTCGTGTGAGCGCATGCGTCTGTGAGTGCGTCTGTGCGTGTGTATGTGCGTGTGTCTGTGCGTGTGTCTGTCTGTGCGTCTGGCTGTCCGTCCGTCTGTCCGTCTGTCTGTGTGCCTGCCTGCCTGTCTGTGTGCCTGCCTGCCTGCCTCTGCCTGCCTGCCCACCTGCCTGCCTGTCTGTCTGTCTCTCTGTTTGTCTGTGTATCTGTGTCCGTCTTTCTTTCTATCTCTCTCTCTCTCTCTCTCGCTCTCTCCTTTCTCTGTCTCTCCGTCTCTCTGCCTCTCTCTGCCTCTTCTGTTTCTCTATACTATCTCTCCATCTCTGTCTCTCTGTCTTTCTCGTTCTCTCTCTCTCTCTCTCTCTATCTCTCTCTCTCCCTCTCTCCGTCTCTTTCTCTCTCTGTCTCTCTGTCTGTCTGTCTCTCTGTCAGTCAGTCAGTCGGTCGGTCGGTCAGCCAGCCAGCCAGCCTGTGTCTGTGTGTGTGTGTGTTTGTGGTTGTGTGAGTTTGGGTGCCTCAAAGCTGTTGGGAATTGCAGGGAGGCCAAGTGGAAACAAACCATAATGAGATTGAATTTAAAGACAAAGCCATATCCCCCGCCTCTGAGGGGGCTTGTTGGTTTGCGGTTGGATCCGGCTAGGTTCAGGTTTAGGGTGGTTGGGGGCGGTGGGTGATTGATTGCTTGCTTGCTAGGTCGCGTTTCAAACAAAACAAGCGAAGGTATAGCCTCATATAGCACTCCCATATGTCTACTTTGGGGGGTTGTAGGGGGGCTTTTACAAGCAGGATTGGCTGGGTTAACAAATGAAGAGATCTCGGGACTTTGAAGTAATATCAAGTGTCCGTTATCCTCGACTACTCAACATGCCTCTTTGCCCCCATGGTTTGGTGGACGTTAGGGGTGCCCAACGTCCAATTGGTTTCAAAAGGGGCCGGGGTTCAAACCCCCAAAGCACAAATCCAAACCATCCTGGCGAAAGAACAAGGCCGTGGGAAGCTTGGGCTTGATTCCGTTTTCTGATGGGGAATTTGAGCTCTCCGTCCCTCAAATTCAGACTGGCTCAAATCGTCCAAAGGGATTATGAGACGGTTTTACCGCACAAACCAAAAAAAACGCTTCGAAACACACGGAGACGTCCACAAATCCTTCTCCGGCTTGGCGCGAGGCGCCGGCCCGAAGCACCGAACGAACGCGAGTCGCGAGTCGGCACTTCTGGGGCCCCCGGCTGTAGAGCTCCAAGCCGCCGCGGAGCCGTTTCCGGTAGGCTACCCGCGGGTTGATGGTCAGCTCCTGGAAAAATCACTCGCACGCGCGTGGTAGGGGGTGGTGGGGGTGGGGGGGGAGGGGGCAGTTGGAAATCCCTCTGGGGATTTGAAGAAAAGCCCGGAAACCCGACAGAAGCACACCATGTGTTTCCGTTTTCCCCGGAGACCTCTGTAAGCCTGAAGGAAACGGATGCTATTGGATAGCGTTGTGCTTTGGCCAACACGTATTTGCGAAGCCACCAGTTGGGGGGTCATTCCCTTGTCTTGACCAACTAAAACCTGGTCCGCAACTGATGGCAATGGTCCAGCAAATTGTCAATGCTCATGGTGAAACATGGCGTTCAGCTTCCACGATCTCACTTGGTATAGCTTGTTGCCCCTGTGCCCTTTGATGCGCACCGCCTTCCGACAGGCCCACCTCTGGTGGACGGCTTTTCGATGGTGCGGCAGGGAGAGGGAGAGGGGGAGGGGGCGGGGGAGGGGTCTTTCATGGGCCAAAAGCCCCAGTCACCTCATCATCCACCAGCAGTTCCATTGCGAGCTCCTTGTCCTTGTCGAAAGGATCCTAAGCGAAAACGCACCGCAGACCGGACCTGTTTAGCCTCTCATTCTGCCGCCACCTGCTCATTCACAGGACCTGCGACTAAATATGATCATTTCCTTAGGGCCGTGACTACAAAAAAGGGATCTGCGAATAAATGAGACTATGTTCCTATGGATATTTTCCCAAATTGCGAAAACTGAAAGGTCGAATCCAGTCGATTCGCTGTGGGTCCGGCAGCCTTTGTGTCCAACAAAGGCATCCAACGCGGGTATTTCTCGCCCATCTTTTCGCCCATGATTTGGAGAAACCACTGCGTGATCCTTCTACCCTCCGAGCGCCTCTTGCTGTCATTCGGACGAGGCACAAATGCAGCTGGAGAACTAAATGGACCATGGACCAAATGTCCATTCATTCTTTCTCAGTGGCCTTTCCAAAACTGCCCTCTTTGAGGACCCGACAAAACAGTGGCCCCCATAAGAAGAAGGGGGGTTCCTCTAGCAGGCTCCTCCAGATAAATCCGAAGGCCGCATTAAACAGGACATCCAAAAACACCGCCAAATGTTCGTTCCTTTAAAGCATACATGCAACACCCAGCCGCTTACAAGGAAATCATCTAAATCAGCCGGTAAAGTGTTGTTTTCGCCTGGCCTCAGATCCATGTATCCTTACCCTTTTCTTTAGGCCGCGTGTGCAACACGCTCTATCAGCTAGCCGTGCGTCGAGCCATCCAAAGTCCACCGTCTCTCCGCCCCTGGCTCTGTAAACCACGTTCCGCAGGTGGACTTCGATCACCCGGTCTTTCATGAAGTTCCGCACCGCGAAGATGCCTTGGAGTCAAACCGACAAATGTGTCAATTTGGAGCCCACAAACGGCTCTGGTCTGTTGGTTTTCCTTGAAACGGACCAAGTCCTAGCTTCTTGCTTACCACTCAAATTCAATGGAATAAAGTTCAAGACCTCGGAAAGTGCGTGAGTTGAAGTAGGCTCTCCCAATCTCTCGCTCACCGTGCGCGCCGTGAAAAAACCACCCACCCCCACCCGTAGTGTAGCATCTACGGAGAGAGCTGTTGAGGCTACCCCTTCGAAGGTTGGTCTATGTTGGTTTCAATTGAAACCAACAGGCATACCACGATCAAACTGGGGGGTCCGATCCAAGTTCCCAATTTGACACCCAATGTTGACTGACTGTTTTGAGGCTTCCAAGTGGGTGTCTCACACACGCACACACTTGCGCGCCAACAATTCTGCAACCCAACCCCATCCAACCCCTTTCGCATCGAGCAAAGCGTCCTCGAGGCCAGCTGTCGGGATTAATTCGCTCCCGTCCGCATTTGGTTGGCTTGTTGATTTGTCTTGTGCACTCAACGTCAAGCGGGTAGAGCTGAAATACATGACTCCCGGCATGTTGCGCCTGGGGAACGCGGCAGGCCCTGCAATTTGTCGTGGTTTGCGGCTGTAATTTGAGTGATCCATCGTGCATGGCACACTTTCAAACTTTGTGCCGCCCAGTCCCAAGGCCAAACCGGGGGTGACCCCCTTCATGCGCGAATCTTTGTTTCAGTGTCCCTTTCGGGTTGCGCGCCAGGCGAAAGCCGGAGGATAACGCCCTGTGTTAGCTCCCAAAAGGAGACACCTCAAAACGCCTGAGCCACAGGCAACGGACCTGAGTCCTTTTGCCAAGTAAGGGACCTTCAGGGGAAAGCTCAGTTTGCCCCAGGTGAGCTCTGGTTGCACAAGCCATTGCGCCACGGCAGCCTGGCTCAAGCGAGTGGCCCATTAGGATGAATGTATAAACCCCGTGCCCGAATCCACTGCGAATCCCGATTTCCCTCTTGTTTAAACATATTTAACCCGCTTGGTTTAAGGTACCCTCCTTTCTTGGACGTGCAACCCGAACCCAGGCGTCAAGGGCAAAGATGTAAGACGGTGCCCACCATTCGTCCTCCTTTTCCTTTCAAGTGGAGGGCCTCATTCATCTCCGCATTTGGCCGCCAACGGCCGAGGCGCTTCCCTCCTCGAGCAAAAAGTACAGCACCCCGTTGTCTGAGCGGAGGTCCACCGTCCAGCAGTGATCGCCCAAAGACATGGCAGCAGTGCCTGGCGATTCTCCACATGGTACTTCGATGATTTAAACGTCACGTTTTATTCGCCAATTTGAAGCGATGCTCATTTGCGTAAGGCGGGCGGATGTTCAAGGCGGAAATCTAGGGAGCCCTGTTTGGTTGGCTTGCTGAATGGCTAGTAGCAAGCCTCAATGTTTGCCTGATAGACTCAGAATGGGTAATTAGGTCGACCCCCTCACTTGCAACCAACTGAATCAGACAGGTTCAAATAGAACCTCAACTAAACATAGGGCGGATGAAACCAAACGCGTCAAACGACAAGCCCGTTTGGATGCTGAAACGTCTTGGGACTTCTACTGCAAGATGCTTCAACATGGCCTTCAAGCCTTGGCCTTGGGAGGAAACCAGGAGGGGTGGGGGTAGGTGGTTGGATCCTGTCACTTCTGAAAAGCCATAGAAATGTTGTGGGGCAAAGTGTTTTCCGGACGCCGCCAGGTCACCAGCACCGGGCACCTGAATCACCACGCCACAAAGCCCCCCAGTCAGGTTCTTTTTGATTCTTCTCATCTTTTCAGCCAGGATTCGCGTGCAAGCCCGTGGGCAAAATGATAGAAGCACTTTGCCCATGTGTCGAATGTGGTTCCAGGACCCTTTCACATCCCTATGTACAACCAGGGCAAAATTTCCGCGGATGTGATTCAGACAAGATTTAGGAGATGTGACACCAGATCGCCAAAGTTCTGCCGCGACCGAGCCACTGCCGTTGGGGCGTAGCCGGCAAAACTGGGCCCTCATTTTTTCAAGGGAATCACACAGCAAACGTCAGCATGTAGCGTCATGATGGCTCCCTTAAAAGGAACAAGGCCAAAAGGACACTGACGGGGCACACAGCCCCAGGCGGCCAAAACACCGACCACGCGCATCGGGCGCTAAACACTCCGCCCAAAACACCCACCAGACACCAAAACACCGGGAAGTACAATAAAAAAGACCCCCAGATCACCCAAACCCACCCGAAAAGCGCTGCTGACCACAGAAACACCGAAACAGTTTCCCAAAACACCCCACCAGAACTGACTCACCAAAGGTTTCCCGAAATTTGTCAAAACAAGCACGCCAAACGGAAAAACTATACCTTTTAAGTTCGATTGGTCGCTTTGCTGAGGGCTTCCGCCGTCCGATTCGCCTGTGGCGTCCTCCGTGAGGGGGATATCCGGGGACCACTGCGAGAGATTCCGGGGCCGGAACTGCACGGCCTCCTCGGAAAGGGGAACCGGAAGGCGTGTGTCCAACTTGAAAGCACCACATGGGTCTGTCCTGTTTTCTGCAGGGTACCCGTTGTTGGGCAATGCGCGTAAAACAAAATGATAGTCACAGTCTTTAAGGTCAACTGTTGTTTATAAACGGAGCGGCACCCACGAAAAGGTGTTTTGCGGGGTCCATGTTTTGTGGTTACTCCGACAGTTGAGGAACATGACAATATCAAGTTGCATGCGTTGCTTTTGTTGCGGGTCTCATTAAATTCCCTACAATTCCAATTGCGGCAAGCCATTAAGGGGCAAAAACCTAAGAAACCGGTTCCAAAATCACAAGGAGCGCATCAAAGGGCTTTATATGAGTCACTGAGAGCCAGAATGTGGAAATGACACATTTTGCAGACAATGGGCCACTCTCTCTCTCTCGCTCTCTCTATCTCTCGCTCCCTCGAATGGCGGCACAGACATGCTATTGTGAAACCAGCTGGATCTAAGCAACCCATAATAGGATGGAGTGGCAAGAGGCCAAAGCAGTGCCCAAAGCTTGTAACATGGTCATACTGTGGATGGACGAAATCCATTTCGCACCACCTCGGAAACCATGGGAAACCAAAGAAAATGCTGTAGAAAACAGTGGAATCATCATTCCAGAAGGTTTCCTAGGTGGGGCAGGATTTCGCCCATCCACAGTACCAACATCCTTGTGGGCCTTTAAAATAAGCAAGCCCGAGAAGGAGGAGTAGAAGCCCTTCAAGTGACCAGGGAGCAGTGCCTCCTTTGACACTTCCGAGGCCCCAGCCAGATCTCCCTGACCCTCCAACAGGGAGTTCCCTTTTGAGTTGCGAATGGTCAAACACTTTCAGGGACCCGCTGGCTTCAAAACCCCTTGTATAACATCTGTGTAGCCGGGCCATGTCAGATTTTTTTGTGGGCTGGCTAGCTCTGAAAGGAGCAGAATGAACCCCACCCTGGGTCCTCCAAACACACAACCACCCCCAACACACACCCTTGACAAAAGATCGGCTGCAACTGGAGGTATGGTGTGGGCGGATGCAAGAAATCCAAAAGCCGAGCTACCCCTGTGAACCTGGGAGTGTCCATCTCCCCCGGCCGCAGTGTCACCTCAGGCAGGTGGGGTACTTGCTTGATGTTGATTGGGGAGTGCTCCTGGAGTCGGGATTCATCACTTTAGGTTGCACCCCCCAAAAAGTAAATAGGACGGGTTGACCAACTTAGAACCTGAATCCTTGTTGCCATTGTCCTCAAGGGACCTTCCGCTGGCTTCCGTGTTACCGAAGAGCTGCTGACCCCTTTTACTAGTTACCCTCAACCACCACCTTCCGCAAGGTGCGGGGCCTGCAGGAATTGCAAAGCTTCATGTGCTGCATTCAACTGAGGAGGCTCAAGGCTGCCGAGCCGAAAAGTGGGGCGCTGCCCGAGCGGGACCTGTGTTCCAGCTTCGGCCAACCATCCTGCGGATCAGAAATTTGCGGCCGCGGGCCGCTCGCAAAAAAAAATCTGGTCAAAGAACCTGGGGCTTCTAAACTTGGGTTTTTGCAAGCTAGCCCCGTGACCACTTCCTTGGGTTCATTCACAACTCGGTTGCTGCTGACCCCCCAGCCCCAAAAAATAAATTTGCAAACCCCTTGGTTTCCCAACAGTTGACGTCTAAAGATCCAGCCCAGCAGTCAAGACCAACGGGCGCCTGTCGCACGGCCAAAAGCGCGAAAGCGAACTCAGCCCGCGGCGGAGCCCTGGCCAGCCCTGCGAGCACGGGCCAAGGAACCACGCGGCGCGTTTTTTGTGCATGGCGTTGGCTTGCCGACGAGGCCCGGTGCTGCAAACAGATGTTGCTCACGTTTATTTTCAGGGTTTAGGGTTTAGGGTTTTAGGGTTTAGGGTTTCACTCTTTGTGGAACACCCGTTCTGTTTCAAGCAAAAACGTGAAAGTCCTTAAGATCCGCTACCAAATCGCCAGAAGGAAATTGGCCACTGGGCCATGAATTCTAGTAAGGAACCTCCTGGAAAGTGGTTGGTGGACATAAAACCCCCTAAATGATGTCCACCAGAGGGTCCCTAATGAAAAAAATCAGACCCACTTTCTGCCACTGGTTTTGCCCCGTTCTGCGCCAACCAGCCTGAACTCCACCACGTGCGAGGTGCAGTTCTTCACCACGGTGCGGGGCACGATCTCCAGGCATCGGACCACCTTCTCCTGCGCATCGAAAAACCGCGAAGCGAAAGGATCGGTTGATAAAATGTATTCGAGCCTGTGTGACAAGCCCAAAAAGTTCTTGGGGTACCTTCCCCATTCTTTCCAGGGATCCTTCTTTTCAGGAAACCATCAGACACCCAGGGGAAACAGCCGGTTTTTGAAAAGAATGGTTGAAAAGTATTGGAGCCATAGGTGTCCTTTTTAAGGGAAAATAGATGGGTGTCCCTGGTCAATGGAATAAAACCAACCTAAAGCAGTGCCACCCATTTCTACACAAAGTAACATCAAAAGGACACCTTGGAACCTGTGCGACAAACCCGAAAAGCGGTGGCTTTCCTCGCGAAGAAAAGTGCATAAGATCTGCAATCACTCCACCCGTATGTGCATTACATGTAGGCGTTGGTGACCCCATGGTCGAGGCGCGGGAACTTTAGTGGCAACAGAGTTCCAAAAGATTACAACGGTGACTGGTCACAGACATAGGTGACCTTCCGGACAAATAGATGGCCCTGGTAAATGGAATGAGACCCAATCTACACCAGCGTTATCTATTTCTAAGCAATCAAACCTTACATGGACCCCTATGCTCACAAATCAAAGCGCCACAGCACAAACAGCTGCTAACCAGCCACTCGCCACGCCTCGACTGGGACAGCCGGCTCGGCGATACTAAAACGATGTCATGACCGTAAATGGCTCAAAAAATGAAAATGAACCAACCATTGATGTCCAAATAGAATTTAAGAAATACACTTGGAACAAAAACAGGCGGGTAGGCCGAGAAGATAGTAAACGCCCCTGGAATTAAGCATCCCCCCTGGCACCCAAGCAAAATGCCGAAATAGGCAAACAACACCAAAACAAGATTTGAGCCTGATCCCAAAAAAAAGTAAAAAATGGTCAGCTTCCCCAAAGTCGTGTCTCCTTACATGTCCCTTGTTCAAAAATTGCTCGCAATCAAACCACCAAATTGACGGCAACATCTCAAAAGGAAGCTCCAGCACTACTAAATCGAATGGAAACTCAAATCAACATCTGGAAATGAAGCTCCAGCAACAATGAATCAAATGGAAACTCAAAACCCGATCTGAAAAGGAAGCTCCAAGATATTGCTCCAGCTACCCCGTGCATTGGGGAGGAAGGGGTGGGGGGCCCCCCCGTTTAGCAATCCCATGTGGCCAGTAGCTAAACTGATAGCGTGAACAAAAAAGAACGAAAAAAGAAATAAAGAATAAATACAAACACAAAAACACAAAGGAAACCAACAGAACGAAAACAAACACACACAAAAAGGAAACAACACAAGTGGGGCAACCCAAGCGTTGGTTCCTCTATGCTCCGTTGTCCAGGCAGGGGGAGCGAGCGCACGCACGCGCAGCTGCCATCAGGCCAAGTCGTCACCGCGTAGTCGTTCACACCTACTTGAAGCCCAAGGCTCCCCGGCGATCGAAAAACCCGACCATGAGGATGGACGAAATCCTCTTAGGCACCACTGAAGGAACCCTGGAATGATTCGATTCCCTGGTAAAAGCCAAGCAAACAATGGTTCCAACAATGGTTCCAACAATGGGCCTGGGTCAAAAATAGGTACCCCAAATGAAACACGCCCATCCAGATACATAGGTGTCCTTTTTGGTTGTTTTGGTCGAAACATAGATGGCGGTTCCTGGTTTACCTGGTGGTTTGATCATCTACCGGGGGAAAACCATCTATTTGCCCTGAAAGGACTCCTACTGTGGATGGACAAAATCCTGCACCACCTAAGAAACCCTGGAAGGATGGTTCCACTGAAAATAGGAACAAATAAATGGCTTCCCATGGTTTCAAAGTGGTGCGAAATGGATTTTGTCCACCCACACAAATTATGCCTTTCTTGAGGGATCCTTCTCTTCGAATAATGGGCAACACTGGAAAATAGGTGGCTTCTAAAGAGAACGATGGGTGAAGAGAATGGGGAATCAGACCTTAGATAACAGGACTCCTATGCCCGGGTATATGGGGATGGGTCAAAATTAAACCACCAGGAATTGGACCGCAGGTTTTAGTCCATGTTTCCATTTACCAGAGAGGGTATCCTTTGTTAAATTGGTTGGAAAGGAAAACCAAAAGAAGACCACCCATTTTGGGGTTTTCGTGTTTGCCGTATACAGAAGACGCAAAGCCAAAAATGGTGGTGGTTCTTCTTTGTTTGCGCCTTCGAACAACCTACCCTGAAAGTGGATTGGTTGTGTTTGGCTCCGCTTGGGCCCAAAACAGCAAAAACAAAGCCCTCGGGTTTAGCAGAAAAGGCCTACCCCCAACCTGACAACCTGATAAGGAGACGAGTGGCAGCTCTGGTATACAGGGTTCCTGAAAGGATGTATCCAGCACCTGCCCAAGGGGATCCTCCAAATCTGCCCCTGAAGATATGTTGTTTGACTTGCCCAAACGTCTCGCTGAATCAGCTTCCCTCCAATTGGCAGCCGAATTGGCGGTTTGAATGGATGTTTATTTGCCCATTACAAGCACTAGGGGGTTCAAAACTCCAAACCATCAATTGGGGTTCAGGGGTTCCATCTTGGATGTGAATAGGAGCCGCTAGCAAAATCAGGGACGGGGATGGCAGCGTCCCCTAAACATCGCAAGGGTGGGGGGGGGAGGAGGGGTGACCCAACCCATCCATTGTGGAAACGGTCTGAGTGGGCTTATAACGCGTCCCCAGCCTTTGAGCATCACAACAAGGAAACTCACTTAACGCGGCAACGCCAAACATTGTTCTGCTATTGCCCAAGGGGCATACTGACCCCTGAAGCACAAAACCCCGCCCTCGATCCTTCCGGTGGCCTGTTGGCAAGTTAAAGTCTGCCGAATGCTTTCCCTTGTTCGTCAGGCGGTGGTACTTTGCCTCAGCAAATATGTTGCCCTCAGACGGGCGTGCGCCAACCAAACGACGGAAGAAACGGGAAAGCGACACATGTCGAAATGGTTTAAGTCTTGGTATATCAGCTCATTGCTATCGGTCAATCGGTCAATCTTAAAGTTCTCGGACAGGGGTGAGTAGTGGATTGTGGTGTTTATCCACAAGTAGCGACCTCCGTTACCCGTCAGCTGCAGCCCTTGTTCTTGTTGCCACGCCAACAAACTGCCCCAGCAAAAGCACAACCCTACGGTTTTTTTTCTGTCATAGGTGGCCTTTTGGACAAATAGATGGCCCTGGTAATTGGAAAAAAAACATCTAAACCAGTGCCATCTATCTTTAACCAGACCGGAAAAGGACACCTATGTTTCTCTCCTGCCCTTTCAACCCCATCCAACAAAGGAACTTTAGGACACCCAACAAATCTAGAGAATGGGCCACGGCGAAGGCCCCAAGATCTGCCCTTGACAGCGTGCCCGCTTTGTCCCATCTACTCCCCATGCTCCTCCCCCTTCCTCCTACTCAACTTCCCAACCCCGTGGGCCACTTTTAGGGGGCAATTTGCTTCAGATTGTCCGAGGGGCTGAACATGCGTGTCTATTTATGAACCTGAACCTCTGGCTGTGTTCAGGAAGCAGACACATGCAGCCAAAACAGTTGCGCCCATGCGCCGCAAACGAACATTCGGCCATGTACATGGATGTGTCTTTTTTAAGAGACCCCCCCCCAACACAAATAAAAACAAGGTTTGGTTGTCCTTTTAGTTTTCCTGCAAACCACAAAGCAAACAACACACAGACCCATGTTGAAGCATGCCTGGGTCTCCGGCGTTGTTCCCGCAAAGGTAAATGCCCCCGCCGGCATGCACAAGCGGACCCTCACGCGAGACCGTGACGTTCCAGCCTGTCCTCGCGGTGGCAGGCCGACAGTAAATGGAGCAAGTCCAAAGCCCAAAAACTTGGCTTCAAGGCAAATCTGCGCTTTGACCTGATCAAGCTTGCACCCACTGTTGTTGGGGTCGCAGGAACGCCGCTGTAACTAACTCTCATCACTCACATTGATCTAGCGAAGCTCCTGTCGATCAGCCATGTCTGGCAGCATATTTGCACCTCCAGGGGCGACGACGCGTACAAGCTACAGAACAAATGGGTTCCTTTCGGATGCTACGCGCATCATCGCCGTTTTGGTACAAGCTGGAACCCGTTCACAAGTGTGCCGCTTTTGAACATCCAAGAAAGTCCGTTATGCCCTCCCCAAGAGTCCTTCCATGTTTTTTGAGGGCCAGCCACTGCTATGTTTGGCAGTTCCCTTGTACCAGCTATAGCCAAATCTGAATTGGTCCTGGACCCCGCACCACGGACTTTTTGGATTAGCGGGGTTGCAATAGTTAATGTTCACCCGAATGGTGTTGAACACATGCCTTTTTTCATTGATCCCTTAGTCAAATCATGTCAAACACCAAAAGTTCACGACCACTAACAAAAGCCCGCGATGCATCCCAGCAATTTGTCAAAGGTGCTAGGCCGAATGCAACCCTTCACGTCCCAGTGCATTAAAGGCAACAGAAGGCTGTCCCTGCCAAGGCTTGATTCCATGCCTCGTGGGGAGCCCCCTGAAAAGTTAAATCCAATAAGCTCGGCCACGCGGCAAGGGTCGCCTCAGGTGCCTCAAAAAGGGGCAAGCCATGAGCCAGGGATCCCAGCGAGTCCCTGGGGCCAAAAACGAGCGGGAACCAACTGAGCAAGGACACGCATTGTAACATAGCAGCATAGCAATGGCATACACTGCTCTCAAAAGACTTATGCATTTTTGCAAAAAATGAATAGTATGTATGTTCATGCTCTACTTTTACCTGCACGCCAACCAAACACACAAACACAAGAACCAAGCACGCACGCGCAAACACACACACACACACACACACACACACACACACACACACACACACACACACACACACACACACACACGCTCAAACCCACCCACACACGCACGAGTGCAAAAGGCCACAAACGCACACACACACAGACTCATGTGTGCACAAACGCGCAACTGCAGAAAACAAATGCACAAACACACTCGTCAAATGAACCTCCTTGCAAGGCACCCTCTTCTGTTATGTATTCGGGGGTATTCGCTTCGCTTCTCCACATGCGTGCGCGACAGACTTTGTGCAAGTCTCCAAGCATCACAAGTATGGAAGCAGGTTGATGTACATCAAACATTGCTGAAGGCACGGCCAGGTCAACCCTGGACCCTTTTGCGCAGTTCCGCCCGCACCTTGCCATTGCCCTTGTCGAGCAAAGCCAAGGTGTACTCCCCCATATCCTCGGTTAGCAAACTACCCGCCAGGCCAACTCGAATAGAAGACACCCTATCTGACCAACCGTCACAGAAAGAAATCCTGTTGCTCGCTATGCTTTTCCAAGATTTCTCCTTTATTATGTCCCTCTTGAACATCCCGCCACCCAAGGGGAATTCAATCAAGATTGATACACATATTGTTGTTGTTTTATGCGCCAGAAACGAGACAAACAACAGCCATAAAGGCAAACAATACTTCCCCTACTTTGCCAGTCATTGGGGCATCAAGATTACCCTCCAAGTGACCTCTCAAACGGAAACCGACCAGCTCTGAGAACGAGCCCACCACATGCACACATGCAACCGCTTGATTGCGCAAACCAGACATCAGAAGTTCCGAAAATCGCTACAGCTCCAGTCCAAAGCTCAGACATGCCCCGAACATCGATACATCAGTTCCTCCAACAAATCCGACCACAAACTCGAAGGCGAGTTTAGGCGACACGGGGCGAAACGTCACCTGCCAGGGCGCCGGGGTGTAGACTTGCATCTCCTCTTCCAGTCGGCTCAGGAGCCGGTCCTCCTCACCAATGTCCTGCGGAAAACCACGGAAGGCGGCGCTTCGGAAACGCGCGCTACAAGACGAGGTCGGAATTTCACGAACAGAAACATGCTGAGCATGGACAAACTCCTGGCACCAGTTGAGTCATTTATCCAAGTATTATCCAACTGATGCAGGATTTTGTACATGAGTATCCCGAAATCAGCGTGGCTCAAAGGAGAGAGCCAAAATAGGGCGTTCCGTTGGCTTCCGTATCAAGGCATTCCAAAAAGCGGCTTCTCAAAGAAAGACTGTCTTGGAGTTGTCCCTTGAGTTTCCCTCTCCAAAACGAACAAGCCCGCGCCCATTCAACGGACACTTAGAGCCGTTTTTTGTAGCCAGGCACGCTAGTACGCCATAATACGCCAATATCCTAAAGAAGGCGGCTGCAAAAGGAGGGTGGCGTTGCTTCTATTTAGGGTAAGCCTCAAATGTGATTTCGGTGTTCCTTTTGGCTTCCCCTTCAAACCTGCAAAGTATCGACCCCACAAGAAGACGCACCCAAGACCCCAAGGCGCCCAGAACTGAGCCCAGGCCTCTTCGTCCAGGACCAGATCTCCCCAGGTGGAGGGCTGCCCATTCACCAGGCCCGCCTGGATCTTCACCGTCCCCGGGAAGTTGATGTCGTAGATACGCACCGTATCTCACGAATCCACGAACGAGACCGGGCGGGGCTGTGGGGAATGACCACGTCTGTGATACGACAGAAAGGGCTTCCCAAAGACTATTTTCTTCATAAGGGGGATTTCCTTGTATCACAGAAGTGGGGAGAAACCCCTTGATCCCACAACCCTGAGACCGGGCGACCGGAACCCAAGCCACGAGTTTGGCTTGGACGGGGGTGGGTCTTAGGGCCGAAGGGCGGTATATTTGTAAAATGTGATAAACCTCCACGAGGTTTCTGTCCGGGTTCAACACCCTACATGAGAGGCGGCCAAGTTGGTGATTCAGCCACTTGTTGAAAAAATGGATTTAGAAACCTGGAATTGAATCAAAGGTTGGTGGGTTACACCGAATTTGCAACCCTCGTATCTGAATCGAGCCCATGGGTCGTTGTGCAATCGAAGTCTCGTATTCGCATACTTGACCGACGTGTTGTGGTGAAACAAAAAAGACACGTTGGAAGCGTCTGTTTCTGCGCATGTAGTACGCTGTTAGCGTGCTGGGGCCGCAGTGCATGTGTTGTGGCCCGCAGTACACGCGGTGTTCTGCGTCGCGGCTGGCTGAAACGAGTAACACACATGAAACAAACAAACGCCGCTTCCCAACATGAAAGCAATGACAAACAATAGAACAACAAAGCAAATGGTTTGCACACCATGGCGCAGGGGAATGTTCGCATCGGTTTCATCCAAAGTGGTGCTCAGTCTTGGAACAGGCCTGTTGCAGAGATCTGGAATGTCCGCGCATCCTCTTCCTCCTCCTCCTCTGCGTGGTATCTGACCTGAATGCTACCTTAGACACCGCCCAGCGGATTGACGATTGTTAACCTCTCCCCGCTCATGGCTAAAGCAGGGTCTTACCCCTCATTTGCCTTGCAGGGTCCTGCGCCAGAATGGGCAATCTGCATAACTACTTTATCACTGCAAGGGGGGGTACGTCAGGGCTATCAGAGAAAGTAGCAGCCCAAAATATCATTGTCCGCAACGGTCCTATCCTAGACGGTCAGCGCATTTAGAATCTGGCCCCAGCTGGTACGAGTAGGGCTCCCCTGTAAGCCCCCACCGCCGTAAAACAGGTGCCCTGTCACACATTGCGGTGTCCTGTTGATCTGGTGGAAACGGCCTGCTTGCCCTGAATTGGCTCATCTTCCTTTCGGGGTGTTCAACGGGTAAAAAAGAAAGAAACACCAGCGACATGAGCGGTGCCCGAAACCCAAACGTGCGGTACATGGGTCTGCCAGCATGGAGATCAAGCCGGCTTTTGACCTTACAAAATCCCCAAGCCAGGTAGCAAAGCCACCTTCCAAGATGGCTAAGAACGGTTTCAGAACAAAAATCTTGTGTTTTGTTCTGATCCCTAAATTCGGCGAGCATTAAGATGCGAAGCAAACTCAAAGAGATGGTGTTTCGCGTGACCCCGGCCTGCCGACTCTGGCCTCTCATCAGGATTCGTCAAATAATACATCCAAACAATGCCAAATTCACAAGGGTATGCGGCAAGTCAGCTGGTACAGCTGATATCTTTTGACTGCCCAACAGGGGTTGTTTTCGCTGCCCCGCGAATTTTAAACCTCGATTTGGGACCGATAGGTGGGTTTTCTCTCTCGGAGGAGGGGGAATCGGGAGCCCTGTCGCAGTCAACTATAGGATCAAATGGGAGAAGTGGGCCGTTTTGGCAGGGGGATCTGAGACCGGGCTCAGCCTGGCTCTGTTGGGATATGGCAAGGGATATATGGGCGTGTTGGGTTTTGAGGGTGCCCTTCTTTGGGGTGCGCTTAAAGGGAAACCAAGTTTGGGGGTCCCAAATCCATTTTAAGGCACAGGGACCTCTGTACATCTCAGCCAGAAACCTGAAAAAAAGTGTTTTTGAAGCCGGCCAAACAGGGAAGCTTTCGGTGGATGGACAAAATCCACGCCAAACAGCAGGGATGAAGAAAGCCCTGAGACACCGGGACATACCACCTAGCGCCGTGTTGGCTGAAGCATAGGGAGGGCCATCCGCAAAACAGCACTGCCAGCTGTGATGCCACAATCCGCTTTGAGCCGACCCCCCCACCCCAAAAAAGACGTGGAGAAGAAGGCCCGATCCACTTTTTGACATACGGGCATGGGTCAAAATCCCGCACCCCCAGTGAACATCCCAATCCAACCACTAAAATAGGTTCTAAAATGGGTGGTGCACCGAAAACCCCAAAATGGTACCATTGGTTTTGACCCACAGCCATATGAGCCTGAGAACTTTGCTTGCCACTATCATTAGACCCGCTATGGGGACAAACCGGCAGGGTCCCAGGGTTGTGGGAGTTGCCCACTGGCAGGGCACTGTCGCCCCAACGTCAGGTCCCAGCGTTGGAAAACGTCCCATCGCCCACAGCGGCCAGACTAAAATGGGTGGTGCACCTACCCCAAAATAGGATCCCATTGGTTTTGACCCACAGCCATATCGCGAAAACGTCCCAACGCCAGCGTAGCGGCAGGGAAGGCAGGAGGTGAGCTGCAGCGGCGGCAGCAGCTTGATCTTCATGCGCTCCACCGAGGCGGGGGGCGCCGAGGTCTGAAAGTCTACCACCGCGATGATCCGGCGGTCACCACACCTTTGAGGATTTGCTTGTTTGGGGCTTTTGCGTTTTCGCGAATTTTGGTTGTGGTGTTCCTCTTGGGCGATTTCTCTTGCGGTTCTGCCACAGCTTCCAACTTGGACCCTGTGGATAACTAGTTGTTTGTTGATTAGTCTGGTTTACTCTCTCCTCCTTAGTCTTTTCGATATTCATTGTGGGTGTCTCTCGAGGTATTTTACTTTTGAGTTGGTTTTGCTCTTGTTCCCCTATTTTATGTTGGTTTGCGTCCGGGTCTCTTTTAGTTCCTTTCGGTTTGGTCTCCTCTTAAGCTTGTTTGATTGGAGGGGTCTTTTGGGTCCTCCCTGTGGTTTCCTCTCGATTTACGTTGGGTCTCTTCAAAGCACTTCTGAGACTTTTCCTGCGCAGACCATCCTTCTGGCCTTTTTTCTGGTTGCCCGAGGCATGGGTTTTGTCTGAACCTTCACCAAATGGGTGATACCTGCACTCCCACTGAATCCCCTGGCCAAAACTAGTTCAAATTCCAAACCAGGTGGGCTTTTTTGCAGCCCCAAAAAAAAACTCCGGCTGGTGCTGACACCAACAAACTCAAAATTAAAATTACACTTCTAAGACTATTGTGACTTCTTGTTGCTGTGCTACAGTTTTTCAGGTTCCCATGGATTGCCATAACAGGTCTCCAAAACATCAGCCACAAAAAAACGAAAACAACATCTATGGCCGTAGAGCTGGCGCAGCCGGCTGGCGGAACTTTCCCCAAATAAGAACTATAGTTGTCTTCCTCTTTATCCTCTCTTTCTCTTGCTCTGTCCCTTCCCTTTCTCTTTCCCTTTCTCTTTCCCTTGTTCTGTTGTTTTCTCTTTTGAGTTCTCATCTTTACTGTTCTCCTTCCCTTTCTCTTCTTTATAATTATGTTTGATTTCTCTTTTTCTATCTGTCTGTCGAACTGCCTACCTACCTATATTGCCATTTATCCATCTAGTAGTCTACCTAGCTAGCTATCGATCTATCTTTCTTGCTATGTGTCTCTATCTATATCTACCTATCTATCCATCTATTTCTCTATCTCGCAACCTTTCTACTTCTGCATCTGTGTATCTCTGTGTCTCTCCATCTCTCACTCTGTTTCACCGCCACACGCCCGCATGTTTTCTCACATGCATGCAACATGTCATCTCATCTGTGCGCAATTCTACATTTCAATTGGTGCCCGCAATACTGAAGTTCCTTCTAAGCTTCGTTTGTCTACGGCTTGCTTTAAACTTTCAACAAAGGCCCTTCAAGGCCAGCCCCACCCCGGTTTAACAAACCCCTCAGATTCATCATGGCCCCTCTCCGGCACCGGGAAAAGGGGGGTAGGGGGGTCCAGAGCCGGGAGCCCTCCAACGTGTGTTTTTTTTTCCGAACCCAAAACGGAAGGCAACCCTGTTTCTGCTCATCGCCGGCCCTACATTCCAGCGGTGCTTTTGGCTTCCCTTCGCAGAGCTCCGGTGGAAAGAGGTAACTCACTTTGTCCAAAGTAGGGGCGCTTTTTGGTGTCCCCCTTAAGAGGCGGCACGTATCGGGAGCACAACCTCCAATGACACCCCAAATCCATCCAAAGCACTCCACCGTGCAGTAGGTACTGCCCTGAGAGAAGGAGGCTCTGCCCCATTCCTGCGGCGACGTCTGCATCATCATGTCCCAGGCCATCGCGCCCTGTCGCAATGGGACTTTGGAGCGAAAATAGTTTTGTCCCAAATTGGGCACCCCCGAAGTGGTGGCGTTTCCTGTTGGTTTCCCCAACAACATGACACGTCACCCGAAGATCGCCGCCCGTTCCCTACTCCCAGGTTGGCCCGTTTCGCGTCCGCTGAGCAGCTTGCACGGATTTCTGGCCATTGGATGTTCGCTGCGGCTCCGCCTTGGACTTCTTCCCAAAAAGGAGTGTGGGGACCAGGGAGCACAACACCCACACCGCACCTAAAACAAACATATAGCCCTGAGAACGCTGAGAAATTGGTGCTTTTTGTTGGGTGATGTTTTGTCCGTTGCTGATATGAACCCATGGCGATGTTGGACCCCTTGGGGTCTGATGATCATGATGTTTGTTCATTTGTTTAAAGAGTGAACTTGGCGTGTTCTGTGAGAAGCGTGCTGTAGTTGTAGGGATCTTTGAACTGACCACTTCAAATGACTCAACTAGCCATGCACTACCCGGTTTGATGCACTACCCGGTTTGAATCATCTGGCCTTTCCCCAGGCCCTACTGGGGGCTTCCAGGGATCCCATGAGGTCCAACAAGTTTAGGTCACATGCGGCGGAAGGTCAACACAAACCGGGCACTCCAAAGCTCTGTCAAGGGTAGTGAATTTGTCCTGCCAAAAAGGGGAAAAGACCTCACACCAAGCTTCTCTTGTGGTTTGGTCTTCTTTTGGAAGCTCGGAACGCTGCAGCCGCGGCCAAACTTTGGCCCCGGCCTCGTCCTCCGCGTCTGAGTCGTCATCATCATCATCCTCCTCCTCCTTAACCACCTTCCTGAACAAGAACATGACGAATCAAGCTCTCTGGCCCAGTATCTACCAATATCAAAGCCACCCGCCAGGTTAAAGCGAAGCCACTCCAGTATTTCACTTTGATAAGCCCTAGCTGACAAACTCATCAGCCCAGATTCTTGGAACAAGCTCCTCAGATTGATGCAACCCTCCGTTTGGTGGCCCCTTGGCCCGGCTAAGAGCCGAATGCCGGGTCATAAACCCGGCCCTAAACCCCACACTAACGCCCAAGGAAGCGTACCTCGCTTGCCCAAAGGACCCAAAAATACAAGGTGAACCTTTTGGCCATGACTAAACATGGAGCGAAAAGGGGAAACCTTTAAAGGTCAAAACGCCGAATCGCTTTGGGCAAGTGATGGGAACCGCCAAGTTTGCATGCATGAAACCCCTCCTGGGAAGCTCCAGCGGCGCGCTGGTGAAACCCCCAGGCATCAACCAGGAGGGCACCGCGCCTGGCAGTTCGGCCGGTTGCAAGCCGTGGTGGCTTCACACCAAAGGACCACACTGAAAGGCTTGCCACTTGATGGTTTGGTGGTTTGGTGGTTCGGTTTTTCTATGTACCCCTTGAGCAGGTTCCGGAAGGATGTCCCCAAAACCCGCCCTAGGAAGAGTGCGATCCTGGAAATCAGAGTAGAACAGGTGTTGAATGGCTCAAACGTATAAGCAACAAAGCCTGACTATTCCCCGTCCCAGGTGTCGGGAAAATCTGACTGAGCAAGTTCATTACCCCATCGTCTATGGCCTGGCTTCTTGGCGTCGCCCACAAACCGATGTGAGACAAGGGTCCGAGGTCCGTGCCGCTTTCGCGACTGCGAAAGACCAAGTTGGATCCCGAATTTGGAGAAACACCCGTGACCCGCGTCCTGTCGAGTAAGCTGAAATGGTGCTATTTATGCAAACCACATAGGAAGGGGGCGATTAAAAACTGCTGTGCAAGTGGTTCAAGAGCACTCATTTATATCGATGATTTGGGGAGTTCGCCTTGCTTAACACCAAAAGAAGGACAGGACTAGAACCCCCCGCCCCGGACCGAAACTTGAACACCCAGCCACCGATTTCAAGGGGCGCTTGGCTTCAACTTCCCCCGACTACAAATAATGAGGACAACTGGGCTGGAGCTCAACGGCCCAGCTTTTGGAACATGTTGCTCAGCGCCCATGTTGTTCATACCTGTTTCCCCGAGCTCACCATGGCCAAGGAGCTCATCAAAGCGAGGTAAGGGCATTGGTGCTTGTTTCCTTCGCGAACCCCATAAGCCATCAATCCCCGAAGGGGGCGCCTGGACCTAAGGAGCAAACCCCATGCTCCGAGTGCTCCGAGCCTGGATGGCGCCCCTCCCTGGCTTTGTCCACCAGATGCGCCGTGCCGTCCACCACGTCCGAGGTGGCACAACTCGTCCACAACCTCGACATCGCGCCCCGGGAAGTGAAGGCTTAGGGGTGCTTGGAAGATCAGTTTCCTCTTCAAGGGCTAGTGGGAGGGAGGGTAGCCTTTTCGAACCTTCACTGAACATGGATATTGGGCGACCGAAAGGTCAAAAGGTCGGCTTTGGGAAAGTGAGCAATGGACTAAATGTGCCTTGAGCGTTGCTGAATCTGGTGCAAAGGGCCGTCGCAAGATCAGGGAGATCAACAAGCAATGACTGAGCCCAAAACCCTGACGAAGGAAGCTTGACCTTTTCTTCTTCTTCTTCTTCTTCTTCTTCTTCTTCCTTTTTCTTCCTCTTCTTCTTCGTCTTCTTCTTGTTCGCTTTTCTTCACGTTTTGCTTACAAACAATTATCCCCGAAAGCTGGACGAAAGTTGTTTTCAAGTTTGGTATTCCCCAACACCTAGAACCGAAGCCGTTTGTGCTGAGGCCGAACCACTCTTGTCGCCTCCCCCACGTTGCCGACACCGGCTTACTCCGTGCAGCGGAAGCGTCATGGGCCGATTTCCGAATCGCAGCCCCAGAGGGATCGAGGTCTCGTTGAAGATCAGCACTTGCCTCAATTTCCCCCGTCTTTCATCCCACTTGTTCAATGTCCATGCATTCACTGTCTCAAAACACAATCGGACTGTGGTTGGTTCTTGGGGTTTGGTCATGTGACTCGGCGCAGCAATGGGCGCATCTCAAAATTTGGGACCCAAGTGATTGGCTTCCTCTCAAATGCCCTTAAAACTAAGACGGGTCACTCATTTGCAGACGTGGCTTCCGTGTCTCCGAAAGGTACCCTTTAACAAAACAAAATGGCACCAAAGCAAAGGGCTGGGTGTGGAACTGCGGGGTCTCCTGCCGCTGTTTGGGGCCCTGGCAAAGTCACGAATCGCCGGATTCGAACAGCGCCAAAACGAGGAAACACACACGCCGGCGCTCCAGCCATCCCGGAACACACGCTCCAGAAAACAGCCGACGATTTCCGCGGACTGGCCCAAGCACCGTGCAAGTTCTCAAGCCCAACTCCTTAGCGAGACTCGAGTTGGCCAACTTGCGGGACCGAGGCACGAGGAGATGAGAATCACGGCGCCTTCCACGCTGGGCCGCAGAAGCTCCGCGATGAGCGGAGTGTTGGGGATCCTGGCGACCGAAAATCGGTCATTGGGAATCTCAATGTCCACGATTTTCATGTCCTGCAACCGCGTGCGAGATGGCTTCCCATTGAACATCGCATAATCTCTAGAGGGGACATCACAATTTATGTCCACCAACCACTTTCGACATGCTTCTTCACTAACATTCAGAGCCGTATGAGTCACATGGCCAGTCTTTAGCCATCGTAAGGGATGCTATTGCCAAACGGCACCTATGGCAACTGGCACCGTGAAGATTAAGCCAATTGGCGCTTGGGGAACCTGGCGACTTTCCAGCGTTCGCCGCCCAAAAGGGATAGGCTTAAAGCTCAGGAAAGCTGATCAGGGACTAGGTAGACTTAGGTCATGGCAAACACACCCACACCTATAGTGGCTCATATATGCTTATGTAACCGCAGGAGAACCCTGATTGAAACTCCCCAAGCCCAACATCCCAGGCGCCGGGATGTCATTTGCTTCCCCAGCGCCCCCTTCAGTGCCAAGTCAGACATCTTGCACTTCTGTTACACGTTGACATAACTCTGACTTGGAAACTCCTCCAAAAAGGCTCAGTCGAGCCGCCCAGGTCGACATCAACTGTTCAACGACGGTTTCTGATTTCCGTCTCATGCCCGCTGCGGCTGGGATAACCATGACGTGTTGAAAAAAAAACAAGTTTTTGCTTCTGGGTGTCTTTTTTAAGCTCAAGAAGTCCCCTCAGAAACACGCACCCCATCCTCAACCCAGCACACCTAACCCAGTGATGATATACGACTCCGCGAGAACAACTCGGGGGGCCCGCGGCAAATCGCCTCCTTGGCTTCCCTTCGTGTTCCCCCGGTCCCAGGGCGGGCTGTGGCTCGCCTCACGGAGTTCAAGAGCCCCAGATCCAGATACGCCGGCGCCTGCCCGCCGGGCACCTGGGGGGCATGGGCGGGCATGGGGCACTTTTCGGGTGGCGCTTGGCCTGGGTGCTGCTTTGGCTCGGGTGGGCGGAGCCAAGATGTGTTGTTTGTCCCCTTCAAACCAACCAAATAAGGGTGCCCCCCAAAAAAGGAGGCACCACGTCTTGAAACTCAGTACCTTCCACGAAATTGGCAGAGACTGGTGTGTGGATTGGTTGCCAACGCCTCCCCAAACAAAGATTGAAACTTGGAAGAACCAAAGCATGTTCCTCTAACATGGAGTCCCTTTCAGGCGTTACACTCCCCAGACTAACAGCCGGAAGCTCCCAGAAAGCCTCTGTAAATGGAAACAAGCCTTCCAAAGGGGTCCGTTCGGGAGCTTTCATGCTAATGTTGACCCAGGATTAAGAAACCCGTCCCACTCTTAGGGCGTGTTCCCTCCAAAAGTGGTCTGAATCCCCACTAAAAGGGGGGCACCCCCCAATAAACATCAATCAGGGGTTTATTCATCCGGGGTTAACATTCGTCCGGGGGAGGCAGGCGCCATCAATCCTCTCGAGAGCCGCGCGGCGGTGATGCCTATGCGGGGCGGGAAGGACAAATCCAAGTGGTCCAGGTTTCTCCAGGACTGGCCCGTGGGCGGAATATCCAAATAGGCCTTGGATGCCACGACCATTCGCGCGAGGGGAAGGAACTTGGTCATGTGTTTTCCTCCTGCCACGTTTTTTTTTGTGTTTACCTGAACCTGTGCAGGGGGTCTCTATACAGATAGCTGGGACGGTGTCCCTTTACCATTTGGAGAGATCACTTTGACCTGTTCGACCCCCGCTGAAGCAAACGGCTCCCAGCGAGCAGTGTCCTTTCTTTTGAAAGACTCAACCCGCCATTTGCTTAAGACCCCTAGCAAAAAGAAAATTAAAGGACCGGATAACCCCACATGCTATGTTTTTCCCAAGGATGTGAGTTCAAATGTCCACACACATGTACCGTGCGCCCCTTGTATGGATGCGATTACAGAGCACCCAGATGCACAGAATGCAGCGCCTGCCACGACTTCGGCAACGGCATCGCCAAAGTGCTGCGCCTGCCACCAAAGTGCTGCGCCTGCCACGATTTCGCACGCCGCGCGCGCGACAACATCCTGTCCCTCTAGACAGCTGCCGAATGCGACCCCTGCCACACAAACACACACCCAGATGCACAGAATGCTGCGCCTGCCACGACTTCGGCAACGGCATCGCCAAAGTGCTGCGCCTGCCACGATTTCGCAACGGCATCGCCAAAGTGCTGCGCCTGCCACGATTTCGCACACCCCCCGCCGCGCGCGCGACAACATCCTGTCCCTCTAGACAGCTGCCGAATGCGACCCCTGCCACACAAACACACACCCAGATGCACAGAATGCTGCGCCTGCCACGACTTCGGCAACGGCATCGCCAAAGTGCTGCGCCTGCCACGATTTCGCAACGGCATCGCCAAAGTGCTGCGCCTGCCACGATTTCGCACGCCCCCCGCCGCGCGCGCGACAACATCCTGTCCCTCTAGACAGCTGCCGAATGCGACCCCTGCCACACAAACACACACCCAGATGCACAGAATGCTGCGCCTGCCACGACTTCGGCAACGGCATCGCCAAAGTGCTGCGCCTGCCACGATTTCGCAACGGCATCGCCAAAGTGCTGCGCCTGCGATTTCGCACACCCCCCGCCGCGCGCGCGACAACATCCTGTCCCTCTAGACAGCTGCCGAATGCGACCCCTGCCACACAAACACACACCCAGATGCACAGAATGCTGCGCCTGCCACGACTTCGGCAACGGCATCGCCAAAGTGCTGCGCCTGCCACGATTTCGCAACGGCATCGCCAAAGTGCTGCGCCTGCCACGATTTCGCACACCCCCCGCCGCGCGCGCGACAACATCCTGTCCCTCTAGACAGCTGCCGAATGCGACCCCTGCCACACAAACACACACCCAGATGCACAGAATGCTGCGCCTGCCACGACTTCGGCAACGGCATCGCCAAAGTGCTGCGCCTGCCACGATTTCGCAACGGCATCGCCAAAGTGCTGCGCCTGCCACGATTTCGCACGCCCCCCGCCGCGCGCGCGACAACATCCTGTCCCTCTAGACAGCTGCCGAATGCGACCCCTGCCACACAAACACACACCCAGATGCACAGAATGCTGCGCCTGCCACGACTTCGGCAACGGCATCGCCAAAGTGCTGCGCCTGCCACAATTTCGCAACGGCATCGCCAAAGTGCTGCGCCTGCCACGATTTCGCACACCCCCCGCCGCGCGCGCGACAACATCCTGTCCCTCTAGACAGCTGCCGAATGCGACCCCTGCCACACAAACACACACCCAGATGCACAGAATGCTGCGCCTGCCACGACTTCGGCAACGGCATCGCCAAAGTGCTGCGCCTGCCACGATTTCGCAACGGCATCGCCAAAGTGCTGCGCCTGCCACGATTTCGCACACCCCCCGCCGCGCGCGCGACAACATCCTGTCCCTCTAGACAGCTGCCGAATGCGACCCCTGCCACACAAACACACACCCAGATGCACAGAATGCTGCGCCTGCCACGACTTCGGCAACGGCATCGCCAAAGTGCTGCGCCTGCCACGATTTCGCAACGGCATCGCCAAAGTGCTGCGCCTGCCACGATTTCGCACGCCCCCCGCCGCGCGCGCGACAACATCCTGTCCCTCTAGACAGCTGCCGTGAGTCAGCGAGTGTGAGTGAGTGAGTGAGCGAGTGAGTGAGTGAGTGAGTGAATGAGAGTGAGTGAATGAGAGTGAGTGTGAGTGAGTGAGTGTGAGTGAGCGTGAGTGAGTGAGTGTGAGTGAGTGTGAGTGAGTGAGTGTGAGTGAGTGTGAGTGACTGAGTGTGAGTGAGTGAGTGTGAGTGAGTGTGAGTGAGTGTGAGTGACTGAGTGTGAGTGAGTGAGTGTGAGTGAGTGAGTGAGTGAGACGGAGACGAGCGGGAGAAGGAGGAGGAGACGCGGCGCGCGGACGACGAGCGGAAAAAGTAAGAACCCCACACAAAGATGTGGGGAACAACACATGTCCAGAAGTCACAGATTCCCTTGTTAAAACCAACAGGGGCACAAAACAGCCATATATCCTCAAGCAAGTGGCGGCAACCTGTCCGGCCGACATTGCCAAGTTGCTTGGCCCTTGGCTGTTTTCAGATGGAGCCTGGCGCCAGAAACGCTCAGCTTGCCTGGATCAAACCGCACCTGGATCGCTTGCTGCTTTTTTCCCCATCCATTTTACAGTAGCTGCACTGGTCACACTGAAGTGCAACAGCCTAGGTAGCCAAGTTGCTGCCTTTGTTTCAGCTGCTGCTGTATAGTGGATGACTCGACTGGCTCGGAACCAGTGCCAAACTCGAGACAGGTCTGTATGGGCGTGTGTAAAAACGCAGGGGGACCCAACCCAATAATGGTTGGTTTCCTGTTGGTTTCCCTTCAAACCAACCCCCCAAAAAAAGGTCCTTCAGAAAAAAGAAGGAAACAAAACACCGACCCCTAAATCAGGTCTCAGAACCCCCTACCAAGACGGCCAACATGAGCTGCAAAGAATGATGCAAGAGTACAAAAAGGAAAGCAGCCTTTGTTGACTTTTGTGCACTAATAGTTCCGAGAAACTGAGAAGACCAACCTATGAACTCTACATGATATCAACACCCATCATTTGCTGCCTATACCCCAAACTCGCGCTTGCAACCGGCGTGCTTCCCTGCGAAACAACCGGTCGATTCACTTCCGCCCGCCTCACCGGGGTGCCGCTCAGGTTGAGCATCGCGTAGCGCACAGGCACCGGCGGCTGCTGAAGCGGCATCGGCACGAGACTCCTCGAAAGGCCTCGGTGCGAGGCCTTGGGTGGCTCGCCCTTTTTTGGGAGTCACGGTACCCGCCTTTTTAGTGGTGTGCAAATCAACGGGATACGAAACACAATTTGGTGGGCTTAGAGGTCTGATGCCGGGGGTGAGGTTAATGGATCTGTAAATTATCTCTTGCTTTTGTCTAGGCCCCCTGGCTATTGATTCACGAACCCCTGGTGAGTTCTGATTCCGGGGGTGACCCATGAAAGGATCCGGATCCCTTTTGGGGAAAACATCCCCGCCGTATCTATCCAGCATTCCGTCAAGGTCCTGTGCCTTACGCTCACTCAGCCCCTCTCTCACGCGGCGCGCTCCGTAAGATTCTGTCGTGTCCGAGGGGTGCTCATGCCGGGAACCCAAGGGGCCGCGGTGCCATTTGGACAATTCACGCGGCCCTCATTCGAAGGGATGCTTAGACGTATTTTGCAGCCGCTCTTAAAACTCGAGGTGGGGAAGTCCCTAGGAGAGTCCGTGACAGGTCACAAGCCAGGCAGGGCAAACTGTCCCCATCATCCAGCGCACCTTGCATCTGCAAACTTTATAATGATTTCAAATCATGAACTAAGGGATCCCCAAGTGAAGGACCTATAAAATCCAGCTGTCCCAAAAATCCTCCACAAATGACGCATGTAACTCCATTGCTGTTATCTTGTCGGACGCCCTGTTACTTCAAACGACCTCCGGTGAAACCACGGTACGTTAATCGCTTTCCGGCCCCTACTAATAAATTGAGGTGTCGAGCAGATTGCCTCTTCGGTCCTCGTCCAAATGGGCTCCCCGCTTTCCCGGACACAAAAACTGTCAACATCGCAATGTTCGAGTAACGAATTTGCAAGAAACCGTTCAAGGTTGCAGTGTTGTATTTGCGGTTCGAAAGTACAAGACTCAATTTAAATTAGATGTTACAATTACTGAAATGGGTTTAAATAGGTACATATGAATTTAAACACTTTAAACATGCGCCGAAATACCCTTTAACGGCAGGTTTGGTATTGGTTTAGAATTGGCGTATTCTAAAAGGGGACCGGGGTCTGGGAAACACGATATTAACAAGGTGCATTCATTCATAGGGGAAAGCGGTTATTGGCAAAAGGAACTCCCTTCGAAAACAAGAAAGAAGGGCACCAACGAAGTCTCGGACGCCGACACAATCTGCGTGTGTGTGTGTCCGTAGGTGTAGGTGTATACGTATGCTTATGTGCATGTGTATGTGTATGTGAGTGTAAATGAAAGTGTGTGTGTGTGCATGTATGTGTATGTGTAAATGTGTATATGTGTAGATTTGTGTGTGTGTGTGTCCGTCTGCGCGTGTCTGTGGTTGTGTGGTTGTGTGTGTGTGTGTGTGTGTGTGTGTGTGTGTGTGTGTGTGTGTGTGTGTGTGTGTGTGTGTGTGTGTGTGTGTGTGTGTGTGTGTGTGTGTGTGTGTGTGTGTGTGTGTGTGTGTGTGTGTGTGTGTGTGTGTGTGTGTGTGTGTGTGTGTGTGTGTGTGTGTGTGTGTGTGTGTGTGTGTGTGTGTGTGTGTGTGTGTGTGTGTGTGTGTGTGTGTGTGTGTGTGTGTGTGTGTGTGTCTGTGTCTGTGTCTGTGTCTGTGTCTGTGTCTGTGTGTGTCTGTGTCTGTGTCTGTGTCTGTGTCTGTGTCTGTGTCTGTGTCTGTGTCTGTGTCTGTGTCTGTGTCTGTGTCTGTGTCTGTGTCTGTGTCTGTGTGTGATTGTGTGTGTGTGTGTGTCTGTGTGTGTGCGTGCGTGTGTGGGCGTGGGTCTGTGTGTGTGTGTGTGTCTGTGTGTGTGTTTGTGTGTGTCTGTGTGTCTGTGTGTGTCTGTGTGTCTGTGTGTGTGTGTCTGTGTTCGCGTGAATGTTTGTGTCTGTGTGTGTTCGCGTGCCTGTGTCCGCCTGTGTGTGCCTGTGTGTGTGTGCCGCTTGTGCACTTGTACACTTGTGTGGGCGTGCGTGTGTGGGCGTGTTTTCTGTGTGTCTGTGTGTCTGTGCGTCTGTGCTGTGTGTCTGTGTCTGGTGTCTGTATGTGTGTGTGTGCTTGTGCGCGTGTGTGCATGTGTGTGTGTGTGTGTGCATGTGTGCGTGCATGTTCGCTTGTGCGCTTGTGCGTGTGGGTGTGTGCGTGTGCGGATGTGCGCGTGTGTGCTTGCATGTGCGCTTGTGCTTGTTATTGTGCCGGTTTGTATGCATGGGTACGTGTGGGTATGCGTGTTGTGCGTGTGCGCACGCACTCCGGCGTGCGTGGGTGTGTGGATGGGTGTGTGTGTGCGCGTGTGTTTGTGTTTGTGTTCTTTTTGCAGCCACCCTGTTCTTCTTTTCTCTTGTGGGGAGCAATCCATTTTGGGTCCCATCCCAATTTTTGGCACGCTTCATCCGAGGTGCACCCGCTGTACCACATGAGCCGGCGGATGATCACGGGGTTGATGTTCAGCAGCAAGGGCTTGCGTCCGAAGACTTGCACGTGCATGCCTCCCATGGCCAGTGATACGGTTCCCACCACGGGTGTAATTTAGACACATTTCAGGAAATGATGAAACGATCCAATCTCCAACTAGGATCGCAATTGACGAGATGTCAGAAACAGATGTTTGATCACCCGGTAGCATAACACACACAAAAAAAGATTGGAGCTGCGCTTCCTGGATGTCCTGTGGCCCATTCCGAGCCTACTAATTACCCAGCCAATTGGGATGCAGGTGATGCTTGTTATTTCACTCTGCAGGTGATCATGGGATCAAAAGAAGAAGACCATTTTTTCCGGGAATCCCTCGGCGGACACTCTCTTCGGGTTGTTTCCTGCTAGTTTGCAAGGGCCCTTCTTACATTAAAGTTCCTGCAGCAGGAGGCAGTACTTGGACTTCGCGGCCCCAAAAAAGGAAGGCGCCACTAGCGATCATCACAATCAAGGACCTTATGAGGGGCCACGGCCTTCTGTCTCCCAAAAGGTACCATTTCGAGTGGTTCAAAGGCCCATGCATGTGAAAAAGGACACCTACCGTGGATGGACGCAATCCATTTCGCACCTCACAAGCCCCTGGAATAACAACGCAGATATCAAGGTTTCAACCATGGTTTCATTTCGCGCGACACGGATGACTCGCATCCATCCACAGCTCTAGGCCCCACTCACTGGCAGCCCAAAAAAAGCCAAAACTGTTGTGCCACTAAAATGGTCCAGACCCAAAAAAGCTTAAAGTTCATGACCTCAAGCGAGCCGGCCCCATCCGAATCTCTTGGGGCCCATGAATAACGCATTCCAATTCGGCCAAAGGGCCGGACTTCTCCTCGTCCAGGCGGCAGCCCAGCTGGAAGGGCTCCAGCACCGGCTCAAAGCGCCCCACCTTCTCCGCGGGGATTTTCACTCTTGGCTTCATTTTTGAGTTTAACGAGAACTTCCATTTGCTTCAAAAGAGTGAGGAAAATAGCTAAATATGTCCAGTAGTGCCAGATCTCCTTTAAAACGAGCAAAGGAACATACACAGTGTTCTTAAGCAAATGGAGGGGAATCAAAGCCAGACTGAGGAATTCTAGAATCTTCGAAACCTAGATCGCCAAGTTGCTGTTTTTTTCAGTCACTGTTGCTGGTTTTGGGGGGTTTTAAGTGCATGGGAAAAAAGACGCACCTGGCGATCCAGGAACTCAGCAACTGGCAAAGAAAATGAACTTATTGCCAGTAGTGATAGATGTTCTTTAAAACCAAGGGACAACTGCAACATATGCAAATGGAGGAGAATCAAAGCCAGACTGAGGATTGCTAGAAGCTGAAAGCTCGGAACTGCCATGAGCCCTTCAAACACGTCTCAGCTGCTCCGAGCGGCTTCCAGGTTGTAGCCGTCCGCCTGGAGCCGGAACATCTGCTTCTTCGGCGGGCCTCGAGTCAGAGCGTCACTGCCGCGAGGGGCGCGAGTGACTGAGTCGTTCATTGAGGCATGAACTTCCCCCCCCCCCCCCCTGCCCCAAAAAAAAGGACAAAAAGGAGGCCCCCCCCTTTTTTCCCATGGCCATTGGGGGTTTGGGAAACCCTTTTTTTTCCCTTGGCCACTAGGGGGTCTGGGGAAAACCCATGGATTCCGCTGAACTTCACACGCCTGCCCTGCCCTGGGACGGTTTTGGTAGTTGGTGAAACCCCTTCAAAAGCCACCGCCCAGGGATTTCCTGCCAGAAAGGGACGAAGAACTTCGCCCCGACTCGGTGAAATTCATAGAACCACCCCGATTGCACAAGGGGGAGTCTGGTCAAACCCTCATTTCCCGAGTGGATAGGCGTAAAAGGATCTTCCCCAAAAGCTTACAGTCGAAAAAACTCAGCAATATAATATAAGAACCTATAGGCACGTTTACCCTCGATTTGTGTATATTTTGGTTTGCGTATTTTCTATTTATTTTGTTTTTTTGCTGGTAACGGCTGCCAAAGAAAGCACCCGGGGGGGCGGGGGGGGCAAGGGACCCGGGCCACCGCGGGCCTTGTGCAAAGGCGGAGGACTCCAACGGCATCGTCATCTTCCCGTCCTCCACGGTGAGCTCCACAGCCCGAAGGGCTGTGAAGAGGCCTCGGCCGCCCAGCAAAACCTTCGCCCCCACTCTGGCAGATTTGTTGTTTCCGTCTCCGGGGCGGAAGAATCCGAAGCCGAGGCCCCCACCCAAAAAACGGTTTGGGGATGTTTGGGGCCTTCTCAACTTCTCGGAATTTTGGAGGGACGAGAATGGAGAAAAAGGCACAGAACCCGCGGATGGCTTGCGGATGGCCTTGCGGCCGGTCTGAGGCCCGGGCGGATGACCGGGGCAGATTTGTCGATATCGCTGTCCAGCAACACGCCCACTTGCCTAGGCTAGAATTAGGACCCCAGCAACAAAATATCTTTGTTGCTTGGTTCGTGGAAAACAAAGGCACCCCCAAAAGCAACAAACAAAGGGGAGCTAATTCTGGGGAAGTTGCCTCGTACGGAAACCCATCGCCTGAATCTGGATTGAAACAAGCAAAATCGAAGCGCCAGAGAAAACACGCGAAGATGAACACCCCGATGCAGAAAAGGCAAATGTGAACCCCCTCCCCCCAACCTTGCAGAAGGCAGGAACTACGGTGGCTAACGTGGGCCCTTTCTCACAACAGCACTATGCCATGATGCTGGATATCCATGAGCAACTGGTATGCGCGCTGCTTCTTGTTCGAAACTGGGGCGTCCTGGCAGCTTGCATGCCGGACAAACACGCACACACACAGACACAGACACAGACACAGACACAGATACAGACACAGACACAGACACAGACACAGACACAGACACAGACACAGACACAAACACACACACACACACACACACCCACACACCCACACACCCACACACCCACGCACCCACGCACGCACGCACGCGCGCACCCGCACGCACCCGCACGCACCCGCACGCACCCGCACGCACCCGCACGCACCCGCACGCACCCGCGCGCACCCGCGCGCACGCACGCGCCCGCACGCGCCCGCACGCACCCCACACAAACACACACACAAACACACAGACACACACACACACACACACACACACACACACACACACACACACACACACACACACACACACACACACACACACACACACACACACACACACACACACACACACACACACACACACACACACACACACACACACACACACACACACACACACACACACACACACACACACACACACACACACACACACACACACACACACACACACACACACACACACACACACACACACACACACACACACACACACACACACACACACACACACACACACACACACACACACACACAGCCATGGCAACAATGCCAAGCGCACACAAACATGCCAGGCCCAATTTCCTAGTTTCCTAAACTTGGTAAACACCATTTATAGTTGGATTTTTCACTGACCACATAGGGTGTCGCAATCAAAACAAAGCGTCACGGCCGCTTCTGGTGCTGTGCCATCACCCTCTTTCCCCATTCCGCTTCGTTGTCGCCATGGGCGGTGACCCCCATGCCGTCCTCCTGCTCTTGCATTGCTTGTTCGGCCGCCTGGTTCGCCACTTTCAGTGCCGCCTTTCCTTTGGCTGCGCTGTGCTCTGCAGAGGCTGCCAAGGCATTTTGCCTGGGATGCGGAAGGGAAGCAATGAGCCGAGCAGGTGCACAACCTCTCATGGTCATACACCATTGGACCGGCTTTTGTCAACCCACCTGCTTTTCTGGCCCATTCCTGGGTGAGCCAACGGCTACCCCCAGGTGAGTTTCTACCATGCGTTTACGGGACTCCTGGCTCCGAAAGGCTCCCAAAGCAAAGCTGGACCATGTTGACCCCTGTTCAACTGGGGGGGTGTCCCTGGGTTTAGTGGGGAACCAAACCGCTTTTGGAGGGGAACACCCCCTAGGGAAGATTCGACCCCTGGAATGATTCGAACCGCCTATAAATACCAACGAACACTGGTTTCCCATGGCTTCCCGGTGGTGCGAAATGGATTTCGTCCGTCCACAGTATTCATCAACCCCTGTTTATTCCAGAGGGGATGTTCCCCTCCACAAGCGGCTTGATTCCCCGCTAAACCCACGGACACCCCCCGATTGAACAGGGGTCAACAATAGAATATGGTGTCAACTTTTTATGGGGTTTAGTGGAAAAACCCATTGATTTCACCCAAAATGTTAAAGTCTAAGATCCAAGCCAATAGCAGTCAAGGCATCACCCAGCTCCGGGTCCAGCTGAGTCCCGAGACGCCAAGCTGCAACGCTTTGGCCTGTGCCTCTTCGAAGGCGTTCGGGGCGACCACGGGGTCCTCCGCTTCCTCGGGGACCTGCGCGAGGCCCAAAGGCCCCGGAGGCGGGATAGGTACCACCGGCCAAGTTCATCCGAAGGCGTCCAACTTGAGTTGCCCACGGTATGAAAGACGAAAAAAATCAGAGAATTCGGTTTCCAACTTTTAGCTTTTGGACTCCCGAGGCTGTGCCGGACTCACTCGTTGCCTAGTTGCAATGCATTCAGGGACTCAGTTGTCCCAAAACAAGCAGAAACCGAAGGTTACCCTTTCGGGGCCATGACTAAACATGGACCAAAGAGGGAAAGCTTTCGGGTGGTCGTTGGCCAGTTGGGGTGAACTTGGGGTTCCTGCCCCACCTTCATGGCGTCTTTGAGAACGGCCGGCACGGTGGCGACCACCTGCAGCAAGGCCTCGCAGCGGTCAGACAAAGAGGTGGAACTTCAGAGTGGAGGACCCAAGAAAGGGGAAGAGCGTCTGACACCGAGGACCTTTTGCGCCTGTGACTTTCTTTATTGCATCAAACCAAGAAGGAAGGGTAGGACCTCAATAAAAGAGCGCGAGAGTTGGAAAGGGGGCCCCCTCCTTTTGAGGGCGCGAAACAACGACAGCAACAGCTTCTACAAAGCACTGGCTTCAACCAGACATCTCGGTAACATCTTCAGCCTCTTCCTTCGGGCCAGGGGCAATGTGGTAAACGCAACGTGGCTACTTTGCCGCTAGCAATTCAACAGATGAATGCATTTTTTGAACGTGCACCAATGGTGTATAAACAAATGACAGGTGAAAGGAAGAGAGAAAAAGAAGAAAAACAAACACACACACACACACAAATTCCTGGACACATGCGCGGTGGTGTTTTTCCCCCGGCATCAGAACAAGCAGCCAACCAACGTGCAACTGGGCTGAGGCGCAGGTGAAGCATTGATCTCCATCGACTCCAGCTGAAGCTTCACCTGCGCAAACTCCTCGTCGAAGGACATGGTCGTCACCAGCGGACTTGACCTGTTGCCAACCCATGCCGAAATGGACGGGGAGCCCAGGAAACAAACAACTTCCCAAGCAAAACCGACACACCGTGGATTCGTAGAGATTCATTCCCCATGGCTCCAGGTGCACCAAGACTTGCGTAACTCTAGCTCTTTAATTTTCAGCCACAGCCATATCATATCCTGCAAGTGTGAGTCATGGCTTGCAAAAAAAAGCAAGACATGCCGTAGAATCTCAGAGTAGCGCAAAAAAAGAAGAATCGAGTTGCCTGGGCCGAATACGCCAGAGCAACATGCCCAGAGCACATCGACCCGTAGGAGGCCGGTAGTGGTTTGGGGGTACAGTGGAAACCAAAGCCAAACAAATCACAACTTGATCCCCAAGAAAAGGACCTACATCTTCTTCCGCGATGCCTCATGTCATAGTGACGCGTAAACACAATGCCTGAACCGGACCTACCTCACGATGAGCTCGCTGCAATTAACCCGAAACCGGTGAGCTCGTTATACAAATGTATATATGTAAGTATACTAGTGTTATTACTACTACTATTATTAATAGCATTATGCAAAAAAAAAAGCCACGCGCGTGCCCGAGGCCAAGGAGCGTGAGGAGGTCTTGCTTCACCCCTTGGCGCGTGACCACCTTGCTTGCCCGGCCCATTGGTAGGAAGACACGTGTGTCCTAAGGGAACCTCTCCAAAAAGGAAAGGCAGTTGAGAGTATACGTAGGGCCTCATCCCCAAAATAAAACAAACAAACACGTGTATTTTTGAATGTAATAAAGGAAAGCGACGACAAAGAAACAAACAGGCAAACAAGCAAGCAAGGAAGCAAGCACGCAAGCAAGCAAGCAAGCAAACAGACAAACAAATAAACCAGAAACGAAGCACACACAAACCAGCACGCAAGCAAGCTAGCACGCAAACAAACAAGCAACTAAGCAAGCAAGCAAGCAAGCAAGCAAGCAAGCAAGCAAGCAAGCAAGCAAGCAAGCAAGCAAGCAAGCAAGCAAGCAAGCAAGCAAGCAAGCAAGCAAGCAAGCAAGCAAGCAAGCAAGCAAGCAAGCAAGCAAGCAAGCAAGCAAGCAAGCAAGCAAGCAAGCAAGCAAGCAAGCAAGCAAGCAAGCAAGCAAGCAAGCAAGCAAGCAAGCAAGCAGCAAGCAAGCAAGCAAGCAAGCTAGCTAGCTAGCAAGGAAACAACCAAGCAAACAACTAAGCAAGGAAGCACGCACACAAACCAGCACGCCAGCAAGGAAGCTCGCAAGAAGCAGAAAAACAAAACAAGCAAGGAAGCAAGCACGCAAACAAGCCAGCAACCTAGCAAGCAAGCGAAACAAGCACAGAAACAACCAAGCAAACAAGCAAGCAAGCAAGCAAGCAAGCAAGCAAGCAAAACTACAGAAACAAAACTACAGAAACAAGAGCCAGCAAAAGCAAGCAAGCTAAATACACAAGTACTTTTAAGCACTTCAACTGGGAAACCAAAACAAAACAAAAAACAGGTGGCTGTGGCTCAAAAAACCGGCACCAAGATGGAACCCTGGTAAGTGGAAGCATGGACCAAAACCTGCGCAACGTCTCGGGTTTAATTTTGAGCCATTGTTTAAGGCCCCGGGAAAAAACATATTTCCAGTAGTGATGAATTCCTTTTAACACCAACAAGGGAAAAACCTATTCTTAAGCGAATGGAGGTACTTCAACTGGGAAGCGGAAAAAGAAGAAGAACCCGGGTGCCAGCAAATCAAGCCAGCAAAAAATACTACAAGTACCTTTAAGTACTGAAACTGGGAAACCAAAAAAAGAAAACAAAACCAAAACAAAAAACCGGGTGCCGGCTGGGGCACCGAGAAGAGTGCCGCCTTGGAGTCCGGCTTGAGCTGAATGTCCAGCTCGCCGGCCTCCAGGGTGAAGTGTGGCTTGGTGGCCACCGACATCACGCCCAGGGACATGTGCACCGCCGCCTGGGGAAAAAAAGGCGGAGGCTTGCGGGGAGGCCCATTTCGCGCGTGGGAAACCATGGGAAGCCATGGTTGCTGGGTATTTACAAGGGGTTGATTAATATGGTTCCAGGGGTAACTTCTCATGGTCATACATCGTTGGACCCTGTTTGTGCCAACCCACCTGCTTATTTTGGCTCATTCCCGGGTGAGCCAACGGCTACGCCCAGGTGAGTTTCTACCATGTGCTTACGAAACACCTAGCTCCGAAAGGCTCCTTCCAAAGCAAAGTTGGACAATGTTGACCCCTGTTTAACTGGGGGGGGTGTCCCTGGGTTTAGTGGGGAATCAAACCGCTTGTGGAGGGGAAGACCTCCCTATGGAATAAAAACAGGGGTTGATGAATATGGTTCCATTTCCATTCTTTCCAGGGATCCTTCTAGGGGCAACTTCCAAAACAACCAAAACGACCAAACAGGACACCTATGACTAGGACTTGTGAAAAGAGAACTCCACGTATTCTAGGGGTAACTTCCATGTCCATTCTGAACCCAGGGATCCGGGTCTTGCTAGAAAGCCACCCAAAAGCCTGGGAAATCGATCGGTTTTTGAAAAGAAGGATGGCTGAAAAGAATGGAAAAGGAATCAGCCCCTAGAGTGGTGGCGACGGGCCCAGGGCAACGCACCTATCAGAAACCCTGGGATGAGTCGATTCACCAACACAAAAACACACGGTCCGGGTGTCTAGCTTCTCCAGTAGAGAGGTTAGAATAAGGGTACCCTTTTTTCTGTAGTCTTTTTTAGTAGAGGAACCCTCCCTCAAAAAGAGTAAAAGGGCACTACTGGGGGACCCAGGTTTCAACCATGGTTTCAGACTGGTTTTTAGGATCTCATCCACCCACAGTACAGCTTGGATTGGTCCCTTGCTTCCCGTCGCTTGGTGCGTTGGATCGGTGATTGGGAAGTTTGGAGCTGCCACATGTGCCAGCCAGCAGTTTCAAATACCCAAACCATCAACAACTGCCCGTTTTCCCACTAACATGGGACCTGTGGGAGGGTACCAGGAAGGTAACTTCTCTGATTGCGGGGTACCCAAGGTCAAGTGCAATGCTAGTGCGAGGGTACTCGAAGGGTGTTCTAACGAACCTGCGGAAGCAATAGGTTCCAGGGGCCGGCGGATACGTAAAAATAGTTCCCGCCACTAACAATGAACGGAACTAAAATACAACGGCCAATGGGCCAAACTTGTGACGATGAAAGCCACAAAGAGTCAACCAAGCCCACCGAACCACAAAACCATGGTAGGCTCCGGCAAAATCAGAGGGTGTTGCTCCCTTGCCGAGGCTATATAGGTGTGTCTTTCTTTCGGGGACCCCCCCCCGCAATTCTTGGTGGTGTTCCCTTTGCTTCCCTTTGAAAATCACAAAAAGGGAGCACGGGCACCGTTTTTGGGAACACCCTCCCCTTTCACCAACAAAAACAGCATTACCAGCTCAAGAAAAAGAGATAGATTTGGCTGTGCGTCCAAAAGTAGGGTAACCCCAAACTATCGCTCTCTCTGTCTCTCGCTCTCTGTCTCTCTCTCTCTCTCTCTCTCTCGCTCTCGCTCTCTCTCTCTCTCTCTCTCTCTCTCTCTCTCTCTCTCTCTCTCTCTCTCTCTCTCTCTGGTGGCACTCCGAAGTGAAAACCCCAAACTAGGAACCCTGACAAGTGGAATGGACTACATTTTGTGCGGTTCATATCCTGTGGCTTATCTGAACCCCGTCCGCCGCAGCACCCTTCCGTCCGTCCGGACGGCTCCCGAGCGTCTCCCGAGCCGCCCGAGCCGCCCGAGCCCGGGAGCCTTGCCGCGCACGGGGAAGTAGAGGCGTGGGGCCTGGAGCTTGATGCTGAGCTCCAGCTCATCGGGGGTTCGCTGCTTGGCCATCTCCAGGTATTCCTTGGGGTTTCGGCCGAAACCGCAATTGGGAACAAGAGGAAAACCAAGGAAAGGAACAAAAAGGAAAAGCCAAAAAACACGGAAAACCCAAGGAAAACCCATGGAGAAGCCAGGAAAACTACGGAAAACGAAGGGAAACTAAGGAAAACACACGGAAACCCGCAAGGAATTATGCGTGGACCCGCTCGTTAGTTGCAAAAAAGTCCGTGGAGGTGATGCAAGTTCAACATTGGTCTAAGAAAACGCCCAGGAAATACAAAGCAACGAGCTGTTTCTTCCTACAGAAGAATAAGGTAAAGACCAAAAGGGAAAAAGTGAAAAAGGTGAGCGCATTCCGGCTATGATTCTTGGCCCTCCTTCGTCTCCATGAACGCCTGACGAGCTCGCAAGCCGAGCCTCCATGGATTGACGTAAGGAACATTCACGTGCGCAAGGTTACTGTCCCGGTGTTTGTGGACAAGCGCTCTAAATACATGTTAGATTCTCTTGAGTCTGTGTGCGCCCAGGTGTCCGGGTAGCTGTGCCTCTGTGTGTGTGTGTATGCCTTTGTGTCAGTGTGCGTGGGCCCTGGTAATTACCGCACATGCGCATCAGTGTCCGCATGTCCGCACGCCTGCCATGCAGCACAGTGTGGGAGTGGCCAGGCTTGCTAACCGCCCCCCCTCCCTGGCTCGAGCCTTGCCCTTCTCATAGTAGGATTCCCGAACTTGCGCATCCTCCTCCTTCTTCTTCTGGACTTCAATTGCCTGGCCATGTGCCAGTCCGGGACAGAACCGAACGGCGAACGGGCTGGGCAAACGTCGCAGGAGGAATGCGGATACTGAACGCACTTTGTAGGCAGGCCACTATGTCTAATCCGTACTAATGGCTTTAACTACCACCAAAAAGATGTCCCGTTACCTTGTCAACCTCTCAAGTGGCTCAACTTGCCGTTCCATACGAGGTCTGACCTAATTGAACAATCCATCTGGGTCAAATTGTCCAACCGGAAACCAAGGGATTCCGGTTGGAAGCTCTGCCTGACACTATCACAAATTCCCTGGTCGCTATAATTCACCCAGCTCCCCTTGTGCTTCCTTATTCCTTTGGGCAGTCAAACGCTTGTCAAGAAAATCCTCACATCACAGGCAGTCCTTGAGGTACAACACGTTTGGTCACGCTTAGCTCTCCTCCTAGTTGCAAAGCAGGGCGTCTCAACCCGGCGGAGCCGATTTTCGGCCGATTTGGCGGCCCAGGGCCACGGTTCCTGCTTTATGGCGCTGATTCACCGAATGCAAAGAAAGCCTTGTTCAACCCACTTCCATTTGGTTAAGACCCCTGGATTTGTCTCCTTAAAAAAAATATCCAGGTGATCGATTCCCTTTAAAACCAAGAGGGAAAAAACTTAAGCAAATGGGAGCCTACAGTTCTTATCCAAGGGAAACGTAGGCCATCCCTTTTTGACCGCACGTGTCTGGGCCAGCTGCTGAGGCTGCCCTAGGAAGCTCGGTGTGCTGGATCTGCACCTGACCGCCAGAGGCAGTCCCTTCCCACCGGAAAGACATCTTCCCTGGGAAACCCGCATCCACGCGTTTCTGTTTCATGGCAGGAAGGCCTTCTTTGAACATGAGTACTACGCCATCCCCTTGTGGTTTCGACTGATGACGCGAAGCTTGTCGCAGGGTGCAATCGAACAACCAAAAGAAAGGGCAAAAAACAAGCAACAAACTACACCAGAGTCGCCTCATATTTTGGACTGACTTTTCACTCCGGGGTTCCGCCCCAAAACCAGCTCTCAAAAAATTGGCAGGCATCCAAAAGCACTATCTATTCCTAACCAATTTATGGGTACTAGATTCATGGGGTCTAGATTTGGGGGGTTTTTGGCTATCTCGAATTATCTCGAATTATCTCGAATTATCTCGAATTATCTCGAAGATGTAGGTCAGGTTGAAAGCAACTTGCATGTTTGGGATTTGTTTCTGCATTTTTGTCATTTGTATGATGTGTGTCTTCATGAATGCCGTGCAATATTGTTGTTTTGCATTTGCATTTTATAAATATTTGTTCTAATGCTGACGCATGATGGTCGGTCATTGTGTTTTTACTGATCTTAAACCTGATTGCATCGGCTCGTAGCAATCAGGGGGCGGTGATGATGTCAAACAGTGTGTTTGTCGCGTTGCCTTCAGCTTCACCAATTTCAATCAATGATGTCCCGAATATATCATCAACCGAAATCCCTTCTGATCCAACGCATGGTGGAAGATGCGTATTACTACAGAAGTGACTGGACAGACATGGACCTGCATTTGGAAAAGGAGTGGGCAAGATTTGCAGAGGACGGGCTGGGCTATGACCAGGTGACCAGGTGGCCACTGGATGCAAGTGTGATTTACGAAAGCGAGAGTGACAGTGACCACCATGATCACTCCTGTCCAAATTCGAACGCTCTCCAAATCATGATTGGAAGCTTGGCTGTCGGGCTGCGGGTCCATGAGTTGGGTGAAATAAGTCAGGTCGGGAAACCTGTGCAGCCGGATTTGGTCGTTGCTTTGAATGCAGCTGACTGGCAGTACGAGCATGGCATGGAACGTGTGGAAAACACAGCAGCAGTAGATCGCCTAGCTTATGGCCTGTGGGATAAAACCCATCTACAGGGTGAGGAGTGGAACCTCTTCAAGAACGGCTTCAATCGGACTTGGCAGCACATGTATAATGACATCAAAACTACACGGGTTTGGACTGAAGGGCGTTGTCGCAGCATCTTGTTTCATTGCCATGGTGGAGCGCATCGGAGCACATCTGCAGCTGTGGCGTTCCTATTGATGCACCATCGATGTAGCCTTGAAACTGCAGTCCAATGCATTTTGAGAAAGAGAAAGTCGCTGCGAATGTGGTGCAACAGGGAGTACATAATTGAAGCTCTTGTGGCACTGGAACATTCGATCTTGTCAGAGACCTCTGAGACTCTAAGCCAGGTGTGAGTTTTGAGCTCCAACTTAGTTTCACCTGTGTGTGACAGGCTTTGCTACGAAATGAGCAACGACATGTGACATGTGTGTGTGTGTGTCACAACCCACGATCGTCCGTTCACACTTTTCATTTTTTGCATTGCCAAAAGTAATTAATTATTTGTCCCACTCCCTTCACTCAGAAAGTTGAATGACTGAGAGGCCTGGCTGGCGCGTTGATGCGACTTTGACTTTGATTCATGGACCTGTTACTGAGCTACTGACTCCAGGACGTGTTTGCAATTTAATTGTGCTACGGAAATTGTGTGTGACATTGTCGAGTCAACAAATGCATTGCTGCAATTCAATAGTTGGATCTGAGGGTGACTGAACCCTGCCCATAGTAGTGTTGAGGCCGCCTCGCTTCCAAGATGAAGCGCCCTGCTGCCAAAGCGATAATGAAGCGCCCTGCTGCCAAAGCGATGAAGAGTCCTGCTGCTGCAAGAATCGAGAAACGTCCGGCCATGCAGGTGGATGATGACGAGGCTGAGGACCTGGAATCTCTTCGTCTGATGCTTTATGGCCAGACTCAGAATGAGAACGACTTCCGCTTCAACAAATGGCATTCGTTGGCGCCAAAGGGTAAACGGATTTTGATCCTGGCAATCTTCAAAGTATTTGGCGCTGATGATAAGGATATTGAGGAAATGACGCATTTCAGCATGAGCCTGAAGGACTTGCAGATTCAGTGGAAGGACATTACGGACGAGTTGAAACGGAATTTCAGTGATAGTCGGATCCGCGGATATATCTCGGCGGTGGTTAGGTACCTTACGACTCCAGGTTCTTCAACTCATGTTGAATGGCTGTGCTTGGCTATCAAGGTTGCCAGTGCTGTCAGGGGAGTCACGGATCGTCTGATTGATTCAGAAGCCGAAGCAAGTTCAAGCTCTGAAACATCATTTGAGATATGACAATCTAACCCAGCAAGCCAAACAGTGTGTTCCTTGATTCCATGGCAGCACTGGTGGGATGTGGAGCCGGTGTGTTTGAAAGTGAGTGCTTGAAAGTTGTGTTACCAAAATTCCGACCTGGCAGGTGCTGGTGGCTGAATCTGGACTTTTGCATCATCAGTGTCAGGAACTCAGGCTTTGCGTTTGCTGTCTGTGACGTGTGTGCCATGACATCGAGTCAGTTGTTACTGTTACTGACATTGACTCAAGGAAAAACAGTGTGTTGGGTCTGCGCTTTTTGCATTGTCACGCCATGTCGCGCCGCACTATTCTTGACGTTACTGCCACTCCGCTCGTCAAGAAGCAGAAAGATGAGAGCGGCGGCGCCAGCCGCAGTAACAAGATCTACAGTCACTGCGGGGCAGGCCCAACAGTTTTCTACATCCCAGTCATTGAAGAGGCCTGGCTCACAATTGGGTGGGACTGACTATGTTACATGTGTTGGCCAAGTTGCTAATTGACAGATTAAGGTGTTGAAGAAGACGGTTTTCACATTGGTGCCTTGTTGCTGGCCCAGTGCGCACTGTGCATTGTCTTGTGCTGGCAGGTGAAATATCTGTGGGGGACAAAAGATGTGAGCCCACTTTACCAGCCGGGCGCGCGCTACCACTTCTCGCTGCGCTCGGAACTCAAGGTGGCAGTGGAGAGGGGAACGTGGTACCGGATGGACAACTATCCTGAGGCCCAGTGCCTTAGCCTTACTAACTGCTGATGCATTGAAGAGTTCCTAATCCACTTCATATTCATATGTGAGTGTGACTGGGACAATGTGAGGCCGTGCTGCTGCTGCTGCTGCTGCTGTTGCTGCTGCTGTTGATGATGTTATTGTTGTTATTGCTGTAGTTATTGCTGTTATTGTTGTTATTGCTGTAAGTGTTGTTATTATGTTGTTATTGTTGGTTATTTGTGATGTTGTTTGTATTATTGGTCTTGCTGCTGCTGCTGCTGCTGCTGCTGCTGCTGCTGCTGCTGCTGCTGCTGCTGCTGCTGCTGCTGTTTTTGTTATAATCTTTGTCTTCTTCTTTCTTTTATTGTGCTTCTTCTTCTTCTTGTTGCTGTTGGTGGTGGTGATGGTGCACAGCTGCGAAATTACTAAAGACTGCTTGCTGGAATTGGCAAACAGGTCAACTAAAACACGGTAATGTAATCTTGCGCAGACACAGTCAGTTGTCAGCTGAGTCCGGACATCATCTACATCAAGATGTCCGTGACGAAGCTGAGAATGACAACACTTCAGAAGGACAAGATGCTAACCTGCCAGGGACAAGGCTGGTGGAGGTTTCACATGCCCATCAGCCAGATGATGTTTCTGGAAGAGGGCAACGCTGACTCACTTCTCTTCGAGTGTCTACTATGCGAGACGTCGGAGCGGCTCGAATGAGTGAGCCAAACACTGTGTTACAACAGTGTTGTGATTCAGTCACGGGGGGCAGATGATGACTGGCAATGATTCAGAACATTAAATTGACGTTGCTGTCAAATATTAACCTTGTCATTCACATGTCACAGCAAAACACCAAGCACCCAGTCAGTCACGATCAACATCTGCAACCAGACTGCGAATTGAAGTGACGCTCAGTCACTGTCACTGTCTGTCACAGAGCGATTTGATGCGGAAGCGAAAAGATAAAGACTAACCTGCTGCCATTGAACTTACAGAAGCACAAGTGAGAACCATGTCATGTAACTAGGTTTTAAAAGGTCTGCAAGGAGCCCTCACTCACAGTCACGGTCAATGCTGTGTCGTGAACTAGTGGTGATTTCTGTGACCAGGTCCGCCAGATGGAGATGCTCATTTACGGTGCGCTGCCCTCAGCCAAAACTTGACATTAAAAGAATTGAGTCAGGACTCAGTGTCATTAGCTTTCAGCCTTCGTCAATCATTGTGAATTGCCATGCCTGCAGCTGTGATAATGATCAGGCCAGAGACTGTGTCATTCACTGTGTCCTGTCTTTGCAGCCATGTTTCATTCAGTGATTCAGGAACTCAAGGCCTGCCTTGGCCAAGGCACACAAATCAGCGGGGCAATTGCCACTCCGGAGCCTAGCAGCCCAGCACCTGCAAAGCAGCATCACAAGGCTTTCCGCTCTGCCGGAACGGTGGCCCTTACTCTGCCTGGGCAACAAGGCCAGACAGTGTGTTATTCTTTGCGGTACAGATATCTGGGGGCCGGCTGTCACCGAGATGCTTACATGGTGAGTGATCTGAGGCACCCAGAAGATGAATTCAATAGGTTGGTGATGAAGGTGTCCAACAGCCATGATCGGTCGATGCAAGAAGACATCTGCTGCATAAATGCGGTGAGGGATCAGGCTCCGAGTTTGGCGAAATTCTTTCCTGAAATGCTAGCCTATCTCCCACACATGACGTGCAGGGGGATATGGAAAGAATCGAGCCATTGCCTGCTCCTGCAAACTGCAATGGGTGATGGACAGAGTGTGGCAAGACGAGCGGCGGAGCTGACACAGCAAGAGCTCTATGTGCAAGCAGCTCTTGTCATGATGCAGGGGGGCCTGTTTTTGTTGAATGTGCAGGAGGCGGCCTTTGACAATGCAAAT